TCCGGCTCGCCAGGGTGGAGCCCTGGCGGGAGGTGCCGCCCCCAGTAGGCCGCTGCCACCTGCTCCTGGGGAGTCCTGCCCTCCCCACAGAGCCCTGAGCCTGACCCCTCACCCTTGCACCCCCTCCCGGAGCCCTGGCCTGGGATGGGTCAGCAGCCCTTGTGGTTCCTTTCCCCTCCCCTTCCCTGGCCACTTTCCCCGACACCCCGATGCTCTTGGATCTGTTCCGTGGGCCCCTCGGCTTCTGACCCCAGAAGCCTTTCTGGGGGTCTCCCAGCCCCTCCCACTGCTGTGTCACTGGGCAGGGGTGTTGTGGACAGTCCTGGGCTGAGGGCGGCCTTTGTGGTTCCCCCTTCTCCCTACCTGGCCTCCCGAGGTCAGCAGCCTGGGAGTGCAGCTCTGTCCTCTTGCCCTGAAGGGCCACACGCTGGCCACCTCCCGTCTAACCCTTGACCTGGCCCAGGGGCCTCCGGGCGCTGCTGGAGAGAGTCTGGACCTCGGGCTGGTGGCCAGGGCAGCACCACTGCCCAGGCCATCCTGGGCTCCCCCACCCCGCAGGCCCCCACACATGCTGCAGACACGTGGGAGGCGGGGCTGCCCGTGCAGAGCGGATGGAAGGAGAGGAGAGGCGGGAGGGAGAGGGGCCTGTGCCTTCGGAAGGGGCTCCTGGATGGGTCCCTTCGGGGTCAGTCTGTGCAGGCCCCGCTGCGCGTGTGCGTGTGTGTTCAAGGCCCCGCCCCGCCCCTCCGCCCATCGCTGGCGCTCAGCCCCGCCCCTGCTCCCCCATCCGGACCCGGGATTGGCTCGCCCTGGGGGAATGTGCTGGAATGCGGGGCCGTGGGCCGGGGGTGCACGGCCGGCTCAGCCCCCCGCCTGCGGGAAGGTCTGAGTGCGCGGGGCGGGGCGCGCCCATGGGCCGGCGGGCGGCCCGCACTCCCGGCCCGGCCAGCTCACCCCGGCCGCCTGGGCCGCCCTCCGGCCGCCTGGGCCTGGCCAGCATGGCCCCCGAGGCCCGCCTCTGACGCGGCCCCGGGCCGCCGGGACCCCCGAGAGACTCGCCCTGGGTAAGAGGCGCCGCCTTGGAGTGGCCAGGACGGGCTGGGGGAGGGGGGGGCGCGTCCAGCGCGGGGCCGAGGAACGCCGGCCCTGCCTGCTTCCGTGCATAGGGTCTCCCCCCCACGCCGGCCTGGGGGTGTCCCAGGATCCCTGGCCCAGACAGGCGGTTCTGGCTCCCGCTGGGGTGCTTCCCAGTCCGCTCCCCCCTCCCCCTTTCTGCCGTGGACCAGCCAGGCTCCTGCCCCCCCCCTCCCCTCCTGAGCAGGGTCCGTCTGGCAGGTGTGAAGGCACAGGTCCTGGAGCCAGGGCTGATGCTGGCGACCGCCCTGCCCTCCACGTCCCAGGGGGCTGCTCGGCGGGTCTCCGGCAAGGGGGCCCTGGGGTCACTGGTGGGTCAGTCTAGAAAGCAAGTCTGTGAGCAAGGTTTCCGTGGAGATGTGGAGTGTGGGGGTCAGGGCGAGTCAGAAGGCCCGGAGTCTGCTGCCGGGCGCCAGCGAGCCTGCTGGGATGGTCCCCGTGCTTGAGTGGGTGCCCTTGTGGGTGCCAGCTTCAGCAGGGCAGAGCGTGCACAGCGGGTGGGACATCTGCTTTCCATGCAGCCGGCTCGGGTTTAACCCTAGCACCCTGAGCCTGAGCCGAAGCTGAGTGCCGTCCTGGGTGCCTTCACGGGGGTGACCTCCTTCCAGGTCAGCTTCTGGGTAGGGGACGCAGGTCGTGGTGCATCAGGATCAAGAGTTTTATTTCTTGTTAAACTCGGGAAATGCCGTCACATAGGCCGGTCAGTGATGTGGCCTGTGTTCACATTGCCATGGCAACCTCCAGAACTTTCCATCCGCAGGAGCCCCTCCCCCTGGGCTCCTGCACCCCTTCCCCTGCGGTGCCTGAGCCGCCAGCCCGGGGCACCTCTGCGGCCTGCTGGAGCCTGTCCACGCCTCTGGTGTCCTTCCCAGGTTGCCAGTCTCCCCCCCTCCCCCGGTTTCAGCAGTGGCCGGGTCACCTTCCCACCTCCCGCTGCTGCCCCCGCACCCGGGGCAGGCTCCCCCTGCGCCCACCCGCCACCCAGCCTTTGTCTGCGGCGGGAGGGGCGCCGCCCGCGCAGCCCGCAGCAAGCAGCCCCCGGGTTGGCACTCGGGAGCCTGAGCTGCGGCTCCCAGCCGACCCCTGTGGGTGGGGTGGGCTCGGGTCCGTGAGGGGGGTGCCCGGTGCCCGCCCTGGCACTGGCCACCAGGTGAGGAAGCCCCCCAGCCCCTGACCTGTCCTGGACCTTGCCAGGCCGGGGACCCCTCTAGCACAGCCTCTTTGGGGGCCCGTGGTGTCAGGGGGGAAGCACGGCCGCCGTGCCCGGGCGGGGACCAGCCCTGCTGTCTCAGGGCGCAGCCCCCCCGCCAGGGGGACAGGCGACCAGGCACTGCTGGGCACGGGCTGCCGCCAGCCTGACTGTCCTGGGCGCCGGGTGCGCGCTGTCCCTTTAAGACAGTGCTCCTTTGTGCTGCAAGCTGAGCACTCTGCCCGCTGTTCTCTGCACCACGGGCCTTTGATGCTCAAGCCCCCCTGGAAGGTGAGCGGCTGGGGAGGGGCCGCCCGCCTGGCTGCTCCCTGGGGCGGAGGCGGCTTCTTTCCTGGGGGCGGCCGCCCTCCCGGCACAGACGCACGCGTGGCTGCGGCACGTGGCGGGCGGCGGGCGGGGGAGGGAGTTGTTTGTTGCTCTGCCATCTGGCCCACGCGCCCGTCCTTCCCCTTGAGCCCGCTGCAGTGCCATGGGCGCCCTTCCGGGCCCCTGGGCGCACTGAGCCCTGCCCTGCCCTCCCCACCCTGGCTGAGCCGGCTGCTCTGGGCAGGGGGCCTGGCTGGAGGACCCTGCTGGCCTCCGCCGCCGCGTGCTCCGCAGAAGAGAACGCTGGGCAGAGTCGCCCGCCCCCCCACCCCCGCCCTCCGTTCAGTCTGTAGCTGTCTGCGGCACAGCATGGGGCAGGGGCAGGGGCACAGGCCGGGCTGTAGAGGGCACGGGGGGCACGGGCTGCCTGTGGGTTGAGGGCATAGGTAGGGCTGGAGGGGGCTGGGCAGGGCTGAAGGGGTCAGGCAGGGCTGGAGGGGGCTGAGCAGGGCTACAGGGGGCCGGGGCAGGGCTGGAGGGGCCGGGCAGGGCTGGAGGGGGCCAGGCAGAGCTGGAGGGGTCAAGCAGGGCTGGAGGGGTCAGGCAGGGCTGCAGGGGGCTGGGCAGGGCTGCAGGGGTCAAGCAGGGCTGCAAGGGGCCGGGGCAGGGCTGTAGGGGGCCAGGCAGGGCTGGAGGGGACAGGGCAGGGCTGGAGGGGACAGGGCAGGGCTGGAGGGATCGGGCAGGGCTTGAGGGGGCTGGGGCAGGGCTGCAAGGGGCCAGGGCAGGGCTGGAGGGGCCAAGCAGTGCTGCAGGGGGCCAGGCAGGGCTGCAGGGGGCTGGGGCAGGGCAGGCGGGTGGCAGGGCGTCTGGTGATGACAGGAGCTGTGGGGCAGCGTCGCTCCCACCCCCGAACACTGATGGCCACGGCCACGCTTCCGAAGACAGTCACTCCGGGCTCCCACAGGGTTCCGGGGCAGGGGCCCTCAGGGACTGGCCCGCAGCCCAGTGCCCGCTGCCTGCCCTCCCGGTGTCCCCGTGCCCTTTCACATCGCCTCAGGGCAGCCGCTCACCCAGCAAACAAGCTGTTCTGAATGGCCCCTTTGCCCTTTTCTCTTGGTGTCCTGGCCACACCCAGCGGTCACTCTTGGCGGGGCTCATATGGGACTGGGGGCAATGGCACGCCCTCCCTGCTGTGCTCGTGCTGGCTGGGGCATCTCCTCCTTCAGTGCCCTCTCGTGGCCTCTGCCTGCCCTCTGGGCTTTGTGGCCCAGCTGCTTGGCATTAGGGGACAGTCTGGCCAGCGCCCTGGGTAGAAGGACCCGCAGATGGATGGCACATGTGGTAGAGCATGTGACTGGCAGCACGAGGCCCTGAGTTTGGCCCCTGAGCATTGCTGGGTACAGGCTGGCGGCCCCGATTAGCCCCGGGTCCTCCTTGGGGTTCTGGACTGGCTCCCCCAGGCGTTGCTGGGTGATTGGTCCTGGGGACCAGAGCCCCTGGCCCCGTCATCCCCCCTCATAGCATTGGGGTGTTACCTGGGGCTGCGCCCGCAGCCTTCAGCTGTGACCGAGGAGGGAAGGGCGGCAGCCTGTCGCAGACTTGGGAGCCTGTCGGATGGCTGGGGGCGTGTGGACCCAGAGAGGACACGCCGGAGTTTTGGCTGGCAATGAATGCGCGTTTCCAGGGGAGGGATGAGGCCCCGAGGGTCCTGGTTTCCAGGGGGGCGGGTGAGAGGCCACGAGGGTCCTGGTTTCCGGGGATGAGGAGGCCACGAGGGTCCTGGTTTCCGGGGGAGGGGGCCAGGCCTCCCCCGAAGAGCTCCTGGAAGAAGTGGCCCTCAGCGTGCCCAGGGCTCTGCCTCTGCCCAGGGCTGGCCCTGGCCCGGGGGTGGGTCCTGTCTGTCTGCCCCTCTGGGCCGGAAGTGCTGGGTGCGGGAGGACACTCTCCCTGGGGCAGCTCACCCAGTGGGGAGGGGAGGGAAGCCAGCGCGGGGTAGCTGAGTGCCCGGCCCCACCACCCACAGGGTCTCCGCTAAAGACCACCTGAGGGAGGGTGCTTGTGGGGGGTGAGGAGGGGTCCTTGCCCAGCCTGGGGGAAGCTTTGCAGAATTCGCCCAAAGCCTCTGCAGCCCCAGATGTGGGCCCCCGGTCACCTCCCCTCGAGGGCGCTGGACAGGCCCCAGGGGCCAGCGGGGGCCAGACTGTCCCTGCTCCTCACTGGGCCTCGTGCCTGGGGGGCACCTCGGGGGGCCTTCTTCCCTCAGGGGTACCCCAGGCGTCCCGGCCCCCCGCCCCGGCTCACCCCAGCTCAGGGGCCAGTGTCCTTAGATGGTCCCTTCTCCACGCAGTGCCCAGTGACCTGACCCCAGAGGAGCGGCAGGAGCTGGAGAACATCCGGCGGCGGAAGCAGGAGCTGCTCGCCGACATCCAGGTGGGGGCAGCTCCGCGGTGGGCGAGGCTGGAAGGCTGGTCGGGTTTCCTCAGACCTGCCCCGAGCCGTCCCCAGGTTTCGGGGTCTCGTGGGCATTTTCTCCCTGTGGCGGGGGTAACACCCTTGCTGTCCCCTGTCACCTTGCAGAGGCTGAAGGATGAGATTGCAGAAGTAGCCCATGAAATTGAGAACTTGGGGTCCACGGAAGAGAGGTGAGTGTCTGCATGTGTGGCCCGGGGCAGCAGCGGGAGGCGCATGTCGGCGCCCACCTGCCTGCCCTGCCCTGCTCAGACTCCAGGCCCTTCCCTCGGTCCGAGGGAAAGTCCCTCCTACTGGCCCTGTGGCGCTTCCCCTGCGGTGATGGGGAGAGGGAGGGGTTGTGGGGACCAGCGGGGGGTGCGGGCTGCAGCGTGGCCTCCCCCCCGCGGGCCCTGTGGACCCTGCAAGCGTGGGTCAGGGGCGGGGGTCTGTGGGAAGCTGCTTCTCCCCACTGCGTCCCTGCTGTCCCCGGCCTGGAGTCCTCATGCCCTCCCTTCCAGAGTAAGAGTCCAGGGGTCATCAAAATGCAGAGCTTCAGGGCTGGAGCAGTAGCACAGCGGTTAGGGCATTTGCCTTGCACGCGGCCAACCCGAATTCGATTCCCAGCATCCCATCCGGTCCCCTGCGCACTGCCAGGAATAATTCCTGAGTGCAGAGCCAGGAGTAACACCCCTGTGCATCACCAGGTGTAACCCAAAAAGCAAAAAAAAAAAAAATGCAGAGCTTCTCTGATGAGACAGGGGCCAGAATGTAGAACAGAAGGCACTTGCCTTGCATGTAGCCCTCCTGGGTTCAAGTCCCTGCACCCCTGTGGTTCCCCGGGTCCCACCGGGAGTGATCTCTGACCACAGAGCAGCAATAAGCCCCAAGCACCCCAGACGTGGACCAGAGACAAAGCCAAGCACGAGGCCAAGTCAGTCAGGACCAGGGGTGAACATTTGCAGCTCTACCAGGACATGGGGTTTCCCCAGCCCCTGGGGATGCCAGGCCCCTGCCCATCCTGAGCCCCCACAGAGGGGAGAAACGAACGCAAAGCCAGAGCGGCCATCAGAAGCAACGCCAAGAGCTGAGTCCAGCTCAACCAGGGGCTGGCTCTAGAGCCCCTCCTGTTCTCAGGGTCCCTGAGGGCCAGCATGAGTCCCCTGCACGCTGTGTCCATCCTGGCTGGTTCTGCATGGCCTACGGGCAGCTGCACTCTCTCTGGCTCTATCCTCGGGAATTGTCTGGAATAGGCCGGGCCGCCACGGCACCAGGGAGAGCGCCCGTGCTCGGCCGAGCCTGGGGGTGCCGTGCCGAGGATGCCCGGCCTGGTGCTCACAGGCTGTGGCCCCACAGGAAAAACATGCAGAGGAACAAGCAGGTCGCCATGGGCAGGAAGAAGTTCAACATGGACCCGAAGAAGGTAAGAGCCGGGCGGCCACGCTGCTCACCCGCCTTCCTGCACGCAGTCTTGTGCCAAGCAGACCGCTGACACGGGCGGGCACCATCAGACCCTGAAACCCCCCCAGGGCCTTGTGGCGGAGCGTGTCAGCTCCTGTCACTCTGTCTCTCCAGGGGATCCAGTTCCTGATCGAGAATGACCTGCTGAAGAGCACCTGTGAGGACATCGCCCAGTTCCTCTACAAGGGGGAGGGGCTCAACAAGACGGCCATTGGCGACTACCTGGGGGAGAGGTGAGGGGGTCAGCGGGCGGGGGTCTCTGAGGGGGAGAGGGGAGGTGTCGGGGGCCTGGGGAAGACCCTTTCAGCCCCCAGCACTGCCCGGAGTGACTCCAACAAGCAACCTGCTGCAAATAATCCCCAGCCCCTGTCAGGGTGGCCCCGCATGCAAGGAAAGGGGTCCAGTAGGAAGTCTCTGGGGGCCCCTCTGGGAGAGCAGGAGGAGTGGGACCCCATCTGCCCACCCCCGTCTGCTCCTGACCCCACCCCCGCCCCGCAGAGACGCCTTCAACATCCAGGTGCTCCACGCCTTCGTGGAACTGCACGAGTTCACAGACCTGAACCTCGTCCAGGCGCTGCGGTGAGTGCCCCAGCCCAGCCACCCAAGGGCGACAGACCTGTGACGTCCCCTGAGGACTGACGCCCCTGTCCCTGTCCCCTCCTGCCTGTCCCCACTCAGGCAGTTCCTGTGGAGCTTCCGGCTGCCAGGGGAGGCGCAGAAGATCGACCGCATGATGGAGGCCTTCGCCCAGCGCTACTGCCTGTGCAACCCCGGGGTCTTCCAGTCCACGGGTGAGCAGGGCCTGCTCCTTCCCGCGGGCGGCACCCAGGTGGGCGGCTGGCTCACCTCCCTCTGCGTTTGCTTGACTGTCTTTTTCGACGTCGGGGCCACGCCCAGCAGTGCTCAGGCTTCCTCCTGCTGTGCTCGGAGACCCTACTGGGTGTCAGGGATTGAACCTGGGGCAGCCTCCCCTGTGCCCTCCCTGGGAACGTGCGCCCCCCTCACGGCCCCTCGCCCCACAGATACCTGCTATGTGCTCTCCTTCGCCATCATCATGCTCAACACGAGTCTGCACAACCCCAACGTAAAGGACAAGCCCACAGCTGAGAGGTTCATCGCCATGAACCGCGGCATCAATGATGGTGGCGACCTGCCTGAGGAGCTGCTCCGGGTAGGAGGGGTGGCAGGCGTGTGCGGGGGGTGTGTGTGTGTGTGTGGTCACTGTGCTGGTTTCTGCATGTGTGTGAGGTCTGAGGTCGCTGTGCTGGTCCTCATGTTTCTGTGTGTGTGTGTGTGTGTGTGTGTGTGTGTGTGTGTGATCACTGTGCTGGGTCCCTGTGTGTGTGTGTGTGTTGTCACCGTGCTGGTCCCCATGTGTGTGTGTGGGGTCACTGTGCTGGTCCCTGTGTGTGTCAGGTGTGTGTATGGGGGGGGGGCGTCACTGTGCTGGTCCCCGCGTGTGTGTGTAAGGTCTCAGTGCTGGTCCCCGGGGTGTCTGTGTGTGTGTATGTGTACATATGTATGTGTGTGTGGTCACAGTACCGGGTGTCTGTGTGTGTGTGTGTGTGTGGTAACTGCACCGGGTCCCTGTGTGGGTGAGTGGGGGGTGGTGTGCGTTGAGCCGGGCCTGCTGCTGAGTTGCTGTCCAGCTGCCCTTTCTGCCCGGCGTGGGTTTGGGGGTGGCATGGAGGATGGCCAGCCCGGGCTCAGGCCTGCGCTGTCCCGCCCAGAACCTGTATGAGAGCATCCGGAACGAGCCCTTCAAGATCCCCGAGGACGACGGCAACGACCTGACGCACACTTTCTTCAACCCCGACCGCGAGGGCTGGCTGCTGAAGCTGGGTGAGCGCCGGGGCTGCCCGCCCACCCGCTCTCCCTCCCGGGGCAGGGCCCCCCCAACCCCCTGCACCCGCATCATCACGTCCTTCCGCCTCGGGCTCCCCCTGCGTGCATGGCCCGGCCTGGCTGCAGCACCCACCACAGACGCTGCCCTGCCGGCACCACTGCGGCCCCCCTGCCCGCTCACCTCTCTGGCCAGTGCGGGCGGCTGCAGGGGCCTCGGCGAGCCCCTCCTCGCTGGCCTCCAGCTCCTCCTTCAGTGCTCACCGATTCCTGCTCGGAGCCCGAGGCTCTGACGCTCTGCAGGGCCACACCCGGTCCCAGCCGCCCTGCCTGGTCCCCAGGACACAGGCCCCCGTGCACATGAGCAGATGTGGACAGTGCGGCTTGGACACTGCTCTGGGGGAGCACTTCCCCACGGGCACTTCCTGCTGCAGTAGAGGCCGGGGTGCTCCTGGCACATCACGTCGCGTGACAGTGTCCAAGGAATTTGGTGTTGGTGACCCTGACTGCACAAGTCTGGCCTCCCCGGAAGCTCCTGCGTGCATGGGCTGCTGTGTCTCAGTGTAGCGCAGAGTTCTGGGTGCTGGTGTTGCAGCCCCTGGGACTGAGGGTGTTGGAGACCCCAGGACTGATAATGTTAGAACCCCGATACCGATGATATTTGAGCCCCCGTCCGATGGTGTTGGAGCCCCTCATCTGATGGTGTCGGAGCCTCCCGTCTGATGGTGTCGGAGCCCCCTGTTCTGATGGTGTTGGACCCCCTATACTGGCTTGGAGCCCCTGTCCAGTGGTGTTGGAGCCCCCCCGTTGACGGTGTTGGAGCCGCCTCTGCTGGCTTGGAGCCCCCCGCAGTGCCTTCTGTAGGAGCAGATCCCCCCTGCCTGTACTTGGTGTCCACACCCGCGTGCATGTCCTCAGATCCGCGTGTCACAGGCCTGAAGCCTCAGGCCCAAAGAAGGGCGTTTCCTTTCTTTGCTGTCTGGTTTATGGACAGGCCCATGAATCTGAGGTCTCTGGGGATGAGTTCTGCCCCCTGGGGCCAGGTGTCAGGGGCGCCTCAGATCTCGCCTCAGCTGGGTGAGACAAGGCCAAGACCGGTCCCGACTGACCTTGAATGCTTGCCCCTAGAGCTCTCCCTCGGTGCCTGTTTCTGAGTGCTCCCCTTGGTGCTCCCCCTTGGTGCTCCCCCTTAGTGCCTGTCTCTTAGTGCCTGTCCCTTGGTGCTCCCCCTTGGTGCTCCCCCTTAGTGCCTGTTCCTTGGTGCTCCCCCTTGGTGCTCCCCCTTAGTGCCTGTCCCTTGGTGCCCCCCCTCGGTGCTCTCCATTGGTGGACCCCCGCCCTCAGTTGGGAATGTCTAATGCACTTGCAGATAAAGGAGGCAGGTTTGATTTCTTTGTTTTAATTTTCTTTTCTCCCTCATTTGTATGTTCCCATGATTTTGGCTCTCCTTTTCCTTGCCCCCAACTCCAGGAGGTATGTAACCGCCACCTGCTCGCTCGCCGCCCCCGCCCGCTCCCCAGTCATCGCTGCCACAGCTTCCTGTCTCGTTCCTTTGCCTCTTCTGCTTTTAACCGCTGCTGCTGGTGTCCTTGCTGCTTCCGGCGTGTTTACAGTCCCTGGGGAACTGGCCAGGCCCCGGGGTCTCCTACAGGGACGGGAGCCGCCCACTGGGCAGCCGGGCCCCGAGATGGCACGTGGCCTCGGGAGGGCCGGCAGGGCCCCCGGCTCCTCTCTGAGGTCGGGTTTGCTGGACTCAGCTGGACACTGAGCTGGCCTGGCGTAAAGGCAGTTCCGGAGGGCAGCGGGGCTGCCTGTAGGCTGACACCGGGGCCCCAGCTCGGGCCAGCGCAGACTTTCGGGGTGCCTGTTTGCTGTTCCGCAGGGACTGTCCTGGCTGTGCATTGGCTTCCTGTCTCGTCTGCCTCCTCGCCCGCGCCCACAGCAGGCGAGGAGGGTCAGCCTGGCTTCCTCCATCTTCCTCCATCTCCCTCCTCCTGCCATCGGACCCCGTTCCATGACCCCAGACCCCCAGTACTGCCCAGTGTCCTGGGAGGGGCGCATGGGCCGTCTCAGGTCACGAGGCCTTAGCCTCCCGGGAGTGGCCGGCCCGGGCCACCTGCTCTTGGGTGTCCTCTGCACCCCCATGCAGACGGGCGCCACGTGGGGCCCAGCGGGTTGGTTGCCTCAGGCCTGTGTCTCGCTCAGCCCCCCTCTGAGCCTGCTCTGTAACTGACTGGTCATGGGGTCTCCCCGGGGTGGCCCCACCAGGGGGCCTGGGCACCCCGGCCTCATTTCCTCGATCTGCCTGATGGCCCCGCTCTGCCCCGGGGGTCACACTCGCGTGACTCTGAGCAGGGCCGGGGTCTCTGTGGCCGGGCACCAAGCAGTGCTCCCAGCAGGCCTTGAGGCCTCTGCCCTGGCATCGTTGGGTGGGAGACTCCCGGGTGTGCTGCCTCGATCTCCTGCGGGGCAAACCGCTGTCCCGAGAAACGCTTCCCTTACCAGGGGCCAGGTGGGAGCAGGCAGCTGTCCACGCAGCCTCTCCCTGGGTCCCACACCTTGGCCGGGCACAGCACCCCCCTCCGCGCTACCCCCAGCGCCCTTGGCCAAGGCCTGCCGGGAGCTCTGGCCCTGGGGGATTTCTCAGAGGGGTGCTGCCAGCGGCCGGGAAGGGGTCCCAGTGGGGGCGACTGAGCTCTGACCCTGCTCCCCGCTGCCAGGGTGCGGGGCTGGGCCCCCCGCCAGCCGCTCTGCTTGTGCCCTGCACCCCCGCCCTGCTCCTGCCGTGTTTCCGGGGGCGCCATCTCTGCCTGTGGGGTCTCCCGGCCCCGTCCAAGGCGGTGACTTTCTCTGCAGGCGGCCGGGTGAAGACCTGGAGGCGGCGCTGGTTCATCCTCACTGACAGCTGCCTCTACTACTTCGAGTACACCACGGTGAGCCGGGGCAGGGGGTCCCAGCTGACCCAGGGGTTGGGGTGGGCCGGAAGGCGGTGACCCAGCAGTGCCATGTCCCCCTCAGGACAAGGAGCCGCGCGGGATCATCCCCCTGGAGAACCTGAGCATCCGTGAGGTGGATGACTCCAAGAAGCCGGTGAGGCCGGGGGCGGGGACAGGGGGCTGGAGTGGCCCTGGGCTGCCCCCCGCTTCCTTCCTGCCACCCCTCCCAGTCTCCACCCAAATGTCTGGCGGTGGCACATGGGCGTGCCCGACGTCCATCTCACCGTTTCCCTCTCACCCCGCATCCCCAGAACTGTTTCGAGCTCTACATCCCCGACAGCAAAGACCAGGTCATCAAGGCCTGCAAGACGGAGGCCGACGGGCGGGTGGTGGAGGGCAACCACACGGTCTACCGCATCTCGGCCCCCACCCCCGAGGAGAAGGATGAGTGGATGAAGTGTGTCAAGTAGGTACCAGGCGGCTGCGACCGGTCAGCTCGTCAGGGGCCGGGTCAGCAGGGAGCGGGCGGCAGGCAGTGGCCAGCGTGCTGTTGTGCTGAGGGTGGGCAGAGAGCATGCCCAGCTCTGGCCACAGTGGTCGCGCAACCCCAGCTCAGTCACTGGGCGTGGCGGGGAGACTCAGCTGGGCTTCCGGGGACAAGCCGGCTGAGGTCTGAGGTCTGGCCAGGGAAGCTGGTGTCCCTCGGGGCGGGGGGCAGGGGGACTGCCATCTCGGGCACTGCAGGAAGCCGGGCTCTGGGGCCTTGCCAGGACCCCCCCCCCCCCCCCGGGAGAGGGTCAGGGAGAACAGAACCGGGTCCTGAGGCCGCAGAGTGGCTGAGACTTGGGGTGCAGCTCGGGCTGGGGGTGACTCCCCCCCTAACCTGCTGTGTCGCAGCTGGAACCAGGCCAGCGCTGGCACGGCCAGCAGTGGACACAGGTGGCAGCTGCTCATCATCTCGGCCTGAGTCCCTCCTGCCTCAGGCCAGGCACTGCCCTGCTCAGGGCCGGGTGTGGGATCTGTGCCCCGGCGGTAGTGAGTGTCTGTGGAGCTGGCCCGTGGCCACTGCCTGGCCCTTCCCGCGGGACGTGCAGTGGCCGCCACTCAACCTGTCCGTCCGCAGGGCCGCCATCAGCCGCGATCCTTTCTACGAGATGCTGGCAGCACGGAAGAAGAAGGTCTCATCCACCAAGAGGCACTGAGAGGCACGGCTCCGTGACGGCTCGTGACTGCCCTGTGCCGCAGACTCGGCCTCCCCGCTCCCGGACGGCCTTCGCCCCGCCCAGACCCTCCGCCCGTAGTCAGTGCAGCAGGCCTGGGATGGCCGAGAAGCCGTGTCTCTCCAAGAGCAGCCAGGACAGACGGGCGGGCAGGCCAGCAGCCCTCACCGCATGGTGGGGCCGGCAGCCGCGCCCCTGGGGCTGATCTGCGTAGGACAGAGGGTCTGGGGAGCCCCCACGCAGCGAGGACTCAGCACAGACGGGGCCTGCCAGAGCTTTTGGGGCTGCAGGGGTAGCGGCCAGCACAGCAGGCTAGGAGCTGCTTCGCCATCCAAGTGCCTGGAGGGCACTGTGGGGGAGGCTCAGGAGCACTGCGGGGAGGTTCGCGGCCACGCCCCCAACACGACTAACCAAAGCCACGCGCTACCCGAGGCCCCGCTTGGCTTCCGCCTCCCCAGCTCCAGCCTCGTTTTAGAGGACAAGCAGGCCCGGCCCCACCTCCGGCCCGCGCTTCCGCCGCCTCCCGCCCGGCCCACGTGGGGGGTGCTGAGGACGCACCCCTCCCCTCCCCGTGCACCGGCTCTGGGGGGCTCGAAGCGCTTGTTCTCCTGCCTTCTCTCAGGGACTCTGGGCAGCCCCGGGCCAGCCGCACCCCACCCTGCAGGAGGCGCTCATCTCTGGAAATCGCTTTTGTAGAGCAGCCTGTGGGGTGTGGGGGACCCTGTCATGCATCTCCCCCTGGGGTGCCCAGGTGGGTCTGCCGGCCCCGGGCACCCCCCAGGGTGTTCCCGCGGGCACTGGGCCAGTGTTCCCTATTTATCAGAGGTGTAAATAATCCATGTATAGTTTTCTCTTTTAGATTATTTTGTATTTGTTTAAAAAAAAGTTTTGTCGAAATATAGACTATAAAGAGATGACTGAAAGTTGTTGACAGGGTTTTTAAAAAATTATAACTCTCCCGACTGTTTGGGGTTTGGGTTTTTTGTTGTTACTTTGTTTTTGATTCTTGCATTGTAATCTAATGCCACGGAGCTGCAGCAAATAAACTCAGACCTGCCCCAGCCAGCTGGCACCTGCCATGTCCTGCCTGAGCCTGCTGGGGTGGGAGAGAAGGGCCCGGGACAGACGCTGTGGCCAGAGACCCCACGCCTTCTCCTGCCAGGGGGCGCAGGTGGTCGAGGTGGGGCCATGCCCCTGGGTGCTCTCAGGCCCTGTGGGAGCTGGCCAGCGCTTCCCAAATGATCAGCATCCCCAGAGGAGGCCACGCCATGGAGGTGGGGAGACCCCCCTGTGTTTGGCAGGGTGCTTGATACGACCATGGAGGTGGCCACAGTATCTGCTAGCACCATAGGGAAGAGGCTTGCCTTGCACACAGCTTGTCTCCGAGCACCGGCAGGAGTGCTCCCTGAGCACTGCCAGGTGTGGCGTCGTTCAACAAAAAGCAAAATGCAGGGGTGGGAGAAATTAGCGGGTTAGGCACTTGCTCGTCGCCCTGACTGTGTCCACGCCCAGGCCCCTTCAGGCGTGCTCTCAGCACCTTCAGGCACGGCAGAAACACTGAGGAAAGTCTAGTGGCTGAGAGGAGTTTCCGCTGGCTGGTCATGAGGACCCCCAGCCGTACTCATTCAAATAGGGGCTCCTTGGGACACGAGGCGGGTGGGGGCTTCCCGGGTATGGTGAGGGGATCTGGGGGGTTTGCTCCACAGAGACCGGGACCCCACAGTGACCCAGACACCCTAGGGGCCTATTGGCCGGCATGAGGTGGAGCGTGCATGGGGAGACTTGTGTCCCAGGGGCTTGTCGCCGGCTCCTGCAGACCCAGGATCAGAGGAGGGGCGGTGGGAGGGGGATGAAGCCGGGATTCTGGGGGTGGAACCCCCTTATTCTGGCCTGAAAGATGGCCAAGCCAGGCCCAGGGAGCTGGCAGGCCTCCTTGCCGCTGTCCCAGCTCGCTGGGCCGCAGGGTCTGCAGAGGAGTGCCGGGTTTCCAGGGTGCCTTGAGAGTGGCATCTACTACAAGTGGGGTGCAGTGGGTGGGGAGTTAGGGACAGGGAGTCGGGGGGTGAGGAGTACGCCAGGATGGCAGGGAAGGGGCCTCCTCGGTGTCTGTAGGACAGTCCCCCTTGCTGGGCCCCCAGCCCCCTCCTGTCCCCTCGCCAGTGGAGGCTTAACTTCTTTCTGTCCAGGCTGGGACACTCGCACCCGACCCTGGAGCTCTGCTCTGCCATGAAGGGGAAGTGTGGGGGCTTCCTCTCTGCCCCTCCCTCGAACCCTGCTCTGTGCCTGTCAAACTGGGGGCAGGCAGGGGTTCGCCCCTGAGATCCTGGGGGTCCCACAGCCTGAAGCAGTTACTCTCCGGCCGCCACAGAGAGAAGGATCCCCAGCCCGGAGAGTTCCGGGGGCCGGAAGGGCTCTGACCCAGGAAACGCCCTGCACAGGCCATGACCCTGGAAAGACCGGTGGTGGCCGGCCAAAGGCCTGGTCCTCAGGCTACCGAGGAGCAGAGGCTCCGGGTGGGGCTGAGGGCAGGGACATGGCACGGAGGTCAACCCCACAGCACAGTCCCAGGGCCCCCCGTCTGCCTGGTACCCCCGATGGCAAGAGTGGGTGCAGGGCCAGGGCTCCCAGGTGAAACCTTCATTTCATAGAGTGCACACACACTCCCTCTCCCTCTCTCCCTCCCTCCCTCTCCTGCTACCGGCCCCCCCATCAAATCTGATTTGTTCTTCCAGATTTATCCAAAGCGGCAACTAACTGCCCTTCACAAAGCAAAGCTCTGCCTGGAGCCACTTCTATTTTGGGACCCTGGGCAGCTGCTCCAAAGGGAACGTTTCTTGGCAGCTTCAAATATCAGCCATGGCTCCAGTGGGCACCGTGCATACACACACGCTCTCACATGTATGCTAACACATGCACACATGTACTAAAAGTCACACATGTACGTTAACACACATGCACGTTCTCACACGTACACTAACGCATGCATACATGTATTAACAGTCACGCATGTATGTTAACACATGCACATGCTCACACGCACACATAATAATGTCACACATGTATGCTAGCATGCATGTACTTGCTCTCACATGTATGATAACATGCACATGATCTCATGCGTACACACGCACAGTTCCATGCTAACACATGCACACCCATACACTAACACATGCACGGGCTTTCACACTAACATGCACATGCTCCCTATATGCTAATGCGCACATATATGCAAGTGCATTGCTCTCACATATACTAACATGCACATGCTCACACCTATGTTAACACATGCACATGCTCTTACTCTGTATGTTAACACATTTTCACTTAGATATGCTAACAACACATGCGCATACACAAACATGCTAACATGCAATATTCTCATGCTAACATGTGCTAGCACTCATGTACATATATGTGACAGCTCAGCGCACATGATCACACTCACATGCGTGTGCTTCCCTCCTCCCCCTCCCTCCCTTTCACTCCTGGGCGTCTGAGCAGGGTGGACCGGGAGGCCTCCAGCTGCCCCACCTGCCCCGGCACTCAGCTCGGGCCTCGCCAGCACAGGCCGGATGCTCAGAAGCTTCTGCTCGATGCGCTCAGGAAGAGTCTGTCCAGCCAGCAGCCTGGCTTGGTGGGGGGCTCAGGCCCCCCTAGAATCCACCCTTGCCCTCGGGGGTGGCTGATGGGCCCGGGAAAGCCCCCTGCTCCGGGTGGGCAGCCGGAAGCTCCATGTTGATGCTCGCAGCCACAGGTCGTGCGGCCACAGGGCCCGGGTCAGAGGTGAGCCGGACTGCCAGGGCTGCCCGCTCACCTGGTTCTGCAGCACACGCAGAAGCACCTGAGCCCTCCAGCCCGTCCCCACGGCCAAGAACAGCGTCCGCCTTAAATAATCCTTAGGCCAGACGCACTGGGGGCCACCGGTACCCACACCCCTCCCGGGGTTCCCCAATTAGTTTGTTCTTTACACAGAAGGACCCTGGGATTTGTAGTTCTGTCTTAAGCAGACACCAGGCAGAGCAGAACTAGAGAGGGGCACAGGTAAGGAGACCGCCAACCCTCCTCGGACGGGGTGGGGCAGGCTTGCAGGCTGGTACTGGCTGCTCCTACTTCCCTCGGTCCATGGCCGGGGGTTACAGTTCAGCTCTGCCTGCCAGGCCCAGCCCTGCTCACCGGGTCCAGCACTGCCTCCTGCTGCTCTCCGCTTTCCCGAGGGGGAGAAAGGGCGCTGGTGCTTCACTGTGGGGGAGCTCCAGCCCACCTGGGTCCCTGCCCTTACCCTCAGGCTTCACTGAGTCCCTCCGGGGGATTTCTGCAGCTGTGGGAGAGACTATTCTAGAACACCACTGGGGCTCTGGGGATGATCCCAGAGTGAAAGGAGCCTTTGTCTCGTGGGCCCGTGGGTCAGGCAGGGCAGGCGCGTGAGGCCCTCCCAGCCCCCCTTTCTCCTGTTTCCCGGGTTCAGCAAGGGCACAGGGCAACTGGCCTGAGCAAAGGGGTGGGGGGGCCAGGCCCTCCCCCCTTGTGGGGGCTTAGAGGACATCTGCTCTGCCAGGTGCATTTCTATGCCCCCGTCACCCCCCCATGGGGACAGTGCCCGGCAGTGGCAATACGGGCCTCTTCCTTCTGGTGCGGCGGGCCTTGGTGCCCTGCAGGGAGCTGGGCTCCCCTTTGCCTGGTACCCCAGTGTACGGTGTTCCTGGCAGCGCCCCTGTGCCAAGCCAGTCCCCACTCCCCAACCCCAGGCCACAAGTGTCCATGGGGCCTCAGCCGTGGGCGATGCAGTCAGGGCTGCACTGGCCGGAAGGGTGGCCGGAGAGCATGGTCACACCCAGAGTCTGGGGGGCCGGGGGTGTCGGTGAGGGGGGTGAGCTGCGTGGAGGGGCCCTGCAGAGACACAGTGGCGTCAGGACAAGTGACACGTGTGTGGGAACAGAATGGCACAGCGCAGCTGTCACGCCATGGAGCAGCGCTCTGGCCAACTGTGGGGCACAGACAGTCATGGGGGACCCCAGGAAAGAGTCTGAGGGTGGGGGAGCCCCAGGGAAGGGCCCTGGGAATGAGGCACTTCCTGTTGACAGTCCTTATGCATCTGGGTGGGAAGAGCGAGGTCCCTGAGTGGGGAGAGAAGGGGAGCCGGGGGGGGGGGGGCGGAGAGCAGGGACCCTGGGTGGGGCCGGAATGTCTGGGAGCAGATAGACCCTCCGGGGAAAGAGGGGTGAAGGAGCTGGCTCGGTAGGGTGGGAAGTGCGGTACAGCGCAGGCATGGAGTTGGGTGGCAGGAGGTGTTGGCTCTTGGGGTCACGGCTGCTCACCCTGGCGCCCCAGCAGAGCGGGCGAGTCACCTGCTGCCCGCCCCCACAGGTGTCTGGTGTCTGGGTGGTTTCCAGGCCGGGTGCTCCCGGAACATCACTGAGCCTCTGTTTCTTACACAGGAAACAGTGAACCCAGAGTCCCTGTGTCCCCAGATGGCCCTTTACTACCATGGCGCAGGTGACCAGGCCCCAGGCTGCTCACAGTTCTGGCTCTGCAGCCCCTCCCTCCAAGAGCCCGGCCCCTCACTGTGCTCTGTCTACCAGGCTGCCTCTCCCCCCTCCCCCACCCAACAGCGTTTGGAAAGCTCAGTTCTCTAGTTCTCTTGATTTTTTTTGTTTTGGGAGCCGATCCTGACAGTGCTCAGGGCTTACTCCTGGCTCTGAGCTCAGGAATTACTCCTGGCAGTGCAGGCTTTGGGCAGAGACAATGGCCGGAGCAGCCCGTAGGAGCAAGGGAGGTTGTGAGCCCCTGAACTCCGGGACGACACTGTCCCCAGAGGCAGAGAACTAGGGCTGAAATTCACCAAGGTAAGCCCCCTGCCCCCGCAGCACCTCTCCCTGGGCTCCTGCCTCTGTGGGGGAGGCAGGGAGGAGAGGGGACCCTCTGCAGTTGTATCCGGCCGTGTAGAGGCAAGCTGGGGTGGGCTTGTTGTTGGTCACTGGGAGACTGTAACAACTGTATTATGAACAATACTGTAAACCATGGTGTTTTAAAAAATTAAAAATTGAAAAAAATAAGCGGTGATCTGAGTGGTCTTTTAAAATGTTTTTGCTGTTGTTTTGGGGGCCACACCTGGTGATGCTCAGGGTTTGCTCCTGCCTATGTACCGGAATCACCTCTAGGAGGCTGGGCGCAGGGCAGCTGCATGCAAGGCAGGTACTACCCACTGTACTATCTCTCCGACAACCCCCCCCCAACCAAATTTTAAAGAAAAAATATTTGAGGGAGTGAGCTGAGCCACACCAGGCAGTGTCCAGAGGCCACGCCTGGCTCTGCGCTCAGGAGTGTCCCCTGCTGGCGCTGCAGGAACCGTGGGTGATGCCGGGATTCAAATCTGGGTTGCAGTTCCCTCTCTGTGCCCTAATTGGGCTTTATCCGGGTCATCTGATTGGTCCTTATCTAGGTGATTTGATTGGTCATTTCGGGTGACCAATCAGAATGGCGGACTATGGGCCACGCCCAATCAGACGGCAAGGGCGGGGCCAGGTAACCTATATAAGCGCGATCCCCCCAACCCGTGCGTAGGGAAGTTGTGGAGGGTCTGCGGGCAGCCGTTGGCAGTTGCTGTGCGTGGTCTCCTGTGGTACGGCAGCTGGTTGGGCCCATAATACCTTTCCGTTCGGCTCCGAGTCCAAGTGATCCCCGTCCTGGCCAGGACATCTCGGCCAGGGTGCACCTCACACCTCACTCGCTCTCACCGGGGGATTCGCCGAGGGAGAACCCGGGAAGGGCCCGCGGGAGGCAGGGTTCTGACCCAGCGCTCCTGGGTGGGGCGTGAAGAGGATGCAGACGCGACTCTGACTTGCACAGCCCGTGGTCCAAGAGACCTCCCCCTTGGGCAGCTGAGCCAGAGCCCTTTTTTCCTGCCTCAAGTCAGTCAAGCCCCCGGAGAAGGTTCTAGACGCCCCTGGTCCTCAGGTTCCACGGCCGTTGGAGCTCTTGGTGGCAGGGGCCATTTCCTCTGCTGGTGTGGGAAGGGCTGCCAGGCAGTCCCCCGTTCACTGCTGGAACTGTGCTGAGCTGGTGAGCACCCCTAGCGTGTGAGGGTGCCGGGACGGAGACCCCTGCCCGCCCAGAGCTGCCCGTGACTCCCAATGCCCCAGTCCATCGTCCCCTGCCCCTGACTACTGACGACTCGGGCAGCCCCCAACCCTGCCCCCAGGAGCTGACCGTCCCTAGGCACACCACCAGGGCAGAGCTGCTTGTGTACCCGGGCTCCAACTGCACCCCCAGGGATGGAAGAGAGACCTGTGGGAGAAACGGGAGGTGGGGTCCCTCACCCCTAATGTGGGGGTGCGCTGAGCCCCTCCTCAGGCTCAGAGTAAGCTGGTTCCAAGACAAGAGCTCCCCCACATCCCTGCTGCACCTCGACGGGGCTGGGGAGAAGGTCCTGATTTCGGGGGGGTGGGCATCACAGAGTTGGATGGGGGCGCCCAAGCTGCCTCTGCAGGGGCTCAGGGGCTGGTATGATCCGCCCACCTGGGGGCGCTCCTGGACCACGCTGAGCCGTTGACTCTGCTCCACAGTGGCTCAGTCTTGAAACACCGTTTGGGTGAATTCTGGGGCATCCCTGTGCGGGGGCTGCTCTGCCACGACTCCCCCAGCCGCCGGCAAGAGCTCCGGCAGGGGACCCCCATCCCAAGGAGCCGTGGGCAGGCCTGAGGTCAACTCTGCTCATGGACATCTGATTGGGCAGGCAGGAGTTTTGGGTGCAAGGCCAGAGTGACAGTCCAGTGGGTGAGGCACTTGCTTTACATGTGGGCGACCCAGGTTTGATCCCCATACGGTTCCCCCAAGCCCGCCCAGGAGTGATCCCTGAGCCAGAGGCAGCAGTAAATCACCGGGTGTGATCCGAAAACCAAAACCAAGTTGGGTGCGCCTGGCCAGGGCCCCCCACAGTGCTCACGGGCCATCCCCCTTCTCTGAGCTTGCCGATAGCTGGGGTGCAGTGTCTTCCTGGGCCCCCCTGCACCCACACACCAACCGTCCTGATCCTCGTCCTGTTCTCCAGCCTCCTCAGCTTTGTGGGCACAAGTACAAAGGCGCCCCCACTGTGGTGTGGCCACATTCCTCAGGGGCAGCCCATGGGGGAGCTGGTTCCAGCTCTCCCTGTTCCCCGCCCAAAGCCGCCCCTTCTCTCTTTTTTTTTTTTTTTTGCTTTTTGGGTCACACCCAGCAATGCACAGGGGTTACTCCTGCCTCATGCACTCAGGAATTACCCCTGGCGGTGCCCAGGGGACATACGGGATGCTGGAAATCAAACCTGGGTCGGCCACGTGCAAGGCAAATGCCCTACCCGCTGTGCTATCCAGCCCCCAGCCGCCCCTTCTCGAGGGGGCTTTGTGGGAGCAGGAAACTCGCCAGAGCCTGGGAAATGGAGCTACTCCCACTGTGCTCCCCGTGCAGGACAAGGCCGCGCCATGACCATCACCCAGGACGTGCGGCTGGAGTACCTGGAGGCTGTGTCGGGCAGCATCCTCAGGTTCAAGCCCGACCGGTGGAACAAGATGCTGAGCTCGGAGGAGAATGTGGCCATTTTCACCGACTTCCTGGAGAAGCCGGACACTCAGGTGCTGGTACTGACGCTGAACCCGGCCGGCCTGATCGTGCCCTGCCTGGGCTTCCCCGCCAGCCTTAAGACCAAGGGCGTCTACTTCATCAAGAAAGTGCCCGAGAGCCTGCGCAAGGACACCTTCAAGGAGAAGCTGCTGTTCGGGGACATCAGCCCCATGCCCGTGGAGCATCTGATCGCGGTGGTGGAGGAGGTAGGTGCCCCTGGCTCAGGCACCGCGGGGAGCCCTACCCTTCCAGCAGCGGGGGGGAGGGGCGCGGTAAGGCACCCAGCCCACTACGGCCAGCTCACTCCCTCTGGGCAGCACCAGGACCCTGAGCCAGGCTGGGGGAGCCCATGCCCATAGGCCTCCGGCCCCCCCAGCGGCATGAGGTGGGCATAGCAGGTATACGGGTGCTTTGGTCTGTCCTTAGGGACCCAAGCTGCCTCTCAGCCTCCTCCAGTGTGACGGGGGAGCTGAGACAAAAGGACCCCAGAGCCCTCAGTTATCTTCAGCACCTTGGAAAAGGCAGTCCCAGCCTGAGGCGGGGGGTCAGGAGATGCAGCCGGGGTGCTTGGGGGGCACACGTGCCCTTGGCCGTGCAGAAGCCTGATCTCAGCCCTGGGTCTGCACCCCATCCCGCCCCACCTCCTCCTGCCTCAGAAGAGGGGTTCAGCCTGGTTCCCTCCCTCAGGTCCTCTACCCACTGCTGAGCCAGAGTGAGAACACGAGCGGCTGGCCCCGGGTGGTCTCGGAGGACATCGTTAAGCAGGCCCACCGGCTCAAGAATGAGATGTTTGTGATGGGGGGCAAGGTGAAGGGCAAGACGCTGCTGCCCATCCCCGAGCACCTGGAGAGCCTGGACGGCACGCTGGAGTCCATGGAGAGGTAGACACCGCCCCTGCCCCGCCCACCCAGTCCACTCCCTCCTGCTTCCTCCATGACCTTGCCCTGACGGCTCTGCCCCCTGGCTGGCCCCGCCCCGGAGCTGGTAGCCCCGCCCCAGAGCTGGTAAGCCCACCCCTAGAGGTGATAGGCCCCGCCCCTAGATGTGATAAGCCCCGCCCTCATAAATGATAGGCCCCGCCCCTAGATGTGATAGGTCCGCGCCTCTGTTCCCCAGACCCAGCATCCCATCGCTCTCACACCCTCCGATCCCCCCTTGCCCCATGCCTGATGCTGCCTGACCCCCAGAGCTGACCCTGAAGGTAACCATGGCATAAGACTCAGCCCAAAACCCCAGGTGCCAGCTCTGGCCCTGCTTCCACAGGTGCACTGGGTCCCGTACCTCCCCCACCAGGTCATCCCGCAGTCCATCTAGGGCTGGGGACATCCAGCTTTGGGGGGGGGTGTCTCAGCAGGGTCCCCAGGGACACGTGTGCTGGGTGAGGGGCTTCTGAGGGGACACAGCATGATAGGGTGACCACTTGAGAGTTGGGGCACGACAAAGGGCAGCTTCTGGGGGGGCTGCGCACAGGCAAACCGTCCCCTGGCCCCTGAGTCCTCCAGTGTGGCCTTGGCGTCCCTGCCCTCCCCAGTCCACGGAACTGGGCAGGGCGTGGAGCCTTCAGGTATGTGGAGATGCTGGGGTGGCCCCACCAGCAGAGCGGGCAGCACCCTCCCGCTGTGAGACGGCCTTCCTCTGGGCCTCCCCTGGGGGGCTGCTGAGGGTCCACAGGAGGAGCACGGGCGCCGGCGGTGCCTCTGACCGGGCTGGCCCGCAGGATCCCCTCCTCCATGGACAACTCGCTGCTGCACTCCATCGAGACCATCATCATCGACTGGACGCACCAGATCCGGGACGTGCTGAGCAAGGACTCGGCGCAGATGCTGCTGGAGGGGCTGCACCCGCTGCCCAGCGTCGAGTTCGACTTCTGGGACTCGCGCCTCATGAACCTCAAGTGCATCCACGAGCAGGTGCGGGGGCGCCCACCGTGGCAGGGGGCGCCGCCAATGCCCGGGGGCTGACACGCCTGTCGCCCTCGCAGCTCAACCGGCCCAAAGTGAACAAGATCGTCGAGATTCTGGAGAAGGCCAAGAGCTGCTACTGGCCGGCTCTGCAGAACGTTTACCTGAACGTCACTGAGGGTGAGCAGTGGCCTTGCAGGGGCGGGGCTCGTCACTCCCGGGGTCACCGGGCGGGAGAGTGGACCCGGCCGGGAACCAGCATCCGCTCGCCTGCTCAGGCCTCAAGGAAGCCAACGACGTGGTCCTGTACCTGAAGCCGCTGCGCATCCTGCTGGAAGAGATGGAGCAGACGGACTTCAGCAACGTGCGTGCGTCACTTCCGGGGCGGGGCCAGGGCCAGGACCCGCCCCTGCCCGCCTCCGACCCGGTGTGTCCCCGCAGGTCCCCACCTATATCGCCAAGGTGCTGTTCACCATCGGCTTCATCTGGGCCAACTCGGAGCATTACAACACGCCGTCTCGGATCATCGTCATCCTGCAGGAGTTCTGCAACCTGCTCATCGAGATGGTAGTGGCCCCGGGCCGCAAGTCCTGGGCAGTGCCAGCCCCGCCCTGCTGAGGGTTCTTGCTCCCCCAGAGGGGCTCTGTGGGGCCACCCCCCTCCGCGGAGCAGATGCTGCCAGGCTGGGGTGGGTCTGGCGTCCCTCCCCCAGAGCGCCCACACCCTAAGCCTCTTCCCCTGAGCACTGGCTGAGGGCCCCCAAAGGAGCGGCAGGCTGGGGATGGACTGGCACGGGGACAGGCCCGGTGGTCAAGAGGGCATGCCCTCTCCCCTCAGACGAGGACGTTCCTGAGCCCGGAGGAGGTGCTGAAAGGGCTGCAGGGCGAGATCGAGGAGGTGCTGGTGGGCATCTCACAGTCGGTGGCCGTACTCCAGGGCCTGTACCACGCCTACAGTCACTGCTGCACGCACATGGGACGCTTCTTCAAGGTGCTGAGGCCACAGGCGCACATGGGCGAGGCTGGCAAGGAGTGGGGGGAGGAGGGGGCGAGGACAGTGATGTGAAGCAGGGCAGCGACTGGGGGCGTGGCGAGTAGTGAGGGGACCTTGAGGTGACGCCCCTGCTCTGTCCAGGACAAGGACCCGGTGCCTTGGGAGTTCCCTTCTTCCTTGGCCTTTTCCAGAATGAATTCCTTCTTTCATCGCCTGCAGACCATCGAGGTAAGGCTGGCCTGCCCGCGTTCTCCCCCTCCCCACCCCTGAGGGATGGGGATGCAACGGTCCATGCACCACATGGACATGGGAGTCCCTGGGCTGCAACGTCCCTGCATCCGGGACCTGTCCCCTGCTGGTGACACTGCCGAGGCCCAAGGTCAGGCGAGGGAGCAGGACCCGGGTTGTGGGATCCCAGGAAGCACTTTGGGGTTGGGGCTGGATGGCATATGGGAAAGAGGCTTGGGGCGCAGTTGGGGAAGGAGGGGGCAGTGGTGGTCCACTCTCCTGATCCTCGGCCGTAGACCTTTGGGGGCAGTGACCCTGCATCGCCCGTTCAAATGGGGAGGCCACTGAACCTCGGTTTTGCTTCTCCTTTGAAGCTTTTTCAGAACCGCCCTCACTGCGGTGATGGCCACCTTATTGCAGGGTCGCACATGGGGGCTCGTTGGGGCCACAGTGTGGATTGCAGGCTGGACTTGGGTAGGGATGTCTGATGGAACAGGGCCCGGTGGTTCTGGATGGACAGAAGCAGCAGGTGTGACGCCACATCTGAGAGGCAGAGCCATGGGAATGGAACCACAGGGCAGGGCAGGAACTCATGCACTGGGCTGTTTCTCTCCCATACCTGGTGGTGCTCAGGGTGGGGACATGGAACCGTATGGGGTGCTGGGGGTAGAACCCCAGTCGACCATGTGGAAGGCAAGTGTCCTCCCCTGGTACGACCACTTGGTCCCCTCCCCCAGAACCTTTACAAAACAGCGATTGAGTTTCTGAAGCTGGAGAAGATCGAGCTGGGAGGGGTGCGGGGAAACATCCTGGGAAGAGCCATCACTCAGATTTACGACGAGGTCTTCGAGCTGGTGAAAGTGTTTGCTGAATGCAAATATGACCCACTGGACCCTGGAGACCAGGTCAGCAGGTGGCTGGGCAGTTTCCTGGGCAGCTGCCCCAGAAGGGGGAGAGGCAGCTACAGGCATGGGGGTCCCTACACTGTGTGTGTGTTTGGGGGACACACCTGCTGGTGCTCAGGGACCATACGGGGTACAGGGCATGGAATGCAGGTTGGCTGTGTGCGAGGCCAAGACCCTCCCTGCTGTTGCCTTGCTCCGACCGGGGCCATGGGGAGCCCCACACTGCTGCACAGGGCCTGGACAAATGCCCGAGGGCAGGCACAGAACTTGGGCACAGCCGCAGTCCTGGGGGTAGCACCTGCCTTGTGACGGGCGACAGACAGCATGCGGACTTTTATGCACTTCAGAGCTTTGATGAGGATTATGCTGATTTTGAGACCAAAATTAAGGACCTGGACCGGCGGCTGGCCACACTCTTCTCCCAGGGATTTGACGACTGCTGCTGTATCGAGTGCTGTGCCAAGGTAGGGGCTGGGGCCCCCACTGGTGCCAAGAACCCAGAGCTGAGCTGATTGGTACCTGCGTTTCGAGGTCGGGCCCTGGGCCAGGAAGGATAGCCCCTCCACAGCGCCCTCGGAATCGGAGGCCACGAAGCCTGGAGCTGGCCGTGAGCTGCTCCACTCACCCTTTGGTGCACGCAGAATGGTTTGCTGGGTCCTCCTGGACAGCGCCCCAGAATTTTAAAGGAGCGAAAAGGAACAAAAGGGGCTGGAGCTATATAGCACAGCGGGGAGGGTGTTTGCCTTGCATGCGGCCAACCTGGCTTCAATCCCCGGCATCCCATATGGTCCCCCGAATACCGCCAGGAGTAACCCCTGAGCATCGCCGGGTGTGACCCCCCCAAAAAAATGAACAACAACAAAAAAAGGAACAAAAGTCAGAGGGCAAGGCTGCTGTACTGATGCTGGGCAGGACTGAGGCCAGCTCATGGGTCGCACGCCCTCCCTGGGATCCTCGAGCAGTGGGCCTGAGGGGGCACACAGGCAGCCCCCAGCCCCATCCAGGCTCTTGCACACCAGCCTTCCTTGCCATTTGCCAGATCTCAGACTTGTGGGCAGCTGAGCCACCTGGCCAGGTCCCCCCCCCCACCCCGTGACAGCCTCTTTTCCCAGGGTGCCCAGCTCACCCCGTCCTGGCCGCAGCAGTAAGAGGCTGGGAACCAAGACTGCCTGGGGGCTTCTGCGGAGTTTCCGGCTGTAGCCTGTCACTGTCGTAGCCGCCACACGCCGACATCCATCCACATGCGTGTGGGGGTCACGCTGGCTCCTGCAGAGTGGAGGTGCCCGGGGTCTCGTCCTTGGCACTGTGCCCGCTCTGCTTGTTGGCAGAATTGGTTCCTTCTGGTTCTCGGATGGGGCTTCACTCATGGGCTGTCCCCAAGGGCCACAGGCCTCCCATCCTGGGCTCAACCGGTTCGGGGGTGGGGGCCCATGCTGAGTCAGCTTGGCCCACCATGGGTCTCTAGGGAGGGTCCTGTCGCCCACACTCCCTGCAGCCCCCACGAGGCTCCCAGCAGAACATGGTCCTGGGATCTGTGTCACTGTCCCACCCCCTCCTCCTCTGCTCCCGGAGGTGCAGCTCGGTGACCCTGGGGCCCAGCCTTTCTTGCTGTGAGAGAAATGTTGGGGGCCCCTGGTGGGTCCTCCCAGTGGGGTGCCCATGCAGCTTCCCAAGATGACGTCAGGTGCCTAAGGTCGAGCTCTGTCCACGGGCACGCGTGGAGCTGCAGTCTAGGGATGGCAGAGGGCCTGCTGTACATGGGGTCAGAGAGGGTCCCCAGGGAGTGGTGACACCCCCAGAAGGCCCAGGAGGAGCCCAGTTCCACCGCAGACCCGGACCCCCTGGCTGAGGGCCTCCGTTTAGGCAACCCCAGGTCCTTCCCCTCCGCCGTGGGGCTGGGTGGCCTTGAGCTCCCACGCGCTCCCTCAGCCCTGAGGGTGGGTGTCCCTCCTGTCGCCCAGCTCCTGTACATGTGCGGGGGCCTCCTGGAGCGGCCCCTGATCCTCGCCGAGGTGGTGCCCCGGTACTCGGTGATGCTGGACATGCTCAACACGGAGCTGGACAACGGCAAGATCCTGTACGATGCACAGGTGGCCGCCTCTGCCGCCGGCAACATCCCCCCCATCCACAAGAACATGCCCCCCGTGGCCGGGCAACTCAAGTGGAGCCTGGAGCTGCAGGAGAGACTGGAGGCCCCCATGAGGGACATTAAGATTGTTGACCACCCGTGAGTCCACCTGGGCGGAGGCGGGCGTGGGCGGGGAGCGGAAGGGAGGGGAAGGGTGAGAAGGAAGTGGGGAGGAGGGCAGGGAGGGGGAGGAGGAGGAAGGAAAGAGAAGGGGGGTGGGGGGAAGGGGAGGAGGAGGAAGGAAAGAGAAGGGGGGTGGGGGAAGGGGAGGAAGGAAGGGGAAGAGGGGAAGGGAGGAGGTGGGGTGGAGGAGGCTGCCCCTCACCTCCCCTGGGTGGGCTGTGCTTCTCCGTGTCAGCGTGGTTCCCGAGACCCCTCTTGCCAACTCCTTAGTGCCCCACCCTCTGGGTCAGTGCTTCTGGGAGGGCGCTGGCTTGCCCCCCCTTTGGTGGTCAGTCTTGGGGGAGCCCTGGATTAGAGCGTACCCCCAGTGGAGCCAGCAGAGAGAAGCGGGCAGGTACAGGGCAGGTGGGCGCGACTCCGTGTCCGTGCTCAGGGCCATGTCCAGCGTGGAGGCCAAGCTCGTGTATAAGAAGTACGATGAGATGATGGACCTCCTGCGGCGGTACCGTGAGGACACGTACATGCAGTGGGTGGGCCGCGTGGACGCCGACTGCCACTTCAACCTGGGCCAGCCCCTCATCCAGCGTGACCCCAACACCAGGCTCATCCAGGTCAACTTCAGCAAGGCGGTGGGTGCCCGACGAGGACCACAGGGGCCAGTTCTACAGCCAAGCGGGTGCTCTGAGGAGGCCCTCCCCGGACAGGGCAGGAGGGGAGTGAGGAGGAGAGACCACAACGCTGGCTGAGCCGCAAGCCGTACACACACACACACACACACACACACACACACACACACACACACGTATGCACATATGCACACAAGCATGTACGCACACATGTGCACATGTGCATGTACACATATGCACATATGCGCACATGCATACACATACACACATGCACACACATGCAAACGCATACATGTGCACACACATGCACACAGCCCTGAGCTCGGGCTGGCCCCAAGTGCCTCCCTGCTAGGCCTCACCAGCCCCTGGAGTGACCCCTATGGGAGCGGGGGTCAGTTTAGGACATAAATGTGGCCTGCTCCATGCATGGGTAGAGGCGAGAGGCTGTGTGAGCCAGCGCCCTAATCTCCACACAAGGCCGGGGACGGCATCCTGGACACGGGCTGAGGGGCTGAGACCAGAGCACAGTGGAACGGGGCTGGCAGAGGGCAGGGTGCACAGAGCACAGTGCAGGTGACACGCAGCGGCTGCGGAGGGGTCTGACCCATGCCCGTCTGCCCCAGCTGGTGGCGGTGCTGCGGGAGGTGAAGTACCTGATATTCGAGCACCAGGAGGACATCCCGGAGAGCGCCGAGAGCCTCTTCTCGCAGAACGAGACTTTCCGCAAGTTCGTAGGCAACCTGGAGCTCATCGTCGGCTGGTACAATGAGGTGGGCCTCGCTCAGAGCGGACGCAGACGGCGGGGCACGCTTTTACTTCGCCAAGGTGCCAGGCGCCTTCTCCACGGCTCTGCACCCCAGACTCTTCTGAAAGTCAGGGTCAAGGATAAGTACACTATAGACTGGAGGAGGGTCCATGGGGACCCTCTCCTCTGACCTGTGAACTTAGTGACTCCCAGACTTCATCCCCTGGGAGCACAACCCCACGTCCAGTTTTAGGGTCTCAATGGGGCGGAGGGTCTGAGTCCAATAAGCCCCCAGTCACCTATGTGATTTCTTTTTTTTTTTTTTACCTATATGATTTCTAATTAAAAAAAATAGTTCTGAGGGGGCTGGAGCGACAGTACAGAGGGTGGGGTGTTTACCTTGCATGCATCTGACCCGGGTTTGATTCCCAGCATCCCCTATGGTCCCCCAATACTGCCAGGAGTGATTCCTGAGTGCAGAGCCAGAATTAACTCCTGTGCATTGCCAGGTGTGACCCAAAAAGAAAAAAAAGATAGTTCTGAGGCCAAGAGATGGTAGAGTGGTTAGGGGGCCCACCTTGCATGGGCCTAAACCAAGACTGAAGATGCCCCAAAGGTTCTCTTGAGGTCCGCCAGGAGTGACCCCAGCTGCAGAGCAGTAGCAGGCCCAGGCCTCTCCGGATGTGGCCCACAAAAGAGCAAAACAAAACTTTTTTTCTTTTAATAAAAGAATTTTGGGAACTTTCCCAACTGATGCTAAGGAGACCTGAGGGTCCCACTGGTGATTCTCGGCCAATGGGCTGGTGGTCCAGTGAGAGGGCCTGAGGGTGCCGCCGGTGAACTGCCCTGGGCGTCCCCCACCTCCTCTTCCTGGGGGCCTCCAGGGCTGCACCTAGCAGCGCCGAGACCGAGCCTGGCCCAGGTACATGCCAGGCAAGTGTCTTAGCCCTGAAACGCGTTGAGCTCTGGCTGTCCCTTTTGTCAGAGCCAAGTCCAGTTTGGCCCACACAGGCCTTGACTTTTGCATTTTGCACATTCCTTTACTTTCACGCCACCCTGTGGTAAGAAAGAGCTTTGTTTGGGGTCTGTTTTTTGTTTTGGGGCCACACCTGGCAGTGCTTGGTACTGGCTCGTAGCTCGTGTTCGGGGATCACTCCTAGTGGGCTTGGGGGTCCTTATGTGGTTTCAGGCTCGGCACAGATTCCTGGCCAACAGATCAGTTCAGGAGTTCAGGTCCCCGGGCTTCAGGCTCTTCCGAGCTCCCGGGCACCGCCAGGCCTCACTCCTGAGCCCAGTGCCAGGAAGAGCCAGAAAGAGCCCCTAAGCACCGTCGGGTTTGATTCCCAGAACCACCCCCCACCCCTCTAAAGCTGAGATCCGGGCCGGAGCCAGAGCACAGCAGGTGGGCGTTTGCCGTAAGACAGTTGACCCGAGTCCCATCCCCAGCCCCCCACGTGGCCCCCCGAATCCCCCAGGGAGTGGCCCTGAGTGCAGAGCTGGGTGTGGCCCCCAATCAAAAGGCACGATTTTCCCACCCACCGCCAGGTGAGGCCTCACTGAAAGTCCCCACGCATCTCGGTGGCCACTGGGGGACTCACGGGGCTGTGCTCGCAGATAAAGAAAACGGTGATCGGTGTGGAGCTCCCACTCATCAAGGCGGAGCTGGAGGCCATCGATGTCAAGCTGCTGCGCGCAGAGTCCACGCTCTTCTGGAACGGGAACGGTAGGCCCTGCGCCCGCTCCACTCCCAGGGACCCTCGGCCTGGCCAGGGGTCTGAGCCATGGCCGGGGGCCTCCAGGTGTCTTCGAGTACATCCAGGAGATGCGGGAGATCCTGCATGACCTGCAGAACCGGGTGCAGAAGACGAAGCAGAACATCGAGGGCATCTCTCACGCCATGCAGGTGCCTGGCCGGGAGGCTGGCTGGGGACACCTGGGCTGTGCGGGGGACTCATGGGTGTGTATGGGGACTCACGGGGGTTTGTGGGGGACTCATGGGGGTGTGTGGGAGACTCACGAGGGTGTGTGTGGGACTCACAGGTGTGTGGGAGAACTCACAGGTGTGGGGGACTCGGGTGTGTGGGGGACTCACGGGTGTGTGGGGGGACTCACGGGTGTGTGGGGACTCGGATGTGGGGACTCAGGGCTGGGGGGGTCTCATGGGTGTGTGACTACTTTTAGCCTTGTGGGCTTTGTGGGGCTCATGGCACTCAAGGGCACTGGCGCGTTTGGGGGCCCACAGACGCACAGGGCCTCCCTCCACTGTTCCTGCCGCCCTGCCCCCGGCAGGCTTCTGGGCAGAGGTGTTCCCACATGTTCGCCCCAGCCTCTGCCTTGGGGACCCCGTTACCTTTCTGGGTGCTGAGGAGCGCTCCCTGGCCCCCTGTGCACCTCTCCTGCCACACTTCGGTCCCTCAGGAGTGGTCGGCCAACCCCATGTTCGAGAGGAAGGACGGCAAGAAGGAGGCGCTGCTGGACCTGGATGGGAGGGCCATGAACCTCACCAGGCGCTACACGGCCATCAAGGAGGCGGGCGCCAGGATCCAGGCCATGGTGCTGGTGGGTGCCCAGCCGGGGGGTTGAGCTTCGTAGGGGCAGGTCCCCAAGTCTTGTTCCCAGGATGAGCTGCTGGAAGGCAAGTGTGTGAGTACGTGCGAGTGAGTGTGTGAGAGCTTGTGTGAGTGTGTGTATGTGAGAGAGCATGTGTGAGCATGTGAGTTAGAGTGCATGTGTGAGCGTGCATATGTGTAAGTGTGTTTGAGCATGTGTGAGTGAGTCGTGTGAGTAAGCGTGAGTGAGCATGTGAGTGAGCGTATGTGTAAGCATGTTTGAGCATGTGTGAGTGAGCCATGTGTGAGTAAGCATGTGTGTGAGCGTGAGTGACATGTGTGAGAACCTGTGAGTGTGTGTGAGTGTGTGAGTGAACCTTGTGTGTGAGCGTGCATGTGTGGGTGAGCATGTGTGTGAGTGTGTGAGAGGTGTGTGTGTGTTTGTGAAAGTGTGAGTGAGCTGTGTGTGAGCATGCAAGTGTGAGAGAGTGTGTGAGCATGCATGTGTGAGTGAATGTGTGAATGCAAGCATGAGTGTGTGTGTGTGAATGTGAGTGTATGTGTGGGAATGTGAGTATGATAGTGAATGTGAGCGTGTGTATGTTTGTGAGCATGGTGAATGTGTGAACATGATCATGTGTGTAAGTGTATATGAGTGAGAGTGGTGTACATGTGAGTTTGCGTGAGCAAGTATCTGAATGTGAGTGTGGGGAGCAAATGTGAGTGTGTGTATGATGACCGTATGTGAATATGTGTGTGAATGATTGAGCGTGCATGCGTGCGTGTGTGTGTGTGTGTGTGTGTGCGCGCGCGCGCGCGCATGCACTCTATTCAGCTCCAAAGAACTGGCTGCTAAGGTGTGTCCCTGGGCCGCAGCTGAGACGGGTTGAGTGGGGTTCGCCCAAGCATCGGAGCTGGACCCAGACCCAATGACCCGGAGAAAGCAGCACACTGGGTGGTCCCAGAATCCCCAGCTGGCCGAGGAGTCAGTGTGGAGACAAGGACAAGGGTCACTGCTGAGCCCCAGATGGACAGAGGAGCGAGGGCGCCCCCGTGTGACCGCCCCTGCAGGAGAACTCGGAGCTGTTCCGGGCAGACGTGGCTTCGGCATCCTGGAAAGAGTACGTCAACTATGTGGACCACATGGTCCTGGAGGGCTTCGACTCCTTCATCCGCAAGTCTCTCGGCTACCTCACGGACAACATGATCTTCCACGTGAGTGCCCTGCCGGAACCCCAGACACGTGCCCCAGCCAGAGCCCTTCTCACCTGGAGTCCCCGGGACATGCTGGCTGATGTTGGAGTGCCACCCCTGCACAGGCCCGCAGAGTCACCCCCCCCCCTGTAAACCGTGCCCACCAGGACCCTGACCCCTGGCTCTTCAGCTGAACTCCAGGCTGCTCTGAATTGGGGAAATAGCCCAACATGTGGCCTCAGAAGTGCCGTTGTGGTGGGGTCACCCTGAGGGTCGGCATCTCCAACAGCAAGTGACTGGCCAGTCCCCAGTAGCGTCCAAGCATGCTCATGACCACACCGTGCCCCCACCATCAGCGTGTCCTTCTGGAAAAGCCCTGGGGTCGCCACGTTTGCCGCAGTTCTGGCTGTTTGTGCAGCCCGGGGTCAGGCCTCTGCACGGCGTGCATGGGTGTGCACCTGCAGATCTCATGGGTGTCTCTGGGGTGTCACAGGTGCAAGTTGTGCCCTCTGTGACCTCCCAGTCAAGGCTGCCCGTCCTCGGGGCTCCCACAGCAGACAGGGTATGAGTACGTACGCCCAACCTCTCTGGGGTACGGGGGGCCCTTCAGTGCCCTTTTCACAGCGTCCATGCTGCTGCTGCCTGAGCCCCCCAGTTCCCCAGTGAGGCGGGTGTGGTCGTCCAAGGGGCACAGGAGCCATGGGCCTCGGGGGCTCTGCTGCGGGCCGGCGAGGCCGTGACTGTCCCTGGTGCCGGGCAGGAGGGCATCGCACCGCTCTTTGAGGTCCGCCTGGAGCTGAACGAGGATGGGCTGACCTTCAACCCGTCCCTGGAGGTGGGCGCCGACCAGGGCTTCCTGGTGCTCCTCGAGGGACTGGTCAACGACATTTACAACGCGGCCAAGCTCATCCCACGGCTGTCCAAGGGCCGCTTCAACTACAAGGTGGGCGCCGCCCTTCCCAGGGATTTCAGCCACACCCCCCTACACACACACACACACACACACACACACACCTGCAGCAACGTCCACCAGGTGCTGAGCTCCATCGGTTCCGGGAGTGTCTGCACGGCTGGCCGCTGCGGGCATGGTCACACAGTGCTGAGTGTGGGCTGGGCCCAGCTGCAGGGCTGACTCCTGTGGGCAGGTTCTTAGGTTGGGGGGGCCTGCAGATGGGCCGAGGACCCCACTTCCTGCACCCCGGGCAGGGCACCTGCCGGTGCTCACCGTGGCCCACTGCTGCCCACAGACAGACCTGGAGGATCTCACGGACCTCATGGACATGCGGGAGGAGCTGTCCAACCTGGTGCTGGGCGCCATGAAGGAGGCCGAGGAGTACCAGGACTCGCTGGAGAAATACTCGTATCTGTGGATGGACGACCCGCAGGAGTTCATGAAGAACTTCCTCACATACGGGCGCCCCGTGTCGGCCGAGGAGCTGGAGGGCCGGCTTGAGGACAGCATCCCCGCGTCGCCACCCACCCTCGCCCAGTTCCAGGAGCAGGTGCGTCCGCCCCGCGCCCTGCTGCCCTCCCTCCCTCCAGAGCCCCCTCGGGCCCGGGCTGACGGCGGCTGTGGGAACTGTGTCACCCAGTGGGTTTTGCTGTTGCTCGGGCTGGGGAGACCAGCAGAGCAGGGGACAGCTGCTAGGGGAAATGTGGGGGACTCAGGTCCCAAGGGGAAGGCCACACCAGGAAGGCCACACAGAGGCGAAGCCATGCAGGGCCATGCTTCCTGGGGGTCTGGGCCCACACGCAGGCCACTGGACCTGCAGGCTGGTGTGGTTCCGTGAACGCGGCTCCACCCAACCTCCCACCCGGCTTCCTTGCGTGGGTGGGTGGAGGAGCACTGGCTGGGGGGTCCATCCCCGCACCCCCACCCGATAGATGCCTCTGGGGTGCTGTGAACGTGCCGTCGTAGCTGGACATGCTCTGCCCACGTGGGGGGCCAGGGGCGGCGCAGCCACTCCAGCCCTGGGAGCCCTGTCTCCTTCCCGGTGGGTGACGAGGCGTCTCCACAGATTGACTCGTATGAGAAGCTGTACGAGGAGGTGTCGCGCTGCGAGAACACCAAGGTCTTCCACGGCTGGCTGCAGAGCGACTGCCGCCCCTTCAAGCAGGCGCTGCTCAACACCATCCGCCGCTGGAGCCTCATGTTCAAGCGGCACTTGAGTGACCACGTCATCAACAGGTGCGCGGGGACCTGGGCCGCGGGGCGGGGTGGGGCGGGACACGGCAGCCCCACCCACCGGCCCTGCCCGTCTGCAGTCTCGCCGACCTGGAGAACTTCATGAAGGTGGCCCGGGCCGGTCTGAAGAAGCCCATCAAGGAGGGCGACTACGACGGGCTGGTGGAGGTCATGGGGCACCTGATGAAGGTCAAGGAGCGGCAGGTGGCCACTGACCGCATGTTCGAACCGCTGAAGCAGACCATCGAACTGCTGAGGACCTACGGCGAGGAGCTGCCCGAGGAGGCCCACGTGAAGCTGCAGGTGCGCAGACACAGCCCCTGGCACCACCTGGGAACTTTACCTGCACACGTGCACAGAAACACCCACGCGTGTGCAAACACACGGAGGAGTCAATACACTGGGCAGTGTGCTACGTGCACATGCACACATGAAGCACACAGCCAGGGAATGTACATGTGTGAGCATGTACGTATACCTGAGCATAAACAGGGAACTTAATACTTGCATGTGCACACGTGAGGCACCCAGCAAAGGGATGTATTAACATGTGTGTACACACATGTGGATTGAGCCGGAAGCACACGCGGATGGGGCAGTTCTGGTGACAGAAGCACCCAGGGTGGTCCCCAGGTTGGGCATTGGAGCTGCTGGCACATTTGGGCTCCCGGAGGCCACCGGGGGTGCACCCAGGCTGCCCTGGGCTGTGGCACTCATGACGGCAAGGGGGTTCGGGCGAGGAGGAAAGGCGTGGCTGTGCTGTCTGCAGGAGCTGCCGGAGCAGTGGACGACCACCAAGAAGCTGGCCATCCAGGTGAAGCAGAACGTGGCCCCCTTGCAGGCCAACGAGGTCAGCATCCTCCGGCGCAAGTGCCAGCAGTTCGAGGTAGGTGGGCACGCTGGCCCCCCAGCCCCCCCACGGCCATGGCCACAGCCATAGCCTGCACCAGGTGCCTGAGCTGCGTCCCACTGTCTCCGCAGGCCAAGCAGCACGAGTTCCGGGAGAAGTTCCGGGAGGAGGCGCCCTTCTCCTTCAGTGACCCCGACCCCTACAAGTCCCTCAACAAGGTGCCGGTGCCATGGGTGTTGTGTGTGTGCCCCTTTGTGTGCCCATGTGTGTGTGTCTGTTTGTGTGTCCCTGTGTGTGCTCCTGTGTGCGCTTGTCTTGCATGTACACCTGTGTGTGTGAACACTTGTGCCTGCCCTTGGGGCTGGCAAGATAGCACAGCAGGTAGAGCGTTTGCTGACCCAGGTTCAATTCCCAGCATCCCATATGCTCCCCCGAGCACCGCCAGGAGTAATTCCTGAGTACATGAGACAGGAGTAACCCCTGTGCATCGCCAGGTGTGACCCAAAAAGCAAAAAAAAAAAAAAAAAAAAAAGAACAAACAATAAAACACTTGTGCCTGCGCTTTTGTGTCCTGTCTCTGTGTGTGCACATGTGTGTCTGAGTCTGCATGTCATATCCTTGCGTGTGCCTTCATTCTGTGTGCGTGCATGTGCGTGTAGGAGGCGGAGCCCCGTTCAGGGCCACACAGCCTGGCTGTGCGCACGTAGGGCCTCAAGGCCAGGTGTGCCTGGGCTCCCTCTGCTTCCCGCTGTGCCTCTCCCGCCACCCTGGGCTATGGCGTCCCAGCGGCTGGGATTGGGGCTCCTTTGTGGCGGGGGAGGGGGGTAAGGGGGGGCCTGTGCACTCACTCCGCCCTCCGCCCCCAGCAACAAAAGAGCATCGCGGCCATGAGAAGCAGCATGGAGGCACTGCTGAAGTCGGGGGGCCTGTTCGAGGTGTCAGTCCCCGACTACAAGCAGCTTAAGGCCTGCCACAGAGAGACGTGCCTGCTCAAGGAGCTGTGGGACATGATCTTCACGGTGAGCCAGCCCTGCCAGCCTGCAGCAGTGGGGGCGCCGTGGGGGCTTGTTCTCTAAAGGTGAGCCCGCCTCACACCCTCCATGCCCAGAGTCCGTGCTGGTGGCAGTTCCCTGGGTGTGGCCCCTGGCAGGCTCTGGCTTCTGCGGTTCTCTTGCCAGGGTCCTATTTTTGGTTTTGGGGGCCACACCTGGTGGTGGCTCAGGGCCAACTCCTGGCGCTGTGCTCAGGGCGCTCTCCTGGCGAGGCTCGGGGGCCTGGGGGTAGGCTGCCCGCAAGACGCTGTGATCTCTGCCCTTCCCAGGGGCTTCAGAAGAGCAAACATCCTCATGGCCCTGCGACTCCTCTGTCCTGTCCCCGTTTCACGGGTCACACCCGGAGCAGCAGGTCCCAGGACGTTGCCAGGGGCCGAGCCTTCTTGTTTCTCCTAAAAGCTGCTGGTTTGGGGCTTTACACAGAAGGCCGTGACCCAGCCAGACTGGGTGTGTGTCCGCACAGATGTGTGTGACAGGACTGGAGGAGGAGCTGCTTGGTCCTGCTTGGGGCTCGTTGTGTCACCCAGGCCTTGACTCTGTTCTCGGGACCTGCAGCACTCAGGGACCCTGTAGGAGCGACAGTGCCACTGGCTGCGGCCCCCACAGGAAATGAGCCAGGCCCTAACCCCCTCATAGCACCACAGAGCCATGATTGCCGTCCCCTGAGGGCCTCCTAGTCCCCTCCCCCCCACCCTCTAGACACACTGCCCCGGTGAGCGGCTCTGGAAACTTCCATCCCTTCCACCTGTGGCTCATGGCCAAGGGCCTCGTCCAGTCCTGACAGTGCTCTTCGACTTCCTGTCTGGAAATCCTGAGCCTGCCCGGGGTGGGGGCAGACTTCCCCCCCTGGGGCCTGTCTGCCAGGCACTTGCCCACTGGGCTCAGCCTCTTGGCCTGTTCAGCCTCAGCTGATGGTGAACTGGGGGCTTGGCTGCTCAGTGCCTTGGGGGGTTTGGATGCTCCAAGGGGCTTTGCCCTGTGCCACCCCCATGAAGTGATGCTCACGGACGCGCACCCCGCTCCGCCTGCTCGTGCCCAGGTCAACACGAGCATCGAGGACTGGAAGACCACCCAGTGGAAGGACATCAACGTGGAGCAAATGGACATTGACTGCAAGAAGTTTGCCAAGGACGTGCGTCAGCTGGACAAGGAGATGAAGAGCTGGGACGCCTTCGTGGGGCTGGACAACACCGTGAAGAACATGATCACATCGCTGAGGGCCGTGAGCGAGCTGCAAAATCCCGCCATCCGCGAGCGCCACTGGCAGCAGCTCATGCAGGCCACCCAGGTGGGCAGCGGCCCCGGGCAGGCGGGTGGGGGTGTGGCTGAGAGCTGAGGCGGCCGGCCATGGCCATGCGGCATCCTCCCCCATGACACAGGCAAGTTTCCAGGGCTGCAGACACTGACACACAGTTACACACACACACACACATACACGGGGACACACAGACACAGTTACACAGACACACACACAGGTTGAAAGCTCATCACAGAGTGCTGAAACTTTGTGATTCTGTCGTGTTTGGGAAGGTGACACAGCCGATGCCTCTCGGGGGACCCTCGTGGCCCAACGCTGCTCGGGGTCCCCTTTCGTCCTGGGTGTTGAACTCGGGTGCCGGCCTGCAGCCTGTGACCCAGCCCCCCAAGCCATCTTCCTCGTTGCATCCCAGCAATTCCCTTGCCTGGGCTGGCTAGTGTTCTCGAGCCTGGGGGCTGGCTGGCAGCTGTGCCGGACACCCCCTCCCACTAGCCCTGGGAGCCCGCATTTCCCAGGAGTTGCCCTCTAGGAAGATGCTGACCCCAACCTCTGCTGAAGACCACCAGAGGTGGGCTCCCCATAATGTGTGTGGCCCCCGCAGGGGAGCAGCTCAGCCGGGCTTCCCAGCTGAGGTGGGGACACCAGACGGCCACAGAAGGGTCTGGAGGCCCATCCTCTCCCCGGGGAGGGGAGCAGAAGCCCTGGGGTATGGCCTGGTCCTTGGGGGCAGCTGGGTCTCCAGGATGCTGGCCCCTTGTTCAGGCCCCCCACGGCAAGGGGCAGCCCCTGGGCACCCCAGGGTCTCAGCACAGTGGGACTCAGACATTTGCTTCCTGTCCTTGGCCAGTTTCCAGAGGGCGGTGGGGGTGGGGTGCTGAGGATGGGATTGGAGGGACGTGTGCACCCCCTGCCCATCTCATCACTGAGCTGCGACACCTGTGCCTCAGCCTTGTTACCTGGGAGGTGACACTGTCCCCAGCCTCCTCCTCTGAGCAGCAGCACAGGGTGTTGGCCGGAAGGAGGCGGGTCGTGGCCAGCGCCCTCTGTCCTGCTGGGACCCTCTGCCCAGGAGGCCGTTTGTTTGGAGGCTCAGCAGGGCAGCGGGGACGGCATGCAGGGAGGGGAGGGGAGGGGAGGGGAGGGACGGCGAGGCCGCAGTGCCGGAGTTTGCAGCTGCTCTTCCTGGCACCCCCCGCCCCCCCGCGCAGGTGAAGTTTGAGATGTCGGAAGAGACCACGCTGGCCGACCTGCTGCAGCTGAACCTGCACCGCTTCGAGGATGAGGTCCGCGGCATCGTGGACAAGGCGGTGAAGGAGTCGGGCATGGAGAAGGTAGGGCGATTGCGGGCACCCGGCCAGAGTCCCCGGCTGGCCCCGGTGCCGGCCTCCACGGGGCCCATCTCTGCCGCAGGTGCTGCGGACCCTGGACAGCACCTGGTCCACCATGGTGTTCGAGCACGAGGTGCACCCGCGCACGGGCGTCATCCTGCTCAAGTCAGACGAGGTGCTGGTGGAGACCCTGGAGGACAACCAGGTGCAGCTGCAGAACCTCATGATGTCCAAGTACCTGTCACACTTCCTCAAGGAGGTGACGAGCTGGCAGCAGAAGCTGTCCACGGCCGACTCGGTCATCGCCATCTGGTTCGAGGTGCAGCGCACCTGGAGCCACCTGGAGAGCATCTTCATTGGCTCTGAGGACATCCGCACGCAGCTACCGCAGGACGCCCGGCTCTTCGACAGCATCGACAGGGAGTTCAAGGTGCTGCGCGGGCGGCCCGGGGTGAGGGCGCGGAGCATGGCCCCTTCACATTCCCGCGACCCCCGTCCTCCCTAGGCCCTGATGGAGGATGCGGTGAAGACCCCCAATGTGGTGGAGGCCACCAACAAGCCGGGGCTCCTCAACAAGCTGGAGGAGCTGAAGAAGAGGTGGGCTCCCAGGGAGGAGGCGGGCAGGGGGGACACATGATGTGGGGGCTGGCACGTGTACTCGCCTGCACACACTGGCCCAGCACCCCGTAGGCCCACTGGGTGGTCCCGAGTATGGCCGGACAAGGCCCCCAAACAGAGATGCTTCCTCCTGCCACAGGAGCCCGAGTGGGCTCAGAGCCGGGCACGGCCCACAGGGATGGGGTGGCCTGACCCTAGCCGGGGAAGGCCACTCACTGCACACTTCCTCCCCCAGCCTGGCCGTGTGCGAGAAGGCACTGGCCGAGTACTTGGAGACCAAGCGCCTGGCCTTCCCCAGGTTCTACTTTGTGTCCTCAGCTGACCTCTTGGACATCCTGTCCAATGGCAACGACCCCGTGGAGGTAGGCAGCCCAGCCATGGGGCCAGGCTCCCCACCAGGGCCTGGACAGCCCCGGATGTGGACGTGTCCACAGCATCGCCCCCACAGGACCGTGCGGACCCCTCACGTCCATGGTTCATTCCCCCACACAAACAGAGTGGAAGGAAGCCGCTGCCAGGCACCCTGAGACCCGGAAGGGAACCATGCAGTGCCCGGCACCAGGGCAGCAGGGAAGCTGGGCCCTGCCCTCTCGTCCCTCCGCACATGCCCTGCCTGTGTCCTGTCTGTCCTGTCCATGCCCTCCTCCCCTGTTCCCCTCGAAACCCTCCTTCCACGCCCCTGGGCAGGTCTGCAGTGGCTTTGCCGCCCCATAAAGAGGCAGCGCCGTCTGCTTTGGGGGAGCACCCGCTCCCTCGAGCGTCTCGCTTGCACCCGCCCAGGTGAGCCGCCACCTGTCCAAGCTCTTCGACAGCCTGTGCCAGCTGAAGTTCCAGCTGGGGCCTGAGGGGAAGCCCGCCAAGGTGGGGCTGGGCATGTACAGCAAAGAGGACGAGTACGTGGACTTCGACAAGGAATGCGACCTCTCGGGGCAGGTGGGCGCTCCTCCCTCCCGTCTTCCTCCAAGGACAGGCGGCCCAGGGGCCCACCCTGGTGGATCCAGAGAGCCCCGCTGGGCCTGGGCAGCCTGTCCTACCGCCCCATCACAGGGGTGTCCCCCTTTCCAGTCTCTGCCAGCCTGTCTCCCCCGAGCCAGCAGGCGCCCCACTGCCCTCTTGCCCCCACAGCCGATCAATAACCCCATCGATTTGGACATTAGCCTGGGCAAAAGTATACAAGCTGTGGGGTGGGTGGGGGCAGGGGGCTTCATCTCACATAAGAAAACCAGAGGGGCCTCCGGCATTGGACGTGGGGCACTGGCAGGCTTCCTGGGGGTGGGGGGAGGTGGAAGGGAAAGCCTACCTAGTCTCTGGCCTGCACCCCCAGCTGAGGGATTAGACAGAGGCTGTCGGACTCTGACAGAGCCGGAACGCGGCAGGGCAGAACCCTCTGTGTGTCTCCAGTCTCAGCATGGCCTCAGCAGCTCGGGTGCAGCTGGGCTTCTAGATCTTTCCCTAGACCCACCCCTTCTCTCCTCTGCCTGGGAATGGCCTCTGAGCCTTGTGGGGAGGGGCCCAGCCAGGCTTCTGAAGTCGTCCGGTCACATCACTTACTGTCCACTGAGTGGGTGAGGCGGGAGCGCCGTGGTCCTGGCAGTATTGTGGTGTGACGGGGGTCCTGATGGTGGCGGGGCGGGGGAGTGCTGATGACAGCAGGGACTGTAGTCGATGTAGTAAAGCGAGTCGTGGGGACTGGGGGGCGCGGGGCTCACTGCGGCTCCTGCCCTCCCGCCTCAGGTAGAGGTCTGGCTGAACCGCGTGCTGGACCGGATGTGCGCCACACTGCGCCACGAAATCCCGGAAGCAGTGGTGACATACGAGGAGAAGCCACGGGAGCAGTGGATCTTCGACTACCCCGCCCAGGTCCGAGGCACCGAGGGGCATGTGCCCCGGGGGGACCCGGCCCTGCGGGAGGATGAAGCTGCTGCTGTGGGGTCTGGGGGCCGCGGCTGGCGGGTCAGGGCACTGTGGGTGGCTCTGCCTGCAGATCGCGCTCACATGCACCCAGATCTGGTGGACCACGGAAGTGGGGCTGGCGTTTGCGCGGCTGGAGGAGGGTTACGAAAACGCCATCAAAGACTACAACAAAAAGCAGGTGAGTGGGGGGCCGGAGCGTGGCTCCTGAGCTGCGCCCAGGGACACCGTGGGAAGGCGGCAGAGCCGATGCTCCAAATCCCAAAGGCTTCCTGCCGGGATTGGCCGGTGCCTTAAAGGGTCTTACTTAGGGCCTCAGCGATAGAACAGCAGGGAGGGCGCTGGCCTTGCACGCGGCCGGTCTGGGTTCGATCCCTGGCATCTCATTTGGTCCCATGAGCACTGCCAGGAGTGATTTCTGAGTGTCGAGCCAGGAGTAAGCCCTGAGCATCGCTGGGTGTGACCCAAAACAACAAGAAGACATTCAGGGTTGGAGTGCCTGTCTTGCATGCACCCACCCTCGGTCGATCCCCAGTACCACTGGACCCCTGGGTGCAGCCCCAGGGTCGCCACGGTGGCCCTGCACTGCAGCATTCCATAGTCCTCACATGGCTGGGGGCCTCCTGCTAACCGCACCATCGCATTCTCTGGCCCAGTGGGCTGAGAAGCACCGGGAGGGTCTGCTGGACTCCGGGACCCCCTCCCCCAGTAATAAAACACGTCAAACCCAGTGTCTGCTACCAGCCACCATGCGTGGCCTTCCCTTGCTCTGCTGGTGTTTCGAAGCTCCTGGCACCCCACCAGGGGTGGGCACGGGGGTGCTCGTCTGTGTGGTCGCCGTGCCAGGTCCGCACCCGTTTTGTGCAGATCAGCCAGCTGAACGCGCTCATCACGCTGCTGATTGGGAACCTGAGCCCCGGCGACAGGATGAAGATCATGACCATCTGCACCATCGACGTGCATGCGCGGGACGTGGTGGCCAAGATGATCCTGGCCAAGGCACGTGTGGGGCCCTGGCGCTGCCTGCCTTAGACACAGCCCCCAGGGAACCGCCCGGGTAGAGACCTCCAAGCCACCGCCCCATCCACCCGCAGGTGGAGACCTCCCAGGCCTTCACCTGGCAGTCGCAGCTGCGGCACCGCTGGGACGAGGAGAAGAGACACTGTTTCGCCAACATCTGCGACGCGCAGATCCTGTATTCATACGAGTACCTGGGCAACACGCCCCGGCTGGTCATCACGCCGCTCACGGACAGGTGTGCCCGCCCTTCCCATGGCCCTTCTCTGCGCGGCCACCCACGAGCTGCTTCCCCTCAGAGGGGTCCCCTGGGAGTGTTTGCAGCATCGCCCTCAGTTTGCTGGAGAGCACTGAGCAGAGAACACCCGGAGGGAGGCTTAACTGTCCTCCCCACATCACTGCCACGCCACACAGCATGGCAGGCGGGAGCACCCCGCACCGCCCCCCAGGTTCCTCACCAGAGCCCCGTGTGAGGACCTCGCAGGACCGAGCAGGCATCCCAGGAGGGAAGCGGCCAGTGCCACCCCCTGGGGTGACCGCAGGCTCTTTGCAGATGCTATATCACCTTGACCCAGTCCCTCCACCTGATCATGGGGGGCGCCCCTGCGGGCCCCGCTGGGACCGGCAAGACGGAGACCACCAAGGACCTGGGCCGAGCACTGGGCACCATGGTGTACGTCTTCAACTGCTCCGAGCAGATGGACTACAAGGTGCCAGGGGACCCCCAACAAGCCGGATCCCCTCGTGTGAGGGGGGTGGGTGCGAGCTGAGGTCGGCCGCCCCTCCTGGCACAGGCCAAAGGGTAGATGGGCACATTGGAGTGAAGTCCAGCTGAGGTAGCTCCTGGGAGTGGAGTCCCCTGTGTCCAGAGCCCTCGTGGAAAGGCTGCAGGCGTCCCCAGTTTGTCCCGCCCCCAGGGGAGCCCCTTCTTGGAGTGCAGAGAGCAAACTCAAGGACTCAGAGGAGGGGTTACCTCGAGGGCAGCGACGTGCCCTTCCCGCAGCCCCTCCTGCCTGCTCGCCTGACAAACGTGCCACCGACAGGGACTAATGCAGCCAGAGGCAGTCAGGCTAGGCTGCGCACACACACACACACACACACACACACATGCACACACACACACACGCGCACACACACACACACACACACACACACACACACACACACACAGAGCTCTCATCTCCGTTTCCCCTCCCAGTCCTGCGGGAACATCTACAAGGGCCTGGCACAGACAGGCGCCTGGGGCTGCTTCGACGAGTTCAACCGCATCTCGGTGGAGGTGCTGTCAGTGATCGCTGTGCAGGTAGGCGTGCAGCTGGAGGAGGCTGCTCGTGGCCAGAGGGGTCCCGGGTGCAGAGCACAAGCCCCCTGTGGGTGGGGAAGACACTTGCCTTGCTCCCCGGCACCGCTCACGGCCCCCAGCACTGCCGGAGTGATCCAAGTGCACAGCCGCAGGGGAGCCCGGAGCATAGCCCGGTGTGGTTGAAAAACCCGAGAACCCTCATGCAGGATTCCGTGGAGCCGGTGACAGCCTGTGTGTCGCATGTTGAACGGGCACATCTGGCGGGAGGGAGGGATTTGTGGCAGCTCAAGCTCTCCAGCCCGCAGCCCGACCCTGGGACCGGGGGTCAGCGAGACAGAGAACCCAGGTCGGCAGGCGCCCATTGGACCCTGCAGGATGGTGGTCCCGTGGACTCGGCCCCCACACTGACAGGGTCATTAGCCCAGGCCAGAGGCCCGGAGCCTGTTCCAGGCACCCAGGGTGCGAGCTCAGGAGGGCCCCGGGCGGAGGGAAGAGTGCTTTGTTGGAAGAAATGAAGTAATAAATCATGACAGAAAAAGAAAGTGGGGAACTCCCAGGGCAGGAAGGCTAGTACAGGGGTTGAGGCACTGGCCTTGCACAAACCCAGCCCTGGCTCAGATCTCTGAGCACCGCTGAGAGGCCCTTGAGCACAGAGCCAGGAGCAGTCCCTGAGCACTTGGGGTGAGCTGCGCTCCCAGTGCAGCCGTTGTACTTGTGGGTGGGGAAGGAAGACGTTGATTCAGAGACAGCCGCGGGGACCTCCAGGGAGGGCTCTGTGGCTGGGAGGCCGAGCCCACCCCGCTTGCCCCTGCAGGCGTGCTGAAGTCCAGGAGAGCCAGCGCCCACTCACTGTGGCCCCCAAAGTGGCAGAAGCAGCTGCTGGGGCAGGAGGCGCAGGGTTTGGGTGTGGAGCCCGGGAGAGGAGTGGGTGTCGCTTCCGGACAGGGAGCGGAGGCCCCGTGACGAGGCCAGACTGCCCCAAGAGGTCTCTCTGGCGCCAAGGGGGCTTCTGGTCCTCTCCGTTCCTCAGTGACAGCAGCTGTCTTCCAGTGTTTCATTGTTAAAGGGACCATACCCAGCTGCGCTCGACCCTGAGGTGTGGAGTGGTGTGAGGTCCAAGGTCGGGGGCTTCGGGGCTCTGTGTGAGGGAGGAGCCTGTGGCTCTGCTGGAGGCGCAATCGATGCTGCGACACTCAGGCCTGGTCCCAACTGGGGTCACTTGGGAAACCCAGCTCATCCTGAAAGGGAGATGGGCCAGGCAGTGGGCCGGGCAGGGGCAGCCTCCAGCCTGCCACAGGCCGGGGTGGTGGGAGAGGGGCCAGAGCCAGCCCTGCACCGGGACACGTCAGCTTCACACAGCGACAGAATTCCAGAGGCAGGTGGGTGGGAGAGGACAGCAAGGGCATGGGGTGGGGTCCGTTCCTGCACAAGGGCTGCACCCCACACTTCCCCGGGTGCTGTGGGCTCACTGCCGCGTGCCAAAGGTCATGCCCGGTTTCAGGATTTGCTCAAGTGCGTGAGGATCCAGGCCAGCATTCATCACCCGCCGTGGGGGCAGGGGGAGGGGGCCCAGACTGACGTGGCGGTGGCCCCTGGTCCAGGTGAAATGCGTCCAGGACGCCATCCGGGCCAAGAAGAAGACGTTCAACTTCCTGGGCGAGATGATCAGCCTCATCCCGTCGGTGGGCATCTTCATCACCATGAACCCCGGCTACGCCGGCCGCACAGAGCTGCCCGAGAACCTGAAGGCCCTGTTCCGGTGCGGGCGGGCGCTCAGAGCTGGATGGGAGTGGAGGATGGGTGGTGGGGGGGCCTGGGTTGCAGGTGAGGTGTACCGGGTGTGGGGGAGACGGGGAGTGCCCAGGCAGCCCACCGTGTCCCCAGGCCCTGCGCCATGGTTGTGCCCGACTTCGAGCTCATCTGTGAGATCATGCTGGTGGCCGAGGGCTTCCTGGAAGCTCGCCTGCTGGCCCGGAAGTTCATCACGCTCTACACCCTGTGCAAGGAGCTGTTGTCCAAGCAGGTGTGTGCTGCTGACCATGCCTGGCCAGTCCACTACATGAATACAAGGAGGGCGTTCACGGGTGTTGTGCCCCAGCCCTGCCTGGCCTGTGGGAAGGTGTGGTCATATGTACATACCTGGGGAGGCATGGTCACATGTACACATAGAAGCATGCCACATGTGTACATACATGGGAAGGTGTGATGTGTTCGTGCCCAGGGAGGCATCACGTGCACACATGAGGCGGCTTGGTCACATATGTATATACATGGGAAGGTGTGGTCACGTGTACATGTCTGGGGAGGCTTGGCCACATGTGTACATACCCGGGGAGGTGTGGTCACATGTGTCCATACATGGGGCCGTCCGTGGGGAGGCATGGTCACATGTGCGGTGTCCCCTCCCCAGGATCACTATGACTGGGGCCTGCGGGCCATCAAGTCTGTTCTGGTGGTGGCCGGCTCCCTGAAGAGGGGGGACCCAAGCCGGGCAGAGGACCAGGTGCTCATGAGGGCACTGCGGGACTTCAACATTCCCAAGATTGTGACCGACGACCTGCCCGTGTTCATGGGGCTGATCGGGGACCTCTTCCCGGCCCTGGACGTGCCCCGGAAGCGAGACCTGAACTTTGAAAAGGTGAGGGGGCGGGTCCGGCGTCCGGGGGTCTCTCCCTGCCCCAGGCCCGGTGTCCCAGCGGGGCCTCCCTGCCTGCCCAGGCCACTCAGCGCTGCCCCCGCAGGTCATCAAGCAGAGCGTGGTGGAGCTGCGGCTGCAGGCCGAGGACAGCTTCGTGCTGAAGGTGGTGCAGCTGGAGGAGCTGCTGCAGGTGCGGCACTCGGTGTTCATCATCGGCAACGCCGGCAGCGGCAAGTCCCAGGTGAGCTGCCCCCACCCGTGCCCACACGCATGCCTGGCTTCCCAGTGCAGCGGTACGGCGGGAGGGTGGGGTGGTTGAGCACTGTCAGGTCAGCCCTGAGCACTAGCGGGTGTGGTCCAACCCCAAAGGAGAAAGATCAAAGGGGGGAGATGGGCCTCGAGGGCCAGCACGGCCCTGCCCTGTCCCAGCGCTGCAGCCTCCACGCCTCGTCTCTCTGGGCAGTCCCCAGCCCTGACCCGGACGTCCTCCCGTGGCCCCCGTCCTCACACAGGTCCTCAAATCCCTGAACAAGACCTACCAGAACCTGAAGAGGAAGCCGGTGGCCATCGACCTGGACCCCAAGGCCGTCACCTGCGATGAGCTCTTTGGCATCATCAACCCAGCGACCAGGGAGTGGAAAGATGGTGAGTAGCGGGGCTGGTGCGGGCGCTGTGCCCGCGGGCAGGCTGGACGCTGAGGGCACGGGAAAGGGATGGGTGAGGAAGTCGGGGAGGGAGGGGTGCGGTGAGGGGCTGGGCTGGGCACAGGAAGGGCAGGTTTGTTGGAGGGGACCTGCCCCACCCCCCACTCTTCCCCGCAGCCCCTGGCCCTGATCTCCCTGCACCCCCTCCAGTGCTCAGCAGACCTCTGGAAGGGGCAAGGGGCCGCTGAGTGGGACATGCGGTCACACCAGGCACAGTTCCTCACCTGCCCATTGGCCGCTGTCCCCGCCCACCACAGGGGCCCAGGGCTGCTGCCACCTGGGAAGTGCCCACCGCCCATGCAGTGGCCCTTTCTGCCTGCCTCTTCCCACCTGCCCTGCTCACCTGTCGGCCCCGCTCACACCTGCTCTGCTGATTGCTCATTCCCAGGCCTCTTCTCCACCATCATGCGGGACCTGGCCAACATCACCCACGACGGCCCCAAGTGGATCGTACTGGATGGCGACATCGACCCCATGTGGATCGAGTCCCTCAACACCGTCATGGACGACAACAAGGTGAGGGTTCCGGCACCGCTGTCCCAGCTCAAAACCCCCTAAAGGGCTCCCAGGAACTGCCGGTGCCCCCGCCCCCATCTCCGCAGCGGGCAAGAGCAGCCCTGCTCCCCACACCGGCCCCTCAGGTCATGCAATACTGTGGGCAGAGGGTCCCGAGGTCCAGTCCACCGTGGCGCGTGCCATGGGGCATTGGTGGATGCACCGTGGGAAGGACAGCTGGCACCAGCTGGGAGGCAGACAGCGAGTGAGCAGGGCGGAAGGTGGGCCGGGCCGGAAAGAGCCGGTGGGAGCCCTGGCCGGGAGCACAGGACCCGACCCTCTCGTGGAGGAGAGGAGTGGGGGCAGCTGGCTGGTGGCCGGTGTGCGCCGCCAAACGGGAACCCTCGCCAGGTGCTCACCCTGGCCAGCAACGAGCGAATCCCCCTGAACCGCACCATGAGGCTCGTGTTCGAGATCAGCCACCTGCGCACAGCCACGCCTGCCACCGTGTCCCGCGCTGGCATCCTCTACATCAACCCCGCGGACCTGGGTTGGAACCCGTGAGTCACCGAGGCAGGGGGCGCACGAGCCTGGGAGCTTGTGTGAGCCACAGGAATCCCGGGGGAGTCTGGGGGAGTCTATGGGAGCCCTTGTGACCACGTGGGAGCCCGGGGGAGCTGTGAGCACCTGTGGGAGCCCATGGGCACTTGCGTCCACACTCCCCACCAAGGCCAGGCTGTTTCCGCCTCTCTGGAAGCGGGGACAGACGTGTCAGCACTCATGCAGTGACACAGCTCTGGAACTCAGAGGGCCTCAAGCCCGTGTCCAGGGACCCGCGTGGCAAGCCAGTCCTCAGGACACTCTTCTGGCCTGGACACCCTCTTCGAGAGCACCAGGGTCAGGTGGACGGTGGGGGGACAGGCACCCAGTCCAGGTGGAGCTGTGGCACGGGGTGAGGGGACAGGATGGGGACAGCCGCTGGGACAGCCGCTGGAACAGCGAGTGGGGTAGGGAGCAGGGCAAGAGCGGGAACTGGGACTCCCCGGTCCAGAGCACTGCACAGCCACCAGGGCAGAAGCTGTTGGAGTACACACGGCCTGAGGGACGGGGGTAGAGGTGAGGGACCCGCACCCCTGGAGCCAGGGTACACTGTGCCCCTCCCCATGCCTCACCGTGGGCCGCCCTGACCCACGGCTCATGCCCCCAGGGCCCTGTGGGGCAGCTTCCTGATCCCCCTGCCAGCCAGATGCCTGATTCCCACTGCCCCCTCTGCCTCTCTCCCTGCCAGTCCATCCCTGTGGGCCGCTGCAATAGTCTACAGTGGGCTGGGACGTGCTGGGACCCCAGGTGCCACCTGCAGCCACTCCCACCTGAGCCTCGGCCCTGCTCCCTGGGTGACCTGTGCCCCCAGCAGCCTCTTAGCTCAGGGTGCTCAGGGTGTTTCCCTCAGAGAGGCCCCCTGCTCCATCCACAGGCAAGGCCCTGGCTGGGCTGCACGACCTTCACCCCAGCCACTGGGGGTGGGTCAGCACTCTGCAGCCCTGCCAGGAACAGGGGGTCTTGGTCTACCCTGCACGGCACCTACAGGGCAGCAATGTGTGTGGGATGGACATCTTCCTTCCTTCATTCTTTTTTTTTGCTTTTTGGGTCACACCCGGCGATGCTCAGGGGTTACTCCTGGCTCTGCACTCAGTAATTACTTCTGGTGGTGCTCAGGGGACCATATGGGATGCTGGGAATTGAACCCAGTTTGGCTGCTTGCAAGGCAGACACCCTCCCCGCTGTGCTATGGCTCCAGCCCCAGAATATGACCCTTTCGAGTAGAATTAACTGAAGCCCCTGCTCTCAAAATATTCAAGAGTTTGCAGCCCTGGCAGGCTTCAGGCGTGGCCGGATCCAGGAGTCCTGGCTCTGGTCTTTCTGGTCCCTTCTCACCCCTCCCACTCTCTCCCACCCAGTCCCCGCCCAGACCATGTCACGAACCCTCCCTCCAATTTTCCCACCCTCTGCTCCAGCGGCTACCTGTGGGGTAGCACCGGTGGGTTCCTAGTTCCCTCCCCCTAAACCCAGGGTAGCGCTCCTCAGATACTGCGGGTCGACCTCTGACCTCGTGCATGGCGCCTGGCGTCCCCAGGGTGGTGAGCAGCTGGATCGAGCGGCGCAAGGTGCAATCGGAAAAGGCCAACCTGATGATCCTCTTCGACAAGTACCTGCCCACCTGCCTGGACAGGGTGCGGGTGGGCTTCAAGCGGATCACTCCTGTGCCCGAGATCACCACCATCCAGACGCTGCTCTACCTGCTTGAGTGCCTGCTCACAGACACCAGTGCGCCGCCCGACTCCCCCAAGGAGCTCTATGAGCTCTACTTCGTCTTCGCCTGCTTCTGGGCCTTCGGCGGGGCCATGTTCCAGGACCAAGTGAGCGCCACATGGAGCCGGCAGCCCCGCCCCCACTCAGAGCCCCGCCCCTGATAGGCTCCGCCCATCTGGCGCCTGTTCTCGCCCCTCCCGTAGCCCCGCCCCATCCTTGGCCCCGCCCCGCTTGTGGCCCCGCCCCCAGCTCCTGTCCATCCTACTCGTCCTCCTCAGCTCATTGATCACCGAGTGGAGTTCAGCAGGTGGTGGGTCAACGAGTTCAAGAGCGTCAAGTTCCCCTCCCAGGGCAGCATGTTCGACTACTACATCGACCCTGACACCAGGAAGTTCCTGCCCTGGACCGACAAGGTGCCCAACTTCGAGCTGGACCCGGACATCCCGTTGCAGGTAGCGAGGCACTGGTCCTAGAGCAGAGGGGTGGGGGGGTCGGGGTGGGGGGCCTGGGAGCACCTGGCAGGGAGCCCAGAGCAGGGGTGGGGGGCGCAGGCTGGAGGGGCCTCAGCGCTTGCCTGCCCTGGTCCAGGCCTCCCTGGTCCACACCACGGAGACCATCCGCATCCGCTACTTCATGGATCTGCTGATGGAGAAGGCCTGGCCCGTGATGCTGGTGGGGAACGCGGGCACCGGGAAGTCGGTGCTCATGGGCGACAAGCTGAGCAGCCTCAACCCCGACGAGTACCTGGTGCAGGCCGTGCCCTTCAACTTCTACACCACCTCAGCCATGCTGCAGGGTGAGGCCTCGGCCCTGACCTTGGCCAGTGGGTCTTGTCACTGCTCCGGGAGGCCAAGACCTTGCACCCACCTCCCGTCTGGCCGCCTTCGGCTTTCCTCGGGCTGAGATGCTGCCAGCTTCTCCTGTATGGGGGACAGTGCTCCCAGCCCTGGTCACCCCCTCCCCTCCCCAGGCTGCTGTCTCCCTGGGGGTCCCGCCATGGTTCTGCAGCAGTGGTCAGCAGCCTTGGGTGGTGACTCTAGGGGTCCTGGAGAAGCCCCTGGAGAAGAAGTCGGGGCGGAACTACGGGCCGCCGGGCACCAAGAAGCTCATCTACTTCATCGACGACATGAACATGCCCGAGGTGGACAAGTACGGCACCGTGGCCCCCCACACTCTCATCCGACAGCACATGGACCACAGGCACTGGTGAGTGGCCGGGCCTGCCAAGGGCCTGGGAGGGAATTAACCAGCTGCCCTGCAGGAGAAGCCCAAGGGTGAGCTCCCAGTGGCGGAGTGCTCAGGACATGGGTGGGTGTGTTGGGTGTGGACCCCCCCACACACAGCAGGGACCACGTCTGCTGGAGGGGATGGAGGCAGTCAGAATGGGTGGGGCTCCATGAGAACGTCTGGTGTAGCCCCCCAGATGCTTGCTACGGTCAGCCCTCCTGGGGGTCCAGGGCCAGAAGGTGGAGCTTGGGAACCCACTCTGGCCTTTGAGTTTTTCCTGAAGAATCTTGAGGTGCTGGGGGCACCATAGTCTGATCTGAAACCTCTGAGAAAACTGGTCCCATGGCGGGCAGGCAGGGCAGGCTGGAGGGGCCCGTGGGCCCGGCGGCTCCTGGGAGGAAACTCTGGTCACCCCAGGCTGGAGTCAGGCCAGAGCGAGGGGAGGCGGTGCGGGGAGAAGAGGGGAGCGGCTCCCCCGCCCCACGTCTGCTTTTGCCTCCCAGACCCGTCAGGCTGGTGTGACTGAACTGGCCAGGAGTGGGCAGGAGGGGCGCTCGGTGCTGCAGCCCTTCTAAACTCACCAGAGACCCCCCCCTAAGGATTGGTGGCAGTTGCGGATCACACCCCGTCAGCTGGGGTGCTCCCTGGGTCTGTCGCTTCGGGGGTACTGCGTGCCCCCCACCAGGGGTGCCTGATTGCAGGGTCACGCTGATGGCTGGGGTGCCCGCTGGTGTGGGGGTCCCATGTTTTGTGGCGCCCGCACACACCTGCCCCTCGTCGTGTGACGGTGCTCAGGATGTGGGCACTGTGCCCAGTGCCCATGGGTGGGCCCCGGGATCGAACTCAAAGCCTCGCATTTGAAGGGCAGGTGCTAGAGCCTCGCGTTTGAAGGGCAGGTGCTTCTGGCTGCTGGGCCTCCCCGGGCCTGGGGCCCCATTTCTCTTTGCCCTTTGAGGGGGGACTGGGTGAGACTGATGGTTGGGGGCGGCGGGCTCCCCCCGCAGGTACGACAGGCAGAAGCTGACGCTGAAGGACGTGCATAACTGCCAGTATGTGGCCTGCATGAACCCCACATCTGGCTCCTTCACCATTGACCCCAGGCTCCAGGTCAGCAGAAAGCCAGTCATTCGGGTCAGCTGCTCTGGCCGATGTGGCCTGAGTGGGGGGGGGGGGGGGGGGCGGGCTGCCTCAGATAAGCCCTGAGAATTCCTGAAGCTGTGGGGGGGTCAGGGGGGGGACTGTGGGCAGGGCACTGTGGCTGCCTCCACTGGTGCCTCTCTCCACGGGCAGCTAATCTTCATCCAGCAGCCCACAGGGAGAGCTGGATGGACATTTGCTTCCAAAAGCTGTTATCTTGGGGCCAGAGCGACAGTACAGTGGGGAGAGTGTTTGCCTTGCACATGGCCAACTGGGGTTCGATCCCCGGCATCCCATATGGTCCCCTGAGCACCGTCAGGAGTGATTCCTAGGTGCAGAGCCAGGAGTAACCCCTGTGCCTCACCAGGTGTGAACCAAAAAAAAAGAAAACTGTATCCCTGGGGCCTGAGATGGTACAGTGGTAAGGCACCAGCCTTGCACATGGCCAAGCCAGCTTGATCCTTGACACGCCGAGGGATTCCTGAGAGCTGAGCCAGGAGTCAGCCCGGAGCACCTCTGGGTGTGGCCCCCAAACAAAGGGCTGTTGCTCTGAGGGCAGGGGAGGGGCGCGGGGCCAAGGGTCCCCCGAGCAGAGCGGATGAGACCCCAGCCCCCTGCAGATGGAGCTGGTGTCCTGGTTCTCGTCTGTTGCCCGCATGGTGACCCCAGCACAAGGGACTGCTCTGGGGGGCGGGGTCCGAGCCCGCCCCCTGAGGAGCCCTGCGGTTCCTCCGCAGCGGCACTTCTGTGTGTTCGCGGTCAGCTTCCCAGGCCAGGAGGCGCTGACGTCCATCTACAGCACCATCCTGAGCCAGCACCTGGCCTACCGCTCTGTGCCCATGGTGGTGCAGCGGCTGAGTGGCCAGCTGGTGGCCTCAGCGCTGGGTAAGCTGGGAGTCTTCCTGACAGCTGCCTGGTGGCTAGTTTATTTCTACCGGAAGTCGGTATCAATTATTCGCGCTGGGTCTCAGCTGGGGGGGGCGGAGCAGGGGGGAGGGGGAGGTCAAAGACGAGGTGCGCAGAAGTGGGGACACGTCCACATTTGCTGGACTCTCCCCCAAGCTGCCCCGGGGCACAGTCCACCCACTTAACCCATGGCCCCCGGGGGCGTCACTGTGCCTGAGCCCCCCAGGTGTGTGGAACTGAGATCGCTCTCTCCACCAGCCCTGCATCAGAAAGTGACAACGACGTTCCTTCCCACGGCCATAAAGTTTCACTACATCTTCAACCTCAGGGACCTCTCCAACATTTTCCAGGTACCCCAGGTTCCCACCTGCGGGTCCCGTCTCCCCAGTCTCAGGACAGGTGACCTGTGGAGTGGCGGGGTGGTGGGGATGCTGCGCCGCATGGTGAAGGTGCTGGTGACAGGGACAAGGATGGTGGGGACAACAGTGAGCCCGGGTGACCGTGCTGACAACAGGCGGCTGGGGAGGACGGTGACTGGCAGTGAGTGGCGGGTCGCATTTGCTGGCCTCTGGCTGGGCCGTGCCCATCCCACGTTCATACCTCCACGGCAGGAGGCTGCCCCCCGCCCCCGACCCCGGAGCCACAGGGCGCCTGCTGACAGCCCACCCTGGGCAGGGCATCCTGTTCTCCACTGCAGAGCTCCTGAAGACCCCGCTGGACCTTGTCCGCCTCTGGCTGCATGAGGCCGAGCGCGTGTACGGCGACAAGATGGTGGACGACAAGGACCAGGACACGCTGCGCCGTGTCACCATGGCCTCCACCAAGAAGTTCTTTGACGTGTGTCCTGCGGCGGTGTCACGGCTGCGTCCCCTGGGCAGGGTTGCCGAGTCCTCAAATTCAGGCTCCTTCCTGACGGGCCGGGCTGGGGGCCTCCCTCGGGGTTGATGTGGGCCCTGGACATCTGCCACCCATGGCCAACAGGACCCCTCACTGCCCCCAGGACCTCGGGGAGGAGAACCTGTTCGCCAAACCCAACATCTACTGCCACTTCGCACAGGGCGTCGGTGACTCCAAGTACTTCACGGTCACCGACGTGGCGTACCTGAACAAGGTACTCACGGACGTCCTGGACAGCTACAACGAAGTCAACGCAGTCATGAACCTGGTGAGGAGGCAGCAACCCTTCCCCACGTGGTGAACCCCTCCTCCCTGGCACCCCTCCCCCATGTGATGCAGCCCCCCCTTGCTAGCAGCCCCCTGGTGCCCGCAGGTGCTGTTTGAAGACGCCGTGGCTCACGTCTGCCGCATCAACCGCATCCTGGAGTCCCCGCGCGGCAATGCCCTGCTGGTGGGCGTGGGCGGCAGCGGCAAGCAGAGCCTGTCCCGCCTGGCCGCCTACATCAGTGCCCTTGACGTCTTCCAGATCACCCTCAAGAAGGGCTACGCCATCCCCGACCTCAAGGTGTGACCCCCGGCTGGGGAGGGACGGTGTGCGGACAGAGGGGTGCTCGGCCACCACCTCCCACCCAGAGTCAGCCCCTCGGGTTCAGCATGTCAGTGCTGTCAGTCGGGCCCAGCAGCTTCCTGACTCCTGGCCACAGGGCAGCTGTCAGGCCCACTCCTTCTGTGGCACCCTGCCACCCCCTGAATTCACCGTCCCCTTTTCTCTGCTCCACACTCCCCTGACCCTCAGCGGGGCGTGCACCCCCACGAGTGCCGTGCTGGGCATTCCCAGTGTCCTTAGTGTCCGTGGAAGGACTGGCAGCCCCCACCCCGCCTGCCTGCGCCTCCTGCGGAGTGACCCCACTGAGCGAGGGACCAGGGGCCATAGTGAAGGCATGACGGGAAGCTGGGACCCTGAGACCGGCAACCCCACCTCCCTGGTCAGTCCCGGTGAAGGCGCCTGGAAATGTCTCCTTCCAACAGACACAGGGAGGCCCGCTGTGCTCGGGTTGGGACCCGGCCTGCTGAACTTTGACCCCCAGCCGTGGTAGACGGTCACCGGGACCGCAGGCGGCACTCAGGATCGAGTGCGTGGCCTCGGGCTCGCCATGGAGCCATTGCCTGCCACCACCATGTGTGTTTCTCGGGGGGCTGCTCCCGAGGGGGCTAACTGTGCACCTTCGGCTGCAGCTGGACCTGGCCGCACAGTACATCAAGGCGGCAGTGAAGAACGTGCCCTCCGTGTTCCTGATGACTGACTCTCAGGTGGCCGAGGAGCAGTTTTTGGTGCTGATCAACGACCTGCTGGCCTCGGGGGAGATCCCGGGCCTCTTCTCAGATGAGGAGGTGGAGAACATCATTTCGTCCATGCGGCCACAGGTCAAGTCGCTGGGCCTGAACGACACGCGTGAAGTGTGCTGGAAGTTCTTCATTGACAAAGTGCGCCGGCAGCTGAAGGTGGGCTCCGCTCCCCGGGGTGCCCCTGCCTGCCCGATGCCACCCACCCACGTCCCTTCCGGGCCACCAGAGGGTTGTGGGGCAGAGATCACAAGGACACAAGCACATCCCACCCCCACCCCTTAGTCAGGGGTGCTGCCCATCCCTAGGGCCACACCCAGAGCCTCCCAGACCCACCACCGGGACAGAAAGCAGCTTGGTCAGTGCTTCCCTCTTCTGCGCCCATCAGTACATGGACCAATCAGTGCTTTTCTCTTCTCCGGCCCCTCACTACACAGTCCAATCAGTGCTTTCCTCTTTCTCCCACGGTCCAATCAATGAATGCCGCCGGGGGAGGAGGGGCTAAAGCCACCAACGGGCGTTCCCCTGGTCCTGGCACTTTCCCCGTAGATGACCACTTCTGAGGGCTAGCATGGAACAGGAACTTCAGCAAGGCAAGGGATTCCCAGTGCAGGAGAAGACAGCCCATGTCCATGGCCCCGTGTTCCCATGCCCTGTACTCCATGGGGCATCCCTCTGCCCAGTGCCCCATATCCTCATGCCTCTGTCCCTATACCCCCATGCCATCGTGTCCCCGTGTCTGCCCCTGTGCCCCCTCCACCCCAGACCTCTGACAGGCTCGTGGCCCTCCCTGGTCTGGGCTCCTTTGCCTCATGGCATCCTTCCCTGTCCCTGCCTCAGCCACCCTTTTCAGGAGAGGTGGGGTGTGGCCAGCAGGCAGTCGGCTGGAGCAGGGATTCTGCTGGTTGCAGACGTGCTTCTGGGGACGCTGGGGACAGGCACTTCCTCTTCTAGGTGATCCTCTGCTTCTCCCCGGTGGGTTCAGTCCTGCGTGTGCGCGCCAGGAAGTTCCCCGCCGTGGTCAACTGCACGGCCATCGACTGGTTCCGAGAGTGGCCCGAAGAAGCACTGGTATCGGTCAGTGGCCGCTTCCTGCAAGAGACAGAGGGCATCCAGGTGTGCTGCCTGGCTGGGAGCGGGTGGCCGAGGGCAGCCCTAGGGCTCCAATGACGGGGGAGCAAGTACAAAGGCACCGGGTTTCGGTTTCAGGCCATGCTGAGGGCCTCCATTCCGTCTCTCGTGAGGTGCTTTATAACTCCAAAGTGACCCTGGAATTCCCTCTAGCTGGGCACATTACCCAAATGTGCTCCAAGATTCACTGTGTTTGCTTCTGTGGGTTTGGGGGCCCCACATCGTGGTGCTAGAGGGCAGGCTTGGGCCAGGAACCCAGATTCCTTGTGGCAGACTGCAGTCCGGAAGGGCCTTGGACCTGAGCCACTACCCTGACCTCATCCCTTCCCGAGCCCCTGGCTGTGTCCTGAGCCAGCTGCTCTGGCTCAGGAGATGTGTCCAGAATTAACTCTTCACTCTTCAGAGGGTGGGAGTCCCCTTTTGGTCCCTGTTAGCAGGCCCTTCCTGAGCACACATTGGTGAAGCTTCCCTGGGCTTCCGGACCCCAGGCAGGCGCGGATCAAACAGCAGGGTGGTGTGGGCCAGAAGGATCTTTCCAGATGGGCCCCAGGAGGAAGACCTTTGCTGGATTGGGGAGGGGGCCCAGATTGGGCCTGGCAGGGTCTTGTGCCCAGAACCTGGCACAGGCCAGACATAAACAAAAAAGCCTGTAGCCCCCATGGAGGCCAGTGTGGGTGAGCAGGGGAGGCCTGGAGAACTCTGCCGTTCTCCGCAGGGCACAGGGTCACCAGCCCTCGGGGGGGAGGTGCCAGCACATCTCGCAGGGTCCCCAGTGAGCAGGTGACATCCCTCCTTGGTGTTTTCTGTGATCACTGCCTCTTATTTATTTGCTTTTTTGGATCATACCCAAGAGATGCTCAGGAATTACTCCTGGTGGTGCTTGGGGGGCCCTATGAGATGCCAGGGATCAAATCCGGGTCGGCCGCATGCAAAACAAATGCCCTATTTGCTGTACTACCGCTCCGGCTGCTGGCCACTGCCTCTTGGTCCCCAGGGTCCTCCAAGAGGGAGGCCGGGGCCCAGCAGGGTGACCCGGGCGTCTCATCTCTGCAGCCGGAAGTCAAACACTCCATCAGCCTCTTCATGTCCTACGTGCACATGACCGTCAACGAGATGTCCAAGGTGTACCTGGCCACGGAGCGGCGCTACAACTACACCACGCCCAAGACCTTCCTGGAGCAGATCAAGCTCTACCAGAACCTGCTGGACAAGAAGCACCTGGAGCTGCTGGCCAAGATCGAGCGGCTGGAGAACGGGCTGATGAAGCTTCAGAGCACAGCGTCGCAGGTCTGCAGGACGCCCAGTGCCCCCCACAGGCAGCCCTGGGCATCCGGCTCTCCCAGGCCCATGATGGACCTTGCAGCGGGAGAAGGGGTGGCAGTCCCCATCACCCCCAACTCCCGGTGCTCTCCCACCCTCCCGCCTCCCACCCACCTCATCTCTGTGCTGCGGCGGCCCCAGCACCCCTGCAGACCCCTTGACAGTGCAGCACGGGTGTGTCCCAGCCCAGCCCGCTCCAGCTGCATGATAGTTCACAGGCCCAAGCTCAGACCCCAGAGCCGCGTGTTTCCCATCCCGGCTGCACCCGCAAAACCAAACCAGAACCGGAGACAGTCGCTGAGGGCCCGGGGCGGGGCTGGTCGCACGGCGTGAGTCACACAGTGGCCACCGCACGCCCAGGTGGAGAGGACGGGCGCACGCCTGCCCCATGGCTGCTCTCCCCGCCCTCCCCAGGTGGACGACCTGAAGGCCACGCTCGCCATCCAGGAGGCCGAGCTGAAGCAGAAGAACGAGAACGCAGACAAGCTGATCCAGGTGGTGGGCGTGGAGACGGAGAAGGTCAGCAAGGAGAAGGCCGTGGCCGACGAGGAGGAGATCAAGGTGGAGATCATCAACAAGGTAGGAGCGGGCAGCCCCGCAGATGCCCCTCCAGCCGCTGGGAAGTGGCCCTGGCCCACGCCTGCAGGGCTCAGGGCTCCGCACACAGGTCCTGGGGGCCAGGGGGGTGGCACAGCAGGAAGGCGCGGGCCTTGCACAAAGCCAAGCTGGGTTTGATCCCCGAACACCTCCAGGAGTGGCTCCTGAGTGCTGAGCCAGGAGTAAGCCCCGAGCGCCGCGGACACATCTGGGACCCGTCACCTCCAGCCCAGGGTTCCCCACAGCCACTCCTTCCACTGCTGCCACCTCGTCCCAGCAGGGTGCGCCTCACGAGGCCTGCTTCCTGCCAGGCTTGGGGCACATCTGCAGGCCCAGCCTCAGGGGAGACAGGCCGGGCGGCAGAGCCAGGAGTTCCGGCTTAGAGCCCTGTGCCCTTCGCATTTCTGCACCGAGTCTGGCATCAATACGGTGTCCCCTGGGAGCGGGGACCCCCGGCTGGGGAGGGGTGAACCAGCTCAGGCTGGAAACAGAGCAGGTCGAAACTCCCATGCTGATCAGAGGCTTCTGACCCACTGAGGCAGCGGAAGGAAGGGAGGGAGGGAGGGGTGAGTGAAGGCAGGTCTGCAGGAAGGAAGGAGAGTGAAGGCATGTTGAGGGGGCAGGTGTGAAGAAGACAGGACGGAAGGAATGACGCGTCAGGAAGGAAGAGATGGAGTAGTGAGGGACTCACCTCAGGAAGCCGTGATAAAGAAAGGAGAGAGTACAGGTGCAGGGATGGAGGAAGGCATGCTGGAAGAAAGAGATGAAGGGCAGGGGCAGGGAAGGAATGAAGGTGTGCAGGAAGGGGGGAGGCATGAGGCATGCAGGAAGGCAGATGAGCACATGAGGGCGTGTGATGGTTCACGTGTTTAGGGGCTGCGCACGGCTGCATGAGGGAATGTGGCAGATGTGTCGAGTCTCGGCAGAGATGAGCTGACGTCCTTGGGGGTCCTCAGGCCTGGCCAGCGGGGGCTGATCTGCGCAGCCCACCTGCCCTCCTGTCTCAGATGCGCCGGCCTGCCCAGCTGAGCATCAGGGCCGGGGACAAAGGGGGGAGCGCCTGCGGCCAGGCTGGGGGATCTGCAGGTGCGCCCCCTCACTGGGCCCCCACTGCACCTGCATCAGCCTTTCTCTCTGCCCCAGAATGTCGCTGAGAAGCAGAAGGCATGTGAGACGGACCTGGCCAAGGCAGAGCCTGCCCTACTGGCTGCGCAGGAGGCCCTGGACACTCTGAACAAGGTGGACAGCTGCGAGGGGGCACCTGGCTGGCACACGGGGGACGGGACGGGGCCCTCCAGCTCTGACCCCAGCTGTTTGCAGAACAACCTGACGGAGCTGAAGTCCTTCGGGTCCCCGCCCGACGCCGTGGTCAATGTCACGGCCGCTGTCATCATCCTGACAGCACCAGGGGGCAAGATCCCCAAGGACAAGAGCTGGAAAGCAGCCAAGATCATGATGGGCAAAGTGGACGCCTTCCTGGACTCGCTGAAGAAGTTCGACAAGGAGCACATCCCTGAGGCCTGCCTGAAGGCCTTCAAGTGAGTCACCTGCGCCCCGTCCACATACGCACACCCGCACATGCAGGCACATACACACATGCACGCGCACATATGCATACACACACACATGCACACGCATATATGTGCATGCACACATGCACACGCGCACATACACGCACACTCGCGCGTACACACTCAGAGCTGAGCCACGTGGTTACACACACTCAGAGCCACGTGCTCACACACACTTGCATACCCACACATACACACCTGCATACTCGAGCACTTGTGTGCTGCTCCGTGGGGCTCCCTGTGAGCCCCCCAGACCAGTACCCCTATTGGGCTCCCCCAGGCAGGTGAAAAGTCTGCTCAGCCCAGAGCCAGTGTGAGCCTGGGCAGAGCATGCGGAGAAGTGCAATTATTCCGTTTCTATTTTCACTCACCACTGTGGGAAAGAACGCCGCAACACCCCCAACTCGCTGTAACTAAAAAGCCAAACGCAGACTTGGGGAGTACCCGTGGGAGGGGGGGGTCCGGCCGAGTGCCTCAACAGCCAGGGTCCAAGCGGGCCCCATTGCCACCCTCAGGACTCACCATGACAAATGCTGCCTGGTCTCCGGGCAAGCATGTGACACACACACGCACGAATGCACACACATGCACACACCACACACACACACACACACACACACACACACGCCTTGTCCCCACCCCCCGGCCCGGGGATGGCCCGCTCAGGCTGCCCCGTCCCCTCTCCAGGCCCTACCAAGGCAACCCCACGTTCGACCCCGAGTTCATCCGCTCCAAGTCCACAGCGGCAGCGGGGCTGTGCTCCTGGTGCATCAACATCGTGCGCTTCTATGAGGTGTACTGTGACGTGGCCCCCAAGAGGCAGGCCCTGGAGGAGGCCAACGCAGAGCTGGCGGAGGCCCAGGACAAGCTCACACGCATCAAGAACAAGATCGCGGTGAGCACCACAGGGTCGCGACCCCCACACTCGGGACCCGGCCCCGACTCAGACCCCCGCCGCCCCACAGGAGCTCAATGCCAACCTGAACAACCTGACGTCCGCGTTTGAAAAAGCCACAGCGGAGAAGATCAGGTGTCAGCAGGAGGCGGACGCCACCAACCGGGTCATCTCACTAGCCAACAGGTAGCCGGTGCCATTCCCGGCCAGACCCAGGCTCCAACTCCCGGGTCGGGTGCTGCCGGTGGAACCCCTGGTATAACTGCAGGCCCTGAGCCTGTGGCCTGCTCTCCAGGCGGCACTGTGGGGACCCCCAAGCTGGCTACTAGGCCAGGCTAGGGTTTTTTTGTTGTTCTGGTGGTACTCAGGTTACTCCTGCACTCAGGGTTCACTCCTGGTGGTGCTCAGGGAACTGTATGGGATGCTGGGGATTGAACCCAGGTTAGCCTCATGCAAGGCCAGCGCCCGCCCCACTGTGCCCTGTTGGTCCTTTCTGAGTCCTTGAAATGTCCGTGCCCACGTCCCTGGGTACACCCCGGGTACAGCAGCCGTATCTTAGCCACCCACTGCTCTGACTGTCCCCTCCCACTGTGTGGCTTTAAAACTTCCTATTCAGTCTCCAGAGGGGAGACAGGAGAGCCCCTGCAGGCTAGGGGACTTGAGGAGCCCCTCTGAGTCCCCAGGGGCTGGCACCATCAGGACTTGGGGGACCCTGGTGGCAGACCCCCATGAGATTGGCCCCTGCCGCGAGCCTCAGGGTTTGGGCCAAGGCTGCCCAGAGCATTCTTGGGGGTGACTGGCTTGGAAGAATGGTGAGGTGACCACAGTGCCCGGCCCAGTGGCCCGCAGAGGCACGAGCAGCAGCCCGACCTCCCCAGCTTCAGACCTCCCAAGCTTCAGGATGCCCATACGTGCCCAGGGGGACACAGGGGACGGGGGTTCTGCAGAGGAGTGAGGTTGTGCATCTGGGCCATGGCACTGCCCACTTGGGCAGGGTGGGGGCTGAATACACAGGCACCAGAGCAGGCCCGGCCCTGGCGACACCCGGGAGGCAGAGAGGATGCGCGGGTGCCCAGGCCCCTGCTGCACGCTGCTCCCCCACGCCCTGCAGGCTGGTCGGGGGGCTGGCGTCAGAGAACGTGCGCTGGGCCGAGTCAGTGGAGAACTACAAGGGCCAGGGCGTGACGCTGTGCGGGGACGTGCTGCTCATCTCCGCCTTCGTGTCCTACGTGGGCTACTTCACCAAGAAGTACCGCAGCGAGCTCATGGACAAGTTCTGGATCCCGTACATCGAGAAGCTGAAGGTGGGCACGGCCGAAGCCGCACGCCCCCGCCCCCGTGCCAGGCCGGCCCCCCCAGCACTCAATGCGCCCCTCCGCAGGTCCCCATCCCCATCACGGAGGGCCTGGACCCCCTCACCCTGCTCACCGATGACGCCGACGTGGCCTCCTGGAACAACCAGGGCCTCCCCAGCGACCGCATGTCCACGGAGAACGCCACCATCCTCTGCAACACGGAGCGCTGGCCACTCATCGTGGATGCCCAGCTGCAGGGGATCAAATGGATCAAAAACAAATACGGCCAGGACCTGAAGGCCATCCGCCTGGGGCAGAAGAAGTGACTGAAGGGCCCCGGGGGGCAGCTGGGGTGGGCCCCCAGGCGAGTCCAGCCCATGGGCAGGGCTGCTTGACTCTGTGCCGGGCAGGGTCCAGGTGGCCGCATCAGGCTCCCTGCCTCAGTGGTGCTTCACATGGTCATTTGTCACCAGGGCAGTGGCAGGGGATGTCCTGATCTCTTGTCCCTGCGTCTCCGAGGAGGAACAGGGGCAGGACATGACGAGGGCACCTGTCCTCCTCCTCACCCTGGCCTTAGGCTGTGCAGAGCCCCTGGAGCATGACCCCAGGGCATGTCCCCGGGGACCTTCTTGCTCATGTGGCACTGACAGATGTCTGTAAGTGGCCCCTACTGTGTCCACAGCTACCTGGACATCATCGAGGCGGCCATCTCCTCTGGGGACACTTTACTCATCGAGAACATCGGGGAGACAGTGGAGCCTGTGCTGGACCCCCTGCTGGGCAGGAACACGATTAAAAAGGGAAGGTGAGTCACTTTGCGGAGGGGCCGAGAGATCCTGGGCCTGGCCTGGCGTCAGCCCTGAGATCCCGGGACCCGCCCTGGGTCTAGAGCCTGGGAGAGTTGGGGCCCAACTGGAGCATCTCCCGGGACAAAGCTGTGGGTGTCCCTTCTCTTGCGTGTGCATTCAGGTCAGCTGTGAACCCGCTGTTCCTGTTTAAATTACGGTAACGTGCATGAGCTCGTCTGAAGGGCACCAGGGGCTGGAGCTGCCCAGGCTGAGGGGTCCCGGCCTGACCACACAGTGTCCTGTCTCTGCCCGTGGGATCCAAAAGCTAAAACCATTTTTTGTTTGGTGGGGGGGGTACCATACCTGATGGTGCTCAGGGCTGACTCCTGGCTCTGTGCTCAGGGATCACTCCTGGTGGGCTTGGGGAGCCATGTAGGATGCTGGGGATTGAACCCAGGTCCGCTGCATGCCAAGGCAAGTGCCTTGCCAGCTTGACAATCACTCCTGCTCTACCTTCCCGCTTATTTTTAATAAAAAGAAGGGGTCAGAGAAATGGTCCAGAGGTTAGAGCGTGAACCTTGACACAGCTGACTAGGGTTTGATCCCCGCACCCCATACAGTCCTTGGAGCACCAGAGTGATCCCTGAGCACAGAGCCAGGAGTCAGCCCCGAGCCCAGGTGTGGCCCCAAGTGCATCAGTGGGGTTGCTCCAAGCCCCCCGGCACACAGGCCCCACACTGGAGTCCAGGATGGGGGTGACGGAGCATGCTGCTGCTCCCACCATCACGGGTGCCGTCGGGGTATGGACACCCCGGGGCAAAATCAGACAGGGAAACCAGAGTGGGGAGCAGATGACAGTCCCCAGCCTATAAGGACCAGCAGCAGCCAGAAGAGGATCCAGCACATGGCCACAGTCACAGGGAACCCCGGGAACCCCGACGTCTGGGGGCTGGCCCCAGGCTGGGGACAGAGGCCTGTGGTGGAGCCTGTGACTCCTCGCCCCGCCCCGCCAGGTACATCAAGATTGGGGACAAGGAGGTGGAGTACCACCCCAACTTCCGCCTGATCCTGCACACCAAGTACTTCAACCCCCACTACAAGCCGGAGATGCAGGCCCAGTGCACCCTCATCAACTTCCTGGTCACCAGGGACGGGCTCGAGGACCAGCTCCTGGCCGCAGTGGTGGCCAAAGAGCGCCCTGACCTGGAGCAGCTGAAGGTGGGGGCCGCCGGGGGGTGGGGGGCGACCCCGCGGCTTCTCTCTAAAGATGCCTTTCTGGTCCCAGTAGGTGGTCCTGTGCAGGGATGCCGGCCGTGTCCTTGGGTATTCTCCATGAAGTGACTGTCTAGGGAGCAGGGGGGCCCCGGAAGCTGGCTCCAGGGAGCAGCCCTGCGACAGGCACACGTGTCGCCCTCCGCAGGCCAACCTCACCAAGTCTCAGAACGAATTCAAGATCGTGCTCAAGGAGCTGGAGGACTCGCTGCTGGCCCGGCTGTCGGCCGCGTCGGGCAACTTCCTGGGGGACACGGCCCTGGTGGAGAACCTGGAGATCACCAAGCACACGGCCAGGGAGATCGAGGAGAAGGTGGGACGCCCACAGCGGGGGGCAGTGGTCCGCAGGCTCCGGGCAGCCAGGTCACACCCCCCCCCACGTGCTCTCAGGTGCAAGAGGCCAAGATCACTGAGTCCAAAATCAACGAGGCCAGAGAGAACTACCGGCCGGCGGCCGAGCGGGCGTCCCTGCTCTACTTCATCCTCAACGACCTCAACAAGATCAACCCCATCTACCAGTTCTCGCTCAAGGTTCTCCGGCTAGGCAGGGGCGCAGGGCCGTGCCGGGAGGGATCTGGAGCCCCGCCCCCACACACCTCCATGCTCCCCTCTGCCCCCCTGCCCCAGGCCTTCAATGTGGTGTTCGAGAAAGCCATCCAGAGGACCCCGGCCTCGGACGACGTCCGGCAGCGTGTGATAAGCCTGACGGATGAAATCACCTATTCCGTCTACATGTACACGGCACGCGGCCTCTTCGAGCGCGACAAGCTCATCTTCCTGGCGCAGGTGACGTTCCAGGTGAGCCCTGTGCCCGCCCACTGGGGCAGGAATGCAGCGGGAGTCCCTATAGTTGGCACAGGGGACTCTGGGAGGGGAGGGGTCAGAGAGGGTCAGAGAGTCCGCAGGTGTCCTCAGAGTCGCTGGCCCTGACCTGGGAGGGGGTGCTCTGCCATGCAAGCGTGTTTTTTAAAAAATGAACTGGGCGGTCCAGAGACGGGGCCCAGATAGATAGGACGACGGGCAGGGTGTCTGCCGGGTTTGATCTCTGCTACCTCCTAGTGTCCCCTTAACCCTGAGCACAGAGCCAGGAGTCAGCCCTAAGCACCACTGGGCGTGGCCCCAAGACAAACACACTTTAAAAGATCTTGTGGCCGGAGAGCGTAGGGCATGGGGCACGGGCCTTGTCCGAGGCGGACCCGGACCCCGATCCCACCCCTGGCACCACATGGCGCCTGCCAGGGCGTCTGAGTAATCCCCTACCTGGGGTCACCTGACCCAAAACCAATCAGCCAACAAAAAGTGCTCCTGCCCTGGAAGCCTGAGGCCACGCGTGTCCCACGTGTGTCCAGTGTGGTCCCTGCAGCTTTGCTCTACGGGGCCCACAATAGTGTCTATCTCCGACACACAGCCAGGGGCCGGTGAGTCCCCCCAGCACCACAGCCAGGTGTGTGGACCCTCCCAGCCCTGCACCAGCACCCGGAGGAAGGGAGGAGGAGGCCAGTGCAAGCAGCACCCCCTGCTGGCCAGCAGGACCCCAGCGCCAACTTGGCCTCCTGTGGACCTCAGTGCTGGGTCCATGCTGTGGAGGTCGCTCTTCTATGTGAACTTGACTTTTGTGGCCAACAAGCTGGCGTTAGTACAGCGTTTAAGGTCCTTGCCTTGCACACGGCCGGACCATTGATCCTGTGTGATACCTGGCATCAGGAACAGAGTGCTGGAAGGGACAGGAGAAGCTGGCCGGGAGCAGCAACTCAGCCCCTGTCTGTGCATAGGTCTTATCTATGAAGAAGGAGCTAAACCCCCTGGAGCTGGATTTCCTGCTGCGCTTCCCGTTCAAGGCTGGGGTGCAGTCACCCGTGGACTTCCTGCAGAACCAGGGCTGGGGCGGCATCAAGGTTGGTGCCCATGAGCAGTGGGTGCCCCACAAGCCGTGTGGGCGGGACCTTCTGTGTCAGCCCAGGGAGGATCTTCAGACACCCTGGCTGACACCAGCTCAGCTCACAGCTCTGACATCCTATATAGCCCCCACTCCGCCGCCCCCCCCCCCCCGCCCCATAACCCAGGCCCCATCCCGGGAAGGCTCGAAGGTCAGAGGTTCCTCTGCAGCCAGGCACAGGCTCGACTCCAGCAGCCCAGCTCAGGCCCCGGCGCCTGCGATCCCCCTCTCCCCTCCCTGCAGGCCCTCTCAGAGATGGACGAGTTCAAGAACCTGGACAGTGACATTGAAGGGTCCGCCAAGCGGTGGAAGAAGCTGGTGGAGTCGGAGGCACCCGAGAAGGAGATCTTCCCCAAGGAATGGAAGAACAAGACGGCGCTGCAGAAGCTGTGCATGGTGCGCTGCATGCGGCCCGACCGCATGACCTACGCCGTCAGGTGAGTGGGTCTGCCTGCGGGAGTGGTCAGGGTGATGGGCGGGGCTGATGGGGGCGTGGGCAGGGTGGTGGGCGGGGCCTGGCAGGCGTGGTCTAGTAGTGGGGTCTGCTGGGAGTGGTCAGGGTGGTCGTGGGGGCTTGATGGGCGTGGTCTGGGTGGGTGGGGGCTGATGGGCGTGGTCGGGTGGGGTCCAAAGGGCGTGGTCAGGATAGGGCGGGCTGGTGGGCGTGGTGGGTGGGGCATGTTGGGCGGGGGCAGGCGGGTGGGGCAGGGCCTGTGGGCAGGGTTTTGGAGGGGGCGGGGCCTGATGGACCTGGTCAGGCCTAGTGGGCGTGGTGGGCAGGTCAGGCCTTCGTCCTCCAGGCCCTCCAGGGTCGCGAGCTTAGGGGCGTCTGTCACCCTCATACGTCCCTGCTTTTCCCCAGGAACTTCGTGGAAGAGAAGATGGGAAGCAAATTCGTGGAGGGGCGCAGCGTCGAGTTCTCCAAGTCGTTCGAGGAGAGCAGTCCCTCCACCCCCATCTTCTTCATTCTCTCCCCGGGCGTGGACCCCCTCAAGGACGTGGAGGCGCTGGGTGAGTCCTCGCCCTGGGGTGGAGTGGGCACGCGACCCGCAATGCCCCTGCGCACAGGCACCCCACACCCACTCGTCCACCCAGGCCCCGGGGACATGTGTCAGCGTCCACCTGGCAGTGTCCTCAGGCCAGAGGAGGGCGCAGGCCAGTGGTGAGGGTGATTCTGGTACTGGAGCCGGGGCCCCACCCCACCCACCCCAGGCTCCACTAACTGCGCTGACCAGCAGAATAGAGGTGTCCAGGTGAGATGGGGAGGGCCAGGGGCCAGGAAAAGGTCAGGTGGGGTGGTGGGGGCCACTGGGTGCCATGGTCTACTGCCCTTTTGCGAGTTCAGTGGGTTCATGTTTTCTTGGGGGTGAAGTGCCCAGGCCACTCCATGGAGAAACGGCCGTAGAGGTTGGGGTGTCTTGCTGCAGTGAGGAATGTGGGTGCTGGCCAGGCTCTGCGGGAGCCCCGAGTTCCATTCCTTGGTCCTGGACCCCCTGAGGTGTGATCTCCCCCTTCAAAACAACAATCCGGAGTTGAGGTTGGCACAGTGGCACAGCAGACAGGGCATCTTCCTGGCATGCGGCCAACTGGGTTCAATCCCTGTCGTGCCATATGGTCCCCCAAACGCTGCCAGGAGCAACCCTGAGCCTCACTGGGTGTGGCCCAAAAAGTCAAAGTAAAAAAAATAGAATGAAACGTTTAAAACAAATCCGGGTACAGTGCTGAGTCCCTGCTGCTCCACAGGGAAGAAACTGGGCTTCACCATCGACAACGGAAAGCTGCACAACGTGTCTCTGGGCCAGGGCCAGGAGGTGGTGGCAGAGGATGCTCTGGACGTGTCGGCTGAGCAAGGGCACTGGGTGATCCTGCAGGTATGGGGCGCTGCCTCTAGAGGGCGCCCGCTCCCAGGCAGAGGACAGCGGCTCCGGGTGGCACAGAGAATGGGGGGCGGGGGCAAAGGGGGAGAAGGGGGGCTGGGGGGCATCAGGAGCGCTGGGGCCAAAGTCTGGGTCTCTGGCGATGGAGCATGTGGGCTGACGCCAGGGCAGCCCCTGAAAGCAGGTCTTTAGGAAACCAAGGCACTGGGGGCTGGAGAGGCGCTACAGTGGGAGGGCATTTGCCTTGCACGTGGCTGACCTGGGTTCAATCCCAGCACCCCAGGGAGTTCCCGCTCCCCCCCCCCAACACACACACACACACCTCCAGGAGTTATGAACACAGCTAGGAGTAAACCCTGAGCACTGGTGGGTGTGGTCCCCAAACCAGAAAAACAAGAAGCAACAACAAAACCCCAAATCCTAGAGTTGGGGAAATGCTTTGCATGCGGGAACCCTGGTTCCATCCCCCGAGGCCCTGCTGGGGGTGGCCCAGATCCAAAACCAGAGCCTGGTACTGGGGAGTGACTCAGCTGGCAAGCACTTGCCTTGTTTGTGTGGGGCCCTGCTCCCATCTGCAGCGCCAGACTCTGGGTTATAGAAAGGACCCTGGAGCTCCCCTGGGGGACCCCCATGGGGCCCCCCCACCTGGCCCCACCCAGCTGCTGCCTTGGGTTCTTTTGCAGGGGGCAGAGGGCAGGGCTCAGGGTTACCAGGAGGCTGTGGGCCTGAGCTCACTGGGCAGGGTCCCCTCCGGCCCTCCGGGGCCTGGCTGCTTCACAGGAAATAGCTGGTGGGGTGGGCAGTGAGGGGCCGTGTGGGGGCCGCCTGATGTGCCCACCCTCGGCCTCTGCCCTGGCTGCAGAATATCCACCTGGTGGCGCGCTGGCTGAGCACCCTGGACAAGAAGGTGGAGCGCTACAGCACGGGCAGCCACGAGGACTACCGCGTGTTCATCAGTGCTGAGCCCGCCCCCAGCCCCGACTCGCACATCATCCCCCAGGGCATCCTGGAGAATGCCATCAAGATCACCAACGAGCCGCCCACGGGCATGCACGCCAACCTGCACAAGGCGCTGGACCTCTTCACGCAGGTGGGCCGGCACGGAGCCCACCACCTGGTCCCTTCGGCATCTGGGGCAGAGCTGCAGGGCAGGGGGCTCAGGTCTCTTCCCCAGGCCCAGGCGGCCCCTCCCTGGCCCCCCTCTCCCCTCTGGGCTCACAGCTTCATGGCCGCCCTTCCCCAGGGCCCCCAGTCTGCACTCGGAAGGTGACTAGTTGGGAGGTCCAGAGCATGGCCGGGAGTAGCCAGAGTACCGCTGGGGGACCAAAACCGCCTCCAGAAAATAGCCCCTACACAGGGAACTGAGCGTATTTATTCACAGTTACTTGGGGGGACTCTCTGTGCAGTGCTCAGGCTCCCCAAGAGCCCCCAGCAGTACTTTGCAGTGCAGGCGACACACCTGGTGGCGGGGTGCTGGACTCCAGGGCCACACACGGGGCCCCGCATATCTAGGCCTAGTACCTGAGCGTCCCTATGGTGGAAAGGTCTTCCTGTGGCCTGGGCAGGAGGGCGGGGAGGCGGGGCTCCCGGGAGGACGGGGCGAGCCTCCAGCCCCTGACCCCTGCCGCCCGGCAGGACACCCTGGAGATGTGCACGAAGGAAATCGAGTTCAAGTGCATCCTCTTTGCGCTGTGCTACTTCCACGCCGTGGTGGCCGAGAGGCGCAAGTTCGGGGCCCAGGGCTGGAACCGGTCGTACCCCTTCAACAACGGGGACCTCACCATCTCTATCAACGTGCTCTACAACTACCTGGAGGCCAACCCTAAGGTGGGTGAAGGTCATCCTTGGGGTTGGCATCACCAGACGACGGGCGCAGGAAGCCTTGGCCAAACTCAGGGTCTGGAGCAGAGCTGGGGCTCTGGGACACTCCTTGGAACTGTCACCCACACACACCCTCCAGCCCAGCACTCACAAGTGACACTAGGGCCCGCAGAGGCCACGGGTAGCCAGTGTGGCCCAGGAAGTGTCCAGCCCCCACAGGCCAGGGCAGGGGACCGCCACTGCCCTGCTGTGGTAGCAGTCCCCATGGCAGGGTGGGGCGCCAGCCTGGCCCCCAAGTAGCCCCCCAGGTTCTGAGTCTAGAGGGGTCACCAGGCACCGCGTGTGACCAAGACAGACCGGGGAGCAGTGGGAGGTCACAGGCGCTGGTCCCGACCGCCGGCCACCACACGCAGGTGCCCTGGGACGACCTTCGCTACCTGTTCGGAGAGATCATGTACGGGGGCCACATCACAGACGACTGGGACCGCCGGCTGTGCAGGACGTACCTGCTGGAGTTCGTGCGGCCTGAGATGCTGGAGGGCGAGGTCATGCTGGCCCCCAGCTTCCAGATCCCCCCGAACCTGGACTACAAGGTGAGCACGGCTCTGGCGGCAGGGGGAGGGCCAGGCCTCCAGCCGGTCCTCCTGGGAGTGTCGCCTGCAGAGACCCAGGCCCCAGCCCGCCCACCTCACCCTCTGCCGCAGGGGTACCACGAGTACATTGATGAGAACCTGCCCCCCGAGAGCCCCTATCTCTACGGCCTGCATCCCAACGCAGAGATCGGCTTCCTGACGGTCACCTCGGACAAACTGTTCCGCACGGTGCTGGAGATGCAGCCCAAGGAGAGCGACTCGGCCGGGGGCACGGGGGTGTCCCGGGAAGAAAAGGCAGGTCCCCCGCGCCTGGCCCCGCCGTCATGCCAGTGGTGCTCACTAATCGGCAGGTGGAACTGGGTCCCCCGACAACACGGAACCTTTAATTCTGAACAGCGCAGGCGTCTCCTGGAGGGCATACTCGGGTGGGGCAGTGCGCGCTGGGCAGGGGTGAGGTTTTGCCTTCAGGGGCCCAGCACCACCGTCCCCATGCCCCCGGGCAGTGACCCCACGTGCAGGGCCAGGCAGGCGAAGTTGGGGCTGCCCAGGACAGAGCTCGCTTGGGGGGCCGGAATGACGGGTACCGCCCCCAGGTGAAGGCCGTGCTGGACGAGATCCTGGACAAAATCCCGGAGCTGTTTAACATGGCCGAGATCATGGCCAAGGCGGCTGAGAAGACGCCCTACGTGGTGGTGGCCTTCCAGGAGTGTGAGCGGATGAACATCCTCACCAGCGAGCTGCGGCGCTCGCTCCGGGAGCTCAACCTGGGGCTCAAGGTGAGTGGGTGGGGCAGAGGCGTGGCCACAGGGGAGCCCCGCAGCTGAGCCCCACCAGTGTCTCTCAGGGGGAGCTGACCATCACCACCGACATGGAAGACCTGTCCACGGCTCTGTTCTACGACACGGTGCCCGCCACGTGGATGGCCCGGGCGTACCCATCCATGATGGGCCTGGCTGCCTGGTACTCAGATCTCCTGCTGCGTGTGCGGGTGAGGCCCGGGCGCCCTGCTGTGCGGGAGGAACACGCCCCCAGACCCTCCCCGGCCTCGGCTCAGCCTGGCTCTCCCACAGGAGCTGGAGGCCTGGACCACAGACTTTGCACTGCCCACGGCGGTGTGGCTGGCGGGCTTCTTCAACCCGCAGTCCTTCCTCACGGCCATCATGCAGTCCATGGCTCGCAAGAACGAGTGGCCACTGGATAAGATGTGCCTGTCTGTGGAGGTGACCAAGAAGAACCGGGAGGACATGACGGCGCCGCCCCGGGAGGGCTCCTACATCTACGGGCTCTTTATGGAAGGTGCGTGCTGCCGCCGCAACGCCCCCACCAACACACACAAACACACATGCAGCGGTCAGTCTCCAGGTTTATTTGGAATCACAGGCAGGAAGCAGCAGCACGGGGAAGGGGCTGCGGGTGCCAACGGGCCATGCTGAGTAGGGGCCGCCCGTGCCCCTCGAGAGCGGCCCCCTCCCGCCAGGAGCCGAGACACACGTGCTGAGGGGCCCAGCCATCCGTCTGTCCCAGGCGCCGTTTCCGTGTGTCCAGCCTGGGCCGTCACTGCCCGTGCCCAGAGCGCGCCCTGACGCTGCACGTGCTGTGCCCGCAGGGGCCCGCTGGGACATCCAGAGCGGCGTCCTCGCCGAGGCACGGCTGAAGGAGCTGACGCCGGCCATGCCCGTCATCTTCGTGAGGGCCGTCCCTGTGGACCGCATGGACACCAAGAACATCTACGAGTGCCCCGTGTACAAGACGCGGCTCCGCGGCCCCACCTACGTCTGGACCTTTAACCTCAAGACCAAGGAGAAGGCGGCCAAGTGGATCCTGGCGGGAGTGGCGCTGCTCTTGCAGGTGTAGAGCCGCCCGCGAGGGGGAGGGGTGGGGTGGGCATTAAAGTCGAGTTTCCTCGCTGGCCTGTCTGACTCAAACGCCTGAATCCTGGCCTCCCCGACACGAGGCAGACTGCGCGAGTTGCCCTCTGGGGTGGGGGTGGGGGGTGAGAGGGGGACGCCAGCAGAGGGTCTGGTGTCCGAAGCACCTGTCAAATCCTCGCTCCTGGAGCCTGCAGCAACGCCACGAGGGGGCGCGGTGGCCTCTGGCTGGTCCCAGAACCAACCCTCCACCGCACCCCCACCCAGTGGGAGCCCAGCAGCAGAAAGCTGCGCCCCTCAGTCCCCTGCCCCGGCCCAGCCGGGCGGCCTCACCTGTGTGCAGCCTCAGAAGAAGTTCTTGATCAGCGGCGTCACCATCTTCACCCACAGCTTCACCCGCCGGCTGGGCTGCTCGAAGGTGGCGGCAGACACCAGCCCTGACCTCAGGTACAGCCGTTCCTGCTCCTGCAGACACGGAGACGGAGACGGGCTGGCTGAGGGGCAGGCGGCCCTCTGGCCTCACTCAGCCCCGCCACAGGCCTGTGTCATGGGATCCTGAGCCCGGGCGCCGAGTGCCTGTCCCATCATCCCAAACCCGGTCACTCGGCGGGGGCGGCCCACCTGGTGCAGCTGCTGCTGCAGCGCCGGGCTCTCCGTGACGATGGCGATCTGGGCCTCCAGGTCCCGGTGAACCGACCTGTACCCAAAATTAGGAGAGCCGATCAGGGTGAGGCACGGCAGGCTGCTGCCCGGCACATACAGCCAGAGGCCTGCAGGGAAAGGAGACGGACACGAGTGAGCCTGCGCCGGGCGCCCCTCCTCAGCGGGACACCCACAGCCCCCCACCCCTGCCCACAAGGGGCACAAGAGAGGCAGGCAGGCAGCTGGGGCCGGCCCAGCCACACTTCTGCTCCAACCCTGCTCTGGACGAGCGCTGGTTGTTGGCCAGGCAGGGGTGGGGGTCCTGTGCAGATATACAGGAGCTGCTAGCTCACTGGACCCCACCCCTGCATGAAGCACTGCCCTTTGGGGCTCTCGGAGCTCTGTGGGGACGGGATGGGGACAGCTGGCACAGCACCAGGAGCCACCATCCCTGATGCCATGCAGGCCCCGCCCAGCCACCAGGGCGCCTGCTACACCTGCATGTCGCCCCGGGGCAGCTCCTGCCGCCAGCCACACATGGGCCCCTCACAGGCCCGGGCCTGACCTTCCCCTCCCACGGCCGGAGCACTTGTTCCGGGCTCAGAGCACCCCGGCCACCTGCGCTGACGGCCCCGGGCCCAAGCACAGGCCAGGCATGCACAAACCAGCTGCACCTCCCGGCCCTCGTGAATCCCCCGGGAAGAAGCACCCCGGGAACCAGGGGCAGTGCCACAGCTGAGCCGTGTGCCAGCCGGGGACTGAGCACAAGCACCCACAGCTAGCACTTGCCTCACGTGACTAACCGGGGCTCGACCCCCAGAACTGCAGGGGGCCCTGAGCATACTGAGTGCCAGTGCCATGGGCCCCTCAGGAAAGGCAGGGCAGCCGTCAAATAAACACTATGTGAGGGTCCGAGGCGGAGAAGCCAGTGTGGGGACCTGGTACACAGGCAACTGGCCGCGGCCCCCTCACCCAGACCCAGGCCCCGGGACACCAGCCAGTGGGGGAAGCGCCGGGGCATTCTGCCAAACCACAGAGGAAACACAGAACCACGCCGGAGTCTCGGGCCCAGGGCGGCTGCGATGGTTCCCCGGCCTTCCTGCTGAGCCCGTCGTGCCGGCTGACCACGCCGTGCTTCCCGGCACAGGCCATCTCTCCCTGCGCTGCCGAGGCTTCCGTGGGCAGGCGGGCTGGGAGCCCTCCGAGGCCAGGGCAGGTCTGGGCAGGACCCCGCCCCCGCGGCCAAGGGCTCCAGAGGAGGTGCCCAGCGGGCCCAGGCCTGTCCTGCACAAGCCATCGTGGGGGGCCCGGGGGTGAGTGAGCCCCCAGAGGGGGCTGGCAGAAGCCCCCACCAGCCAGGCACGAAGCGAGCAGAAGGGGCCCTCCGACAGGGCCAGTGCTCTGACCTTGCTCCCCGTGCAGCCTTGCCTGCAAGCACCCTGGGATTCCCCGGCCTGGGAGCAGGAACCACCCGGCAGGGTGAGGCCTCCGGGAAAAGGTGGAAGTTTCGGTGCCTGGGCGAAGCTGGGCTTCGGGGAAACTGCCCAGGAGCGGCATGGATGGGGCACCCCAGCCCCACCTGTACCTCCGACCTCACCTCTGGAGGAACCCAAAGCTGTTGGGACTCCCGAAGCTGTTGGAGCCTCAGGGGCTGGCAGTTGGCCAGGTCAAGGTTCCAAAGGCCTATCCAGCCCAGTGAGGGAACGTCGGCCACTGGAGAGCAGGCGGCCCTGCCTGGCTCTGACGGTCTGTGTGGGGCCAGATGGCAGAGGCCAGGCGTGAGGAAGAGTGCGGCCCACACGCGGGAGGGCACCAAAGGGCACGGCCCAGAGTCAGACCCACGTGCACCTAGGGCTGGGCCCCTACCTGCTCCCGGAGAGGGAGGTGGTCCTGGAAAACAAGCGATCTGACCCAAACCCTGAGGGCCTCCCATGCCCACTTTCTCCAGACCCCCCCAGGATCCAGTGCAAAGGCCCAACACTTGTTGGGGTCCTGACACAGAGCCCCCAACTCAGAAAAGACTATGGTGGCAACTGTCCTGGTGAGCAGGGCAAGTCCTGAGAAGTAGCCACCACGGGCAGGCACACAGCAACATCCGAGAACACGGCACAGGCACACGGCACAGGCACATAGTGCGGGTACTGATACAGCAGGCGTGCAGCCCACGTGCCATATACCTTTGGCGTGGAAGGTCCAGCCCGGGCGCCAGTACTCCTGCAGCTGCACACGCTCCTGCTGGCCCAGGCTGCAGACGGCGCGGTAGAACTGCCGCTCAATGTACACGTAGGCCGCGGGGATGGCGCCCGCCACGCCCTTGGCCCCAAAGAAGCCGTTCACCTCGGGGGAGGCCAGCAGGATGCGGTAGTCGGCCCGCGCGCCCAGCACCAGGTCCATGTAGGCCTGGGTGAGGTTGAAGTAGCCAGTGGTGAGGTAGACCCGGGCCCCACGCTCGGCCTCAGTCAGCAGGCTGGCGGTGACCAGCTCGTCCATCTGGATGGCAAAGGGCTTCATCTGGATGAGCGGGTAGATCCAAGTGTCCGGGGCGGGGTTCCGGTCGCCCGCTGCCGCAGCGTCCTCCCGGGCCATGCGCGCGTCTCCGTGAAAGGTCTGTGCATGCAGCCGCTGCTGGCGGACGCGGGCCTGGTCGATCACGTCCATCACGCGGTCGTGGGCCGCTTTGCAGTACGCAGTCTGGTCACCTGGGGGGCATCAGGGTGAATGCGCGGGCCCACAGAGGGGACACATGCCTCCAGCCGGACATGCCTCCCGTGGTCCTCAACACCGCCCGGAGAGGCCTGGCCCAGTGCCCACGCCCAGGTCCTATCTTGTGCCACCCAGCAAGTCCTGCAGCGGACTGGGACGGGCATGGCAGAGCCACGCGCCCAGGCCTAGAGCCAGTCCCCGGCACCACAGAAAACAACACAACACAAAATAAGGGGCGAGCAAGGCCATGGGGAGGGCGTCAGCCTTGCACGAGGTAGACCTGGCTCATCCCTGGCGCCCATATGGTCCCGAGCTCACCAGGAGTGTGCAGTCGGGACTCAGCCCAGAGCACCACCGGGTGTGGCCCAGAATCAAACAAGAGCAAGTACAAGCGCAGGGCTGGGCAGTCGGCAGCGGTGGTGCTGGGTGCCAACTGCAACGCTGCCACATTGCACCTACCCGCGTGCGGAAGCCCCAGGCAGCACTGCGGCAGACCCCAGGGCCAGCACAGGAGAAGCCCCCTAACGCCCAGGGCAGCCGATGGCCAACAGGACCAGACTCTGCCCCCTGGGGTCGCTCCTCCCCACACGCGGGGATGCGGCGGGACCCACCTTCGTACGGGTGCACCATCCCGTCCACCATCTGCACCGTGTCGTCCCCCTGCAGCTGGAAGGACACGTCCCCCACGGCGTCCACCAGTTCCGAGAAGAAGTCAGCCAGCTCCGGGCAGTCGCGTAGGAAGACGTAGCGGTCCTGGCGGTTGGTGAAGTAGGAGTCGCTCAGGTTGGCTCTGGGGAGCAAAGGGTAGCACTCAGGGCCAGGCTGGGCAGGGCTGGGCAGGGCCGGATGGCAGGACACTGCCCGCCCACACAGCCTCTGTGAGACCCGGCTCCAGGCTAGGCAGGAGGGGCGCAGAGGCAGAGCACTGGGAATTGGCCGGGGGGGGGGGGGGGGGGGGGGGGGGGGGGGAGCGGGGCAGGGGGGCCCGCAGCGCCCTTGTGGGTCGCGTGGAGCACTGCCTTGTGCACCCAGGCCCCCAGGGACCACTAGGAGGCCCCACACATGGCCTCCCCCCTCGGGCCAGTCCCCCTGCACCCGGCCTTACCCGCTGAGGACCAGGCTGCTGTCGAACACGTAGACCTTGATGTGCTGCAGCCCGATGGTCTCGTTGAAGCGCTCGGGGAGCAGCAGCCGCAGCAGCCCGCGCAGGTGGGGCGTGTGGAACAGCGACACGCGCACGCGCTCGGGGAAGCGCTGCAGGAGCGGCAGCAGCATCGTGCGCGAGTTCCTTCTCCCTGCGGGCGAGCCGGGCGGTCAGGGCGGAGGGGGACAGGCCCGCTCTCAACACCCTCCATCCACGCCCTCTGGACAGGCCTGTACCCAGGCAGGGCTGGCCGAGGGGATGAACGCCTGCTGACTTTAACACCCCCTCCACCCCCCAGCCAGTGCCCTGCCCTCCGCACCTGCTCCCTACCCCACCCTAGCACCCCAGAAGAGAGTGGGAGCCTAGGAGGGGCGTGTTCCAGGAAGGGGAGGGGCTTATGGGAGACAGGGTCAGGAAGGGGCGGGGCCTAGGAGTGCAGGCCCTTTGGGGGCAGGCCCTATGGGGGCAGGCCCAGGAGGGGCAGGACCTATGAGGGGAGAGAACAGGAGGGGTGGAGACTAAGAGAGGCGGGGCTGGCACATGACAATTCGGGCGCTGTCCACACGGGGAGCAGGGCAGGAGCTTTGGGGGGGCGGTCCCAGCTCCATGAGCTCCCAGCACGCCCCACTGCAGCACGCTGACTTCAGCAGCAGAGATTCTGCTTGGGCAAGACACAGCTGGGGGCACAGCACACACCTGGTGGGCGAGTGGGGGCCCCAGCCAGACCCCCCCTCCTCCGCCACCCTGGGGGCCTCGGGGCCCTGAGCACACAGGCCAGGGCCGGAAGATGACACTCGGGGGTTTTCTCCAGCCCAGCACGGAAGCAAAGGAGCTGGCTCCGAGGGCAGGGACCCACCTCTGGAGCCACGCGTGAAGTCCAGCAGGATGGAGACCTTGAGGTCGGCGTCCTGGAGCGCCCTCTCCAGGCAGTCCACCTACGGGAGGCACCCGGGGGGGGGGGGGGGGGGGGCAACGAGGCCCATGGTCAGTCACCCACGAGACCCAAGCCCTCTGCGCGAAAGCACGCTGCTGGTGCACACATGGGAAGCCCCAGCCCAGGCTTCCGGGACAGTCCCAGGAGACCCGGCCTCTGGGGCCAAGCTCTACGGCCCCCGGAGGGAGCAGAGACGCAGCCCCCTCCCCAGGCACGTCCTCCCACGCAGTGAGACTAGGGGCCTGCACACACTCTACAACCCAGACGCTGCCGCCCATCCCTGGGGCCACATAGGGTAGAGCAGCAGTCCCAGTGGAACCAGACCACACACAGGCCTGACCCAACACCGCGCCTGCACACTGAGGGTCACAAACCCTCTTAATGAGCCACTGGCCACACGGCCTCCGCTCCACCCAGTCCTTAGCTGCAGTGACCACCCAGCTGGACAGGGCTAGCGCTGAAGCAGCACCAGGGGCTTGGAAGTCTGCACTTCATCTGCTCCCAGGGGCCGCAGACCATCCTGAGTTCTCAAGAGAAACGCCAAACCCAGAGGCCGAGAGAAAGGACGGTGGGGAAGGCGCCTCAGGCTGGACCCGAGCCCCTCCGGAGTGATCCCTGAGCACTGCTGGGGGTGCCCCCCAAGCCAGGAGGTCAGATGGGCAGGCTGGCGGCAGGCAGCAGAGGCTGGGCCTGAAGGACAGGGTAGCCACAGTACTTCTGAGGGCCGGCGAGGCCGGCAGGCCGATGGGGCGGGTCAGCTCACCAGCTCCTGCTCCAAGGGCCCCGTCCCCAGGTAGAGCGACGCCATCACCACCCGTCTCTTGGCTGCCTTTATCTGCCCCTGGAAGAGAGGAGAAAGGAGTTCACAGCAGCCCCTCGTCCTGAGCCCTTCCTGACCCGGGGTGCAGATGAGCGTGTCCAGAGAACGACGCCCCAACCCCTCAGGGGCAGTGCACCTGCCCGCGCCAGTGAGGTTCCCTTAATCTTTTTTTGGGGGGTCGGGCACACACATAGGTCTGTGCTCAGGGATCACTCAGGGACCGCATGGGGTGCCTGGTACTGAACCCCAGTCAGCCACATGCAAGGAAAATGCCCCACTCGCTATACTGACACTCCAGCCCGAGGGGCCCCAATTCTATCTCAAAATCCCCCATCTATAAGAAAAGCGCCAGGTCAGAGAGAAGGCGCAAAGGTTTCGCACACCCGGGGCGCAGCCCAGCACCCACCGCAAGGCCCCCAGCAATACCCGCACACTCTCCAACCAAGAAACAAAACCAGCAAACACTAAGGGGCTGCTCGGAGGTGGGGACCCTAGGGAACAGCTGGGGTGGCTCAGAGGCGGGGCTGAGGCCCGAGGTCAGAGGGCGGGCACAGTGGTAAGGCACATGACCTGCACATGGTAGACACCATACGGAGCCCCCAAGCACCACCAGGAGTGTCCCCCGAGCACTGCTGGATGTGGCCCACACCCTCTTCCCTGGGTCAGGTCGTGGCACTGTGGCTGGTACTGTGGCAGCCCAGCCCGGCGTCCGACACCGCAGCCAGAGCTCAGGACCACAGGGGAGGGGACAATCGGGCGCAATGAATGTCCCCAGTGAGGGGAAGGGCAGCTGCCAGGGATCCTGTCCACAGCCCAGGGGAAAGGCTCCTGGACAAGGAAACGGACGTCCCACCCCGTGACAGACGCAGGCAGCTGCTGGCCCCAAGGGCACTCCTGGGCCTCCCTCCCATACCCTCACTCCACAGCACCCCGGGAAGGGGCGCCAGGAAGAGAGACTGGAAGAGGCCCCACCCCTGACTCAGCCCCTCTCCCCGGCACACTGGGAAACTTGTCCCAGCCCAGCACCCAGAGGAACAAAGAGCATGTCACCTCATGAGAGACACAAACAAGAAAGCACAGGACCAACGGGCACACACGCCTACACACACTCACACAGGTACTTGTGCACACACTCACTCCTACTGGAACACGTGTGTCCACTCACATGCAGACACATGTGTACATACTCATGCCCTCACGTACATGTGCATATACACGTGTGTGTATAGCTCACTCACATGCACATACACAGGCTCACACATGCTCATTCCCACATGCAGATATGCACAGCAACATGCACCCATGAAGAATCATACTGCCATTCATGCATACACATACATGCATGTGTGTACATACACACAACCATGTATACACACACAAGCAAGTGCTCACATTCATGCTCGGCACATATAGATATGCGTGTACACATATGTGCACATAAACACATGTGTCCTCATGCATATACATGCACCTGTATGTATACACACTCAACCATGCAGTGAGTGACCTGGGCACACAAGTGTACTCAGACATCCATGTACCCACATGCACTCATGTGTGCATGTCCTTTCATACATACACACATGCAAACTCCTACACACATCAACAGCACCTCACACACATGCACTCATATATGCACACACATGTGAGCCATAGACCGGCACTAAGCATGCACCCACACGACAGCATAGGGAGCAGAAGCGAGGCAGAGGCAGGAGCCCAAAACCGGGCACGCACGCCGACCACCAGCGAGCCAGCAGCCGGCCTGGCCCATCAGACCTGCAGCTGTCACTGGACTCGGGGCTTGAGACAATAAACGTCAATCAGCATTGAGACCCTTCGCTCCAGAGCCGGCCGCGAGGGGCATGCTGAGAGCTGAGCCCCGGCGGGCTATTGGCAAACGCCTCCAAGGAGCTCTGGCCACCCCCGCCCACAGGGCCACGGGGTCTGCGGTGCCTGGGCATGACGTCTGCTTGAATGACGCACTGTTCTGAAGCTGTTTCATGCCCGGGCTAGAATAAGCCTGCTTCCTCCAGACACTGGTGTGCCCACCCCTTCAGACGTGCGGGCGCGAGTCCCCCACACAGTCGCAGGCCTGCAGCCATGCACTGGGGCTTCCGCCAGGCCCTGCCTGACCTCCCCACCCCCCAACACAGCTCACCTTCATGAGCTCAAAGAACTCGGCAGGCGAGGAGAGCACCCGGACATGTGAGCTGGAGACGCCGAACTCGGGGACCAGGTTCCGGATCCATAGGAAGCGATGCGCACCCTCGGGGCAGAGGCAGCAGGGTGGGGAGTGGGCCGGGGGCGCCGTGGACGGCAGCAGAGGAGCCAGCAGCAGCCACGGGGACCTGGTGGGGAGAGACACCAAGGGTCAGACCCCTGCGTCTGGGACAACGGTGGGCCTCACCATGGCCCTGCGCACACATGCACACGCGTGTAACACATACACACGCACCTACGCACAAACACGCACGCACGAACCAAGCTCTATGCAAGTCCAACCCTGAGCGGCCACCAGTGCCCCACAGAGCACGCTGGGTGCCAGAGGCCCCGCTCCGGGCTTCTGTGAGACAAGGCCGGCGCCCTGCGTGCGGGCTAGGGCACACAGCTTCCATCTGCAGGGACCCACGGGAAACCTCCAGGGCCCTGTCAGACGGCGGGGGCACCCCAGCACCCAGCACCTCCCAGCACAGGACCCAGGGGTCCCCCACACTCAGGCCACTGGGCACCCACAAAGGCAGGTGACAAACAGCCCTGGCAGAGGGTGGCTTGTCTTGTCTGGGGCCCCCCACACAGGCACTGCAGGAGCGGCGGGCGGAGGGACAGTGGGGGCCCAGCTGGGCCAGAGAAACGGCGGCCGTGGCCCTGAATCCACACCCACACCCCGAAGCCCACCTCAAGGGACTGAGACCTGGGACCCCGACAAGGAGGACAAATCTGGCCCGGCACCCCGCCCCCGCCTCAGAGTGGGGTGGGGAAGCCCAGGGCCAGCGGCCTGCCCATGGAGCCCACCGAGCAGGGGCCGAGGGCACGGCTCAGCCAGCAGCAGGCACAGACGAGTGAACTTACAGGGTGTCGGGGGCACCTGCAGTGACCCTGTGTACCCCGGGGGGGCTCAGAACAAGCACCCCCAGACACAGCACAGGTGCAAGAGCACCCCAAGACAGCCAGGGAGACATTGCAGATGAAGGCACCCCAATCCCTGGGGCCCCAAAGGCCCCCCAGCTTGCCAGGAGCCCTCCCTGAGCACAGAGCCAGGACTGAGCCCTGAGCACTGCTGGCTATGACCCAAGCACCCAAAACAAAATGGGATGTGAGTCTGCAGGCCATGCCCCCAACCCCTATCTCAGCACACACCCCGTGCACGCACGCGCGCGCACACACACACACACACACGCACGCATTGTCAAACATACACTCACTGTCATACACGGTGGCACACAAACTCACCCACTCACCCACTCTCTCAGACTCACACACTCAGTCATTCACAGACTCACACACACACACACATATACTCTCACACAGACTCACGGAGACCAACACAGACATACACACTCTCGCAGGTCACACCCCCTGACACACAAGCCCCTCAGCCCCTCAGAAGCCGGCTCTCCCCACTCTCCTTCACTTCAGAATCCCAGCAGAGGCGACCCTGGGGAGCCTGAGAGCTGAGGGACCTGGCCAGTGGCTCCGGCAGCCCCACGGGGACCCTCAGAGCAGCACCCGGCAGGGTCCCAGGGCGACGCCCGGGCGGGAGGGTTTGGAGGAGGCTGCCACGCCCACCAGGCCCGCCCCGGGCACAGACCCCAACACTGAACACAGTGCCCAGCGTTATAAGGAGCAGGGGGCACGGGCCAGTGCGGCGCTGTGGAACAGGCCCACGTGCCCTCGGGGCGGGTGGCAGACACTCCCCCCAGTCCCCATGCCTGGGAGGACAGCAGAGGTCCCCAGCAGGGCCAGCGCGATCCCAGCTCAGAGCAGAGTCTGAGACAGAAGACGGGCTCCAGGCACCGACTAGTCCCAATCCGGAGGCGGGGAGAAGTCTGGGAGCAGCCCAGCTCTCGGCTACGTCAAGTCAGAAAAGCCCCGCGCAGCCCCGCAGCCGGGAGGAGCCGAGTCACACGCCCTTCCTGCCGGCGCCCCCCCCCCGCACCCCCTCCCCCGCTTGTCCAACAGGAAGTAGACACGTCACCCCTCAGACCCCAGCACTCCCCAAGCTTCCCGGCTGCCTGAGTGTCCAAAATCCCCAGCTGCGAAAGGGGTGGACAGTGACCCCAAAGTCACACCAGGGAGCCCGGCACATCTGGGCTCAACCCCAGGCCACACGGCACCCCCAAACTGGAGCTCAGCGCCACCAGCTGGCACCAGAACCCTAAGAAATAGCGCCCCACGCCCACCCGTCAGAGACAAGCAGGTGTCCCCCAGCATCCTCCAGCCCACAGCCCCTCCCACACGGCCAGGGACCTTGCGAGGGGTCTCAGAGGGACCCAGAGGAATCTCAGGGCTACCTTGCTGGGCGTCCCCCCAGAGGGAGACTGTCGGGGCCCAGACTCCCCCTCCCTCAGCCCTGCTTTGTTCCCCGGGGAACCGGCTACTCTGCAGTCAACAGCCCTCTCATTCCCCGCCGACCACTCCTCCAAAACACAGGGTGACTGCCTCTCCCCTCGGTCGCCTAGCAGGAGGCGTCTGCTGCTGGGACCCCAGCACTGGGGACGTGGCCCTCTGCGGGGTCTCCCTGCACTGAGGGCGTGTCCGTCTACAGGAGGCCCCAGCACCAGGGGTTGGGGGGGGGCGCGTGCCTGTCTTCGGGGTCCCTAGCACCAGGGGGCATGTCCGTCTATGGGGTTCCCAGCCCTGGGGACGTGTCCATCTGCGGGGTCCCCAGCACAACATGCCCAGCACAGACAGCAGAGGCCGGTGGTCTGCGGGGGTGCTGGGTCAGGCGCATCCACACCCCCATGGGGCACTTCAGGGGCTGCCCCCATGCTCAATCTGTGGCACAGGCCAGTGCGGAGAGTCCGGGAGCAAGGGCCAGCGGGGCCTCGCGTCCAACGGCTGAGTCACCCACAGCCGGCGCAGCTGCACAGAACCGGTGCTCAGACTACAAGAAACCACCTCATTCGGGGAATGAGGAATCAGGAGGGTCGAACGTGGGGAGAAGCGAGAGCCAGCCACGGGGCGGGCGAGGCCACACTCCCACATGAGTCACCGCAGACAGCAGGCCCGGAGGACTCAGAGAACCCGCACGGAGGCCCCCATGTGGCCCCAGGCCCAGCATCACTGCCTCAGATTTCAAAACACACCCCCCCCCGCCCCCCCGTGTTTGATTTCATCAAGTTTTTGGTTTAACTGCTGGCCCAGAAAAACAACTCACGGCTTAATCAAGAGAAACGGGGAACAGAGGGGCAGAAGCAATAGCACAGCGGGGAGGGCGTTTGCCTTGCACGCAGCCAACCTGGGTTCGATTCCCAGAATCCCATAGGGTTCCCTGAGCACCGCCAGGGGTAATTCCTGAGCGCAGAGCCAGGAGTAACCCCTGCACATCTCCAGGTGTGACCCAAAAAGCCAAAAACAAAAAGAGAAACAGAGCCCACAGGGGTACCCAGGCATACTACTCTCAGAACGAACTTTAGGCTGCCCCCTGTCCCCCCCAGTACAACCAGCTGTGACCCCAAAAAACATAAACAATTAAAAAAAAACAACCTGCTTACCCTCATCCACAGAGCATTCAAATGACTTTTATTTTCTGCTTTTGGGGCCACACCCATCTGTGCTCAGGGACTACTCCTGGCTCTACACCCCCTCGGGGTGCCAGGGAGGAAGCTAGGGTCACGTGAAGACAAGCAGCCTATCCACCGTGCTATTGCTCTGGTCCCTCAAATGTCTACTTTTTGGATTCTGAGGCACCCCTGGCGGTGCTCCAGGCTCACTCCTACAGTGTTGGAGACCGAATGTGGTGCCAGTGGACCCCTGTCAGCCACATGCAAGGCAAGCACCTACCACTGCACTCCCCTGTACAGGGACTCATATTCTCTCTCTCTCTCTCCTTTTTTTAATAAACACTCTTTTTGGTGGGTTAGAGGGTCAGGGCACACCTCAGCAGTTACTCCAGGTGGAGCTCGAGGAACCATAGAGTGCCGGGTCACTGTGCAAGGCCCACGCCCACCCGCGGGACTCGGTCAGGCCCTCAACCGTCTCTTCAAAGGAGCACAGCGGTCAGCCCACATCCTTCGTGATCAGTCCCAGCAGCCGGCAGTGATTAACAACGGAGCGCTTTCCCGACAGTTCAAACACAAAAGGGAAATGACAAAATCGCCTAAGCTTCTCATCACCGAGGAAAGAACCTTTCTCCGAAACACTGAGCTGCGCTTCTCGGTGGTCTGAGCGCAAGGGTCGGGCTGAGCTCACGCGACGGGAAGCACTGGGGAGAGGAGCCCAGGGCCCCGACATCCAGCCCCTCCCTCAGCCCCCACGCCATCCCCAGGGCCCCCCTGCAGCAAGCGTGAACTCGGGCTGTGTGTTCCAGAAACCGGAGGGAGCCCCTACCTGGACTCGGTGCTCATGATGGGCCAGGTGCGCACGCTCCTGCTCTGAGATCCCGGGTCCAGCTTCTTTAATAAGAAGCCTATTTGCACACCACCCTTTGATTTTTTTTTTTAATGTTAGCAATAGCAGTGGCATGTTCTGGGCAAATGTTGACTCTGGACGCCCACTGCCTGAACAAACGGCTTCAGACCCACTCCACACTTACGAAACTCACTCGCGTACTTTTCCGGAGCACCGGCCCCTTTGAAACAGGCGGCAACGGGGCTTCGAGTGCGTCCTCCGCCTGAGTGCTGCCCACTCACGATCACCCGATCGCAACCCGCCCGGCCAGGCGACGTCCCCGGCACAGGACCCCCCCCACCCCGCCCCGTGTCCCGGAGCCTCGACGGGCGCGGGCCTTGCCCCCGCGTGCACACGCAGACCCTGCCCCAGCCCGGCCCCCGCAGACCCCCAGCCCCGGTCCCCGCGTGCACACGCAGACCCCCGCCCCGACCCCCGCGTGCACACGCAGACCCCCGCCCCAGCCCCCGCGCGCACACGCAGACCCCCGGCCCGGCCCCCGCGCGCACACGCAGACCCCCGGCCTGGCCCCCGCGCGCACACGCAGACCCCCGGCCCGGCCCCCGCGCGCACACGCAGACCACCCGGCCCGGCCCCCGCGCGCACACGCAGACCCCCGGCCCGGACCCCGCGCGCACACGCAGACCCCCGGCCCGGACCCCGCGCGCACACGCAGACCCCCGGCCCGGCCCCTGCGCGCACACACAGACCCCCGGCCCGGCCCCTGCGCGCACACGCAGACCCCAGGCCCGGCCCCTGCGCGCACACGCAGACCCCCGGCCCGGCCCCTGCGCGCACACGCAGACCCCCGGCCCGGACCCCGCGCGCACACGCAGACCTCCGGCCCGGCGCCTGCGTGCACACGCAGACCCCCGGCCCGGCCCCTGAGTGTACAGGCAGACCCCGCCCCGGCCCCCGCAGACCCCCGACCCGGGCCCCCGCGTGCACACGCAGACCCCGCCCCGGCCCCCGCAGACCCCCGGCCCCGGCCCCCGGTGCACACGCAGACCCCCGCCCCGACCCCTGCGTGCACATGCAGACCCCCGGCCCCGGTGCACACGCAGACCCCCGCCCCGACCCCCGCGTGCACACGCAGACCCCCGGCCCGGCCCCTGCGTGCACACGCAGACCCCCGGCCCGGCGCCGGGGGGGACGGGGCGTGGGGTGGCGCGCGCGCGGCTGCGGCGACGCTCCCGGGGAAGGCGTGGGGGGCCCCGGCCGCCGGGCAGCGCGCCGCCCCGCTCACCTCCTGCGCCGGCGGTCTCGGTTTCGGCCCAGGCGGTCGGACAGGCGGCCCAGCAGCGCTGCCAGCCCGGGGCGGCCCGGCAGGAGGCCGAGCAGGCGCCGCCACAGCACCGGTCCCGCCGCTGCCGCCGCCGCCGCCATGGAGACTCGCCGCTTCCGCTTCCGCTTCCGGCGCGCAACAACTTTATTGAGAGCCGCGCGCGGACACCGGGAGGCGCGCGCGCAGCTCCCCCGCGGCCCCGCCCCTTGGGCCGATGCACCGCCCGCCGCCGCCGAGGCCACGCCCCCTAGGCCGATGCACCTCCCACTACCCGCCAAGGCCCCGCCCCGACCTCTAGGCCCCGCCCACCGCAGCAGGTTTTCCCCGCGCTCACAGAGGAGGAGCCCACGGAGCGCGCTGCGGGGATGCAGAGCCCCCTCCCCGAGACCTGCAGTGCTTTGGGGGTGTTCCGCCTCCCCGCTGCGCGCGGATACTTCTCACCTGTCCAGCCCCAGGGCTTGGGCTCCGTGCAGCTCCTGCCCCGTGCGCAAGCCCCTCCTTGCGGCTCCTGCGTGACCGACCAGTCCCACTCCCCCACCTCCCAGTCGCCCGAGGACCACCCTGTAGCTGGTCTCTGGGAACGCAGGCTCCAAGGAGCACCTAGACGGCTGGAGCTCGGAACCCCTCTTGTTTGTTTATTTTGGGGGCTTGGTGGGCCCACATCCTGCGGTGATCAGGGATGACTCGTGGTTCTGCGCTCAGGGATCACTCCTGGCGAGGCTCCAGGGCCTATGTGAGGTGCCTGGGATCAAACCCAGGTAGGCTGCATGCAAAGCAAGCACCCTACCCGCTTGACCATCTCTCTGGCACTAGCTAATTTAAAAAAAGGGGATGTTTAGGGCCCGGTATGTAGCGGTGACTGAGTGTCTCTCATGCCAGAGGCTCCCGGTTAGAGACCCCGGCACTGCCAACATTCTTTTCTCATTTTCATTTCATTTCATTTTTGAATAAGGAGAGGGGACCAGGAGATAGTACAGTGGGGAGGGCACTTGCCTTGCACACGGCCAACCCAGATTTGATTCCCAGCACTCCAGATGGTCCCAAAGACCTGCCAGGAGTGATCTCTGAGCAGAGAGCCAGGGGTAAGCCCTGAGCATTGCTGGGTGTGGCCCCCAAACCAAAAAATAATCAAATAAGTAAGGAAGGGGGGCCAGGAGCTATAGAACAGTGGCTGAGACACTTTGCACGTGACTGAGCCAGGTTCCACCCAGTACCATAAGGGTCTCCGAGCCCTACCAGGAGTGATCCTGAGTGCAGAGCCAGGAGTAAGCCCTGAGCACCACTGGGTGTGGCCTCAAAACCCCAAAAATAAGAATTTTGCAATACTCTGACTGACAGGAGAGATGATCTGATGTGTGACATGTCCCTCCCTGGGGACCCCACAAGGGTTGAGAACTTGGACACCAGAAAAGCTGAGGAGGGAGGGAAACTACAGCAGGAAATACACTTGTTTTGGACACTGCTGACCCATGTTCCATCCACGACACCCCATACGGTCCTCGGAGCCCCGTGTGACCTGAGATGCAGCACCAGGAGTAAGACCTGAGCATCGCCGGGTGTGGCACAAAGAACCCCCCTAAAAAAACTGTAAGAGGGGGGCTGGAGCAATAGCACAGCGGGTAGGGCATTTGCCTTGCACACGGCCGACCCGGGTTCAATTCCCAGCATCCCATATGGTCCCCCAAGCACCACCAGGAGTAATTCCTGAGTGCAAAGCCAGGAGTAACCCTTGAGCATTGCCGAATGTGACCCAAAAAAATAAATAAATAAATAAATAAACTGTTCGAGCTCGAGCGGGCCCAGTAACGTCTCCATTGGAGATTTTGTTGTTACTGTGTTTGGCATATCGAATACATCACGGGTGGCTTGCCAGGCTCTGCCGTGTGGGCGAGATACTCTCGGTAGCTTGCCGGGCTCTCGGAGAGGGGCGGAGGAATCGAACTCGGGTCGGCCATGTTGGCTGCGTGCAAGGCAAACGCCCTACCGCTGTGCTATCGCTCTAGCCCAGGAGGAAGTCTTCAGACCCTGATTTTTCCTGAAGGTTGTTGTGAGCTGGATACAGAAAGAACATCCCACGTTCAATTCCGCCAAACTGTCCCGAGGAAATGAGGAAATCAGTTACTCACTCCCGATGAGAATGGTTGTCTCAGCACTGTTCATCGTATCAAAACTGTGGAAGCAATTAGTAGCAGGGGCGCGGGCTAGATAAATAATGGCCCACCACTGTGTTGGTAAACCATGCATCAATAAAGCATGATGAGAGAGAAGAATGCTTAATGGCATTACGTGTAAAACCCAATTTTCCAAGAGAAGGACCGTGTTTATCTCGTGTTGTTAAAAATTGGAAAGCGCGCCCATAGGCAGCCTGGAAGTAAATACATCACCATGTTAACATTGGTTATTTGGTGCTTTCAAGAATTTCCAAATTGTTTACAGTCAGTGAGTATTTCAGGCCGGTTTTCATTTTTCCTTTAAGCTTAGAACAGCTTTACAAATACAAGGTGGAATTTGATGCCGCTCTTCCGAGTTCGAGGTGGTGAATCATCAAATTTCCTAACTTCCAGTAACTAACACAGTTCCACTTTTGCACGGTGCTGGCGGAGGCTGGTTGGCAGGGAGCTGTGTCGGTCTCCGCCATGCTCTTGGGGCCTCCGAGAGCTCTCTGCTGCGGGGTTCTTCCTGCATGCGCCTCTGTGCTGCGTGAGGCGGGAAAATTCACGGAGTTGGAGGAACTTCTGACAGGAAGTAAATAACGGTCACCCACGCAGAGCAGAGCCTGAGCAGCACACAGGCCGCCCAGGACCCTGGGAAGCCACACTCCAGGCCCTCTCTCCTTCAGGGACCGTTCGAGACAGGCCTCCAGCGGGGGTGGGGGAGGTGAGGGAACCCCACGCGCCCAGGGACACGTGCATTCAAGGACGAGACACAAGTTTCAAATCATGTTCTTGGGGATTGAGCAACTTTGCCCACGGTGACGTGCTGACCGCAGAGCGTTTCCAGGAGGTGTCTCAGGGCTGGTGTGTGAGAAGACGGGGAGAGGGCCTTCTTCCCACCATCGTGCAGGCATGGGAAGGGCGCCTGCAGGGTGGGCCGGGGTGGGCACGGGGGGCCCACACCCCTCCGGCCGCCCTCCCGTTGAGGCCCCTGGACGGGAAGGCGCCTCGGGCAGCCTGCAGCCCCCTCCCCGCCCCCCCTTCCCACACAGGAGGTGCCAGGGTGAGGGTGAGAGACAGCAGGTCTTCCCAAAAGGAAAAAGGAAATCCAGTCACGGACAGGGTGCTGACGTCAAGGCTGGTGGGCCACAGCCCCGACGGCAGGCCGGGGGCCCAGGCAGGAAGCTCCCGGAAATCCTGTGCTGAGGACGTGTCTGGCCGCCTGTGATTCACGCCCTAGGAGGAAGGGTCTCTCCCGACTACGGGCGAGGGTCAGTTCCAGAAAGAGGAAGGCACAGCCCGGTCCCTCGCCTACCTTGGGCGGGAAACTCCCCCAGCAGCGAGTACCAGTGAGCACCTGCTTCTCTCCTGAGGGCACAGCTGAGCACTGAGGGGGTCTAAGTCAGTATGGAGTCGGCATCTGACCCCATTCTACCTTCCAGTCTGATGTTTCCTTTCTTCTTTCTTCGTCTTCTTTTTTTTTTTTTTTTGGTCACACCTGGCGATGCTCAGGGCTTACTCCTGGCTTTGTGCTCAGAAATCACTCCTGGCAGTGCTCAGGGGATCCTCTGGGATGTCACGGATTGAACTTGGGTTGGCCACATGCAAGGCAAACGCCCTCCCCGCTGCCTTATCACTCCGGCCCTCTTCTTTTTACTGTCAGTGCCAGGGACCAAACCCACGCTCCCCTCTCTGCACCCCTGCGGCTCCTCCCCCCTGCTTTCCAGCCCTGCCACGAGCTCCCAGGCCACGGCTGTCTCCTTCCCGGTGACTTAATGCTCAGCACTGAGGCCCGCCCAGGGCAACCTGGGCTCCGTGCCCGACACATGCCCCCCCCACACATGTGGCGTGGGGCCCCAACAGAGGAACACGAGGGCCTCCGTTTGGGGCTGTGACGTCATCTGTGTTTCTGAGGTGGTTCTCTCGGTTTCCCCAGAGCTCTGTGGGCACCCAGGCAGGTCGAACAAGCTGGAGGTCACAGACCCGCAGGCCACTTGTTCCCTTCAAAGCTGCCAGCTCAAGCCCGGGTTGGGGGTTAGCACACCTGGGCCCCGAATCTTCCCTCTGCCCCCCAGTCTTCTCCCGCCTTCACAAGCCCCATTCACCCTCCCAACCCAGGATATCATGCGGAGCCTTTCTGTGGTTTCACTGGCAACAGGCCCCTGACTAAGGTCTCTCTGGCATCGTCTCACTCCTGGGACTAGGTGGGCAAAGGTTTCTTTGTGAGGGGGGGAAAGGTGGAGTTTGAGTCACTCTGGACAGTGCTCAGGGATCACTTCTGGCAGGATCATGGGACCACATATAATGCCAGGGATCGAATCCAGGCCTGCAACATACAAGGCAAATCCCTTAACCCCTGTACTCTCTCTCCAGTCCTGGCAAAGCTTCTCTTTATTTTCTTTATGTTTGGTTTGGGGGCTGGAGCAATAGCACAGCAGGTAGGGCTTTTGCCTTGCATGTGGCCGACCGGGGTTCGATTCCTCCGTCCCTCTTGGAGAGCCCGGCAAGCTACCAATAGTATCCAAAACCTCAGAACCTGGCAAGCTCCCCGTGGCGTATTTGATATGCCAAAAATAGTAACAACCAGTCTCACAATGGAGACGTTACTAGTGCCCACTCGAGCAAATCGTTGAACAATGGGAGGACAGTGCTGCAGTACAGTGCTATGTTTAGTTTGAGGGGCCTACCCAACAGTGCTCAGGGCTTACTCCTGGCTGACTCTGAGCCCAGGGATCACTCCTGGTGGTGGCCAGGGGACTGTACGGGATGGAACCTGGGTCAGCACCCTACCTGCTGTGCTACCTCTCCAGCCTAGCAAAGTGTTTCTTAAAAAGGCCAGTGACAAATGTGGGGGAGGGGTGCTCGGGGAAGCCAGGGGAGGACCACATGCTCCATGCTGACGGCACTGCTCCAGCCCAGCACTTGGGGACCACCAGGACCCACCCAAGGGAGGCCCCACAGTGCCCAGGATC